GGGGGGGGGGGGGGGGGGGGGCATATCGGAACCTGTGTGTGTTTAGCGTCAGATCCTAACAAGTGATCTCACACACGTGACACAATGACAGCGTCAGAATCAACAAGATGTTTAAAAAATCTAGAATAACTACCGATCGAACAGGAATGACGTCGATTGAATCAAATGACACCACTTAAAATCGATTGCATTACTCCTGGACCAACTCATCTATGTCATTTGCTCCCGGATTATTGGAAAACTTTTACATCTGTCAGCGACGGAACATTTCCAAGAATTTACATGAGAAGCGACGTTTCATTCACCCTAAACACTCACTCAATTGATACTGATTACATCACGGAGACATAACTCTAACTCAATAAAACAATAGTTTACGTTTTACAACAATGGATAGAATTCCCAAGACATGGGACGTTTATCGTGCAACGATAGTCACAGAGACAGAGTTTCAAAACGAAAAAAAACAGAAACATCTTAACCAAGTGAGCCACTGAACTTGCATTTATTGAGGCTCGACTACGTCGGCAGTGTTCGAGTCGTTAATCTGCTTCGTTTGCTCAGTCATGATTTGCTCTAAGTGAATGGTTATGGTTATGGATTTTACTTATCTCTCCGTGGCTCTTTTTTCTTATGAGTTTGGTACATTTGGTTTGACCAAACCACGGATATTTAAACGATTTTTGGAGCAACAATGGCAAACAGTTGGTAATGTTCTAGACCCTAGCCATTAGTAAAGGATGCTTGATAAACGTTCTGGATTGCTTGCAAATCCTGCATAGCGTTGACGTCTTGTTGCTTTATATCTTTACGATTGATTCAATTCACCTTAGCGCTTAAGATGTCATTTTAGACTAATATGTCACTTTCCGATTACGCAATTGACACTATACCATATAGTTCACCAATCCCAACAGCATTTGCTTAGTTCGCTTCAACTTGCCAGTCATTTGAATTATGAAGCTTATTTTTGAGGCAGTGTGACAAGTGCTGTCGGTGATTGTAATGCCACGCGCACCGCAGTAAACTAAAACCCCCATACGGCTCTGCGAGTACCATAGTCGTGGCTACTCGAGCCTACTCTTCCCCAGGTCCTGTCCCCACAAATCGATCACTTCATACGTATACGTAGTGGTAGCATCGGGCCTCGAACACCACTAGATGTTGGTGCAAACTATTTCACTCGATCCAAATTGTGATTGATACATCTTAATTCGACAGGCTTTTAAATCCAATTTCAAATCAAGAGAGATTCGGAGTTCTAAGCTATCTGGGGCGTATGCCATCCTTTAGAACTGAATTCGCGCCCGGATTCGGACCCGTGAGCATTTCATACGAGAGGATTTTTCAACGCGATTAGTGAGTCGTCCCCAGTCCTTGTAGAAACGTACAATATGGCTTATTAACTGCGGTGGGCATCGCACCATGCTCACCGATACATCTATCAAATAACTTAGAAAACAGGCTTCACTATGCCAATGACCAGTAACTTGAAGTAATCCAAGAAATGAAACATAAACATAAGCTAGGCCATGTACCATTAGCTCCCCAAACTTTCTCTTCGCTCTTTAATCCATAAAAACTATGGTCGTCAAAGCCGGAATGACATACCGTCAAGCCAGCCACGTTCATCAAGCAATTGCAATAAATCCATTGTTCAACGGATCCCGTAGCACTTCATGGTTGGATACTCCCCATTCGCCATGTGCTCTTTGTTAGCCAAACGTAGCTTGAAAATTTCCAGAAGCTTTTGTCATTGGCTCTGGCTCAAGCGCTCACTTCCTTGTGGTGTTTGATCTCGGTATTCGCACATAGTAAATTACAGCATCAGAAGAGCTGCTAATTATCTTTGTCTCCGATGAAAAAGATGGAATGTCGTCTTTTTGTTAGAAAGCGCGTCGTTTAACCGCTGAAGGTGAATGGCTCTACTCACGGTGCTACGCAGTGACAATTCGCACGCACCATCTTTAGTATCTGTCGCTGTTTGTCAATGAGCTGCGAGGGGGGCTGCGTGTTGCACTTAAGTATAGAAAACTCCGATATCGTCTTCTGCCCTGCTGATCTCTTCCCAAAACACTTCAAGCGGTTTTTTAAGGCCCTTGTGGGCTTGAAATTCGCCTTGGATAGTGGAGACCACACTTCGATTTACCGCTCCACGTTAGCCGCGGACGATTCCAAACGGTAAAAAGATAATGCAAAGGAAGACAACCGTGGGAATTTGGCTCTGGTAGCCCTTAATTGTATCATTCACCTTGGATCTGTCTCGCTAACTCTAGGAGCTATTTTCGCTTTATCCAAGGTTTTTCGCGAACTTCCTGCATCACAAAATGCTAATCCTATTGATATTTCGGAGTTATTGCAACCAAGATTAAACTTGACATAGTTTAAAGTCTCGCTGACTATAAGCCCTTTCGCCTTAAAATGTATTCAATCATGTATAGCCTCGATATGTGAAGAACCAAGTGCTCTCCCCTAACTGCAGTCTCCAAATTCTTGTTGGTAACATCCCAAGTTAAAGTTTGAGAGCAACCCCAACTAGTTTTGAATTAGACTGTTTACATATGTGCCATTGAATAAATTAATCACCGCATCATCTTGTCAAAAAACAAGCTAGTGAACTTAAAGAAAATGTTTAACTCGCTGTTCGTTGGTGTATCGTTCGCTTGGCTACCAATGTCACAATAGCTTAGAAAAGGATCTGGTAAAATAACTTCATTTATCGAAGAGCCCTGTTCTACGTCTTCATTCAGTGTTTGATTCGTTCACTCTCACCCATTTCCTGAGTTGATAACCTGTAGTTAAGATCATAATGACGACGCCGACCGGCCCAAACTTATCAAACACGTAAGGATAGATCAAAATCAAGAGATCGAGTACTTGTCCATGATCAAAACAGTAACTACCCACAGTCGCTACCTGCGATCCGTTTACAGTTGTTAAAGCTACCCATAAAACTACCCGTCACCTTATACGCGGTATCCGTTTGGCTACCCGTAACCGTCTCGAGTCCTGAATCAATTATAAACTAACAACACCACACATAACGCGTCAGTTTCGTCGATTGACCAAGAAGACTTCAAAGATTATGGAGGAAGCAGATCGTACAAGTGACAACAAGCCAACTCGTCCAATTCATTCTGAAATTCCGTCAAGTGATGAAGTACAAACTAACTCATTAATTGAGCCTGGCGCTCATGTTAAGAACAGACCATCTGCCAATGCTGAAAGCTCGATAAGCTCAGCTAGTCATGTTGCATTGAAGCAAACGAAGCGCGATATAGAGTTTTTCCATTCAGCAATTGTAAGTGAGGATCTAGCTACCATAAGGAACCCTCGTCTTTCACAAGCGAAAATGGCTGACGCCATCAGAGAACTGGTAAGGAGGAGGGGTTACAAATCTGCAGATCATGGAAAAGAGTACAAGTTCAGATGGAGTGACGACTCAACTTACTGTTTGATCAAATATTGCCGGGAAATCGGACCATTTTATGGCTTCGAACATCTGAAATCACCTACGGTCAAGAAACTAGAAAGAAGCAGTTTCATTTCTCTTAAATGGAGCTGTATTTTGTATGATCTTCTGATGTCACTGGAATTTGAAGGCAATGTGGTACCAACAGAGACGCAAATCAAACAGAGGTACAGATATCTTACGGAATCCATGCATGCCAAGCTAATTGCTGTACCCACAGGGCATCAAAGAAGTTCATCCTCACTAACAGGTGCTGAAAAAGTGGATATAATGCTTAAAAGGCTTCTTAAACTGAAGAATGACAGCGAAAAGAGTAGGACGCTACTTCGAAATCGTGCTGCCGATCAGCGAACAAAGAAAAGGACCGCAGGCCAGATGCTATGCTCAAGTAGTAATCCGTGCGTCATTGAAAGCATAGACCATACCGACTCTGAGGAAAAATCCTCCACAGATGAATTGAGGCAGCCAGTCAGAAGGAGCAACGGTTCAAGAGATTTCACTTCATATGCGCCCTCCGTCTCAAAAGTCTCAGAACCAATCACAGAAATGCATAAATTGGTGCAGGAAATCGTCCAGGCAGTAGTTATAGAAAGAAAGTATCGAGAAATTGATCTACAGCAGAAGGATGTCGAGTTAGCGATAAGACGACAGGAATTGGAATTAAAAGTTCGGGATTATAGGCATGAAAAAGAGATGATCAAACAGCAAAAATTTAGATTTGATGCCGAACGGCTCGAGACACTTGTGAAAATGATGGCCACTGCTAAAAGCTTGGGAATTGATGATCCCAGTTTTCTCACCTTTTGCAAAAGCAGATTCATAAGTTTCTGAGCCACGATACGTGAACTATCCAAAAAACGTTAGAAATACGTCCAGTGAGTAAAATCCAGTATCAGAAAATTTCTTTCGTGTCTTAACTATGCGGTCGAGATCGAGCCTACTGAACCTGCGAAACTTTCAAAAGTCAGCTCCGATAAATCTAAGTCGAAAGTTCACACCGCTTTGATACCTGCAACTATACCGGAATTTTTTTCACGAACTCTGGATCTTCTTTTGGAGTCAAATTCGATTTCGTCTGCGAGCCATTTTCTTCTATTCTTATATCGATTTGTGCCCTTCATTACTTGAACATCCCTGATCCTCCAAATTGTCAAGAACCAATTGCGGCCCGCGCCGTGTGGTTTTTTTGGCTGATTAAAGAAATATAAGCATCATCGTGTTGATATCTTCTATTTTACCCCGAACCATTCCAAGTACCGGTTGAGGTACTCCGAATCATAGAGCTATAGACATCGCAAATCTTTTGATGTCAATCAGCAGAATAAGCCTGCTTTTGGTATCATTGAACTTCCTCAAGCGCTATGAGCACACTTATCGACGCGCAAATTGAGGTCTCTTGACGCCAATTGTCACATATTGATGCGCTGTTTTATTACTCACTACCAAATGTAAACCACAGCTTGTTCGCAGAGGTAAAGTCCTTCAACCTGAGATTTTCTCCATCCACAGGCGGATTGCAAATACCCTGGGTAATGTTCTTGATACATGATGGGCTACCCAAAATCGTCTTAAGTCAGTAGAACACTTTCTTGGGTAGCTGATAGGGCACGTGAAGGGTCACCTCTCGCTACTCAAGATACATGTCTGGAAAATGACAGCGACAGATTTGAAAGCGATTCATGAACAGAGTATCGATTCATCGCAGGTTGTTTCCAACCGAAATTTTTCAGCACACGCTAAAGTTTTGAGGCCTTAAAGCCCATAAAAGGTACTATACATTGGCATAAATTGGGAAAAGCGCTGGTTAGTTGGCCTTTGTTCTTATCGAGAACAGAAAACTTCTCTTTGTGGACCTGTGTAAGAGCATATGAAAGTAAGACCATCTTAGTGATTACAACCCGCCACGGTTCCACGTTTGTGCTGACGGTAATTGAACCCTTCAGAAACGGTTCACCAGGAAACAATCCTGTGGTAAACGCGGTGTCATTAGATCACGTGATCTTTCCTCAGCAATCAACCTAAGACTTCGGGCACTCACAAGAATCCTCACGTTAAGAATTCACCAACCACCTATATGCATGGGAATCTTCAATTCTTACCTCGTTACATGTTAGTCCTATTGTAAGCATCCGTAGGAGACGACGCCCAGATATGGACACCCGCCTGAAATTTCCAGTCAACGAGTGCCTGTTGTACTCTTGCACGGACGGCAAAGTCCAGCTACTTCCAACGCTTGCGATGGCCAACAACGTTGCCCTTCCTTTGCACATCTGACAGTATCGTTCTGGATAAAACGCATTGTAAAAACATACACCACTGCCAAAACTTTTCTTTCTCCAGCCTTCTCATAGTTTTATCGCGCTATTAAATATGTCACAACGAAAAATGCAGGAAATGACCACACACACATACTCTCTCTCTCTCTTTCTCTCTTTGAGCCTCCTCACCTTCTCTTGAATCCGGGTGGAGGCTGGAACGGACGAGCAGCAACTGGCTGTTGTGAGCCCTTCTGGAACCCTATGGCTTGTTTCGAGACTGGTGCAGACGGCGTGGCATTATTCTTGGTAGCCGGTTTCACCACGCCCTTTCCCTTGTGTTTCTGTTTCTTGAGCTGCGCAGCTTTTCTTTCTTGAGCAACAGCTCTTTCTCGTTTGCTCATCGCCGGTCCACTCTCCACCACCGTTGTGAGCACTTGTTCGCCTCGCAGCACCACCAGTCCAAGCGTACGTGTTTCTACTTTGGGTTTTGCATTAGGGTCCTTATTTTTCGCCTTCAGTTGTGCCATTTGCGTCGTGGGAATTCTCAGTTCTACGCAATCACCCAGCACCAAGTTCATATGTGAATCGAATGCCATCAGTTCTCCGACGAAAGCTTTGCCATCATTAGTTAGCACCCTAATCCGGTAGTGCAAAAGATCCGAAAGTTTACTTTTATGGCCTACTTTGACGCTCATTATCCATGTATTTTGAACCTTTTCTTATACTGACTAGTTTTCAACTTGATGTATTGTATATATAACATTGAACAACCAATTTAAAACCTTTAAACCAACTACCTCAGGTTAAGAAACTCAAGATCACATTCAACTTGAACGTTGAAAGCTCAACTATCTGAACTAAAGAAGCCATGGTAGAGTCTAAAAAACACGAATTGAAAGACCCAAGCAAAAAACCTCGCGTTAAAAGACGGAGAAACTACGACGAACACGATAAGGAGGTCACAGCGGAGGACTCCAAGCCGAAAGCCAGCGGGAAGAAAGACGTGAAAGATTCAGACGAAAGCGACGAAAGTGAGGATGATGAGAAATTGGACCAGTTGTTGAGTAAGGAGGACGAAGATGATGACGATTTGACCGAAATTGACAGCACCAACATCATCACTGGTGGTCGCCGTACTAGGGGAAAAGTCATTGATTACAAGAAAACGGCAGAAGTATTAGACAAGGAAGCGGGCAAAACTTCGTTACCTGAGGACTCTGAAGATGGTGAAACGTCGGCCTCAAAGGCTCCAGAAGAAGACGAGGACGAGGACGATGATGGAGATTTCAAAGAGCCCGAAAAATAATGCACTATACATATTAGAAGTACAAGTAAGCGTGAATGGTTAATAGTGTGTGCTCTAGACAAAAAGGAAAAAAAGATAGGTAATCGAAAAGAAGTCTGGGAAACAACAGTAGCTAACAGCAGTTGTTGGAGCTTTTGCCCTTTTTGGCCGGTGCCGGTGTCAAACTGATGGTGGGGCCCTTGGGTGCGTTCCCAGCGTTTGTGCCATACTCGTTCAAATCGACCTGGTGTTTGCTCACCATCTGATATATGGCTGTGATGAGCTCCCGGAACGCCTGGTCGACATTCTCGCTGTTGAGTGCACTCGTCTCAGTGAAAAGTAGCTGGTTTTCTTGCGCAAAGTTTTTGGCCTCGTCTGTGGGCACAGCACGTAAATGGGCCAAATCCGACTTGTTTCCGATCAGCCCAACTGCTACGTTTTCGTCTGCATTTTCACGCAGTTCTGTTAGCCAATGGTTGCAGTTTTCGTAGCTACCAGACTTGCTGATGTCGTATACAATCAACGCACCCACGGCGCCCCTGTAGTACGCTGATGTGATGGCTCTGTACCGTTCTTGGCCCGCAGTATCCCAGATCTGTGCTTTGATTTTCCTGCCCTCCACTTCAATGGTTCTTGTGGCAAACTCGACGCCAATCGTCGACTTGGATTCCATATTGAATTCATTCGTGGTGAAACGCGATAACAAGTTCGATTTCCCGACTCCAGAGTCACCAATCAGAACAACTATTTTCCACCCTTCGGTTAGTAACTGTTCCTGTCAAACTTGGAAGAAAAATCGTCTCGACACACGACATATCCCACAACCTTGTGTTCTGAAATTTCGACGTTTCTGAACGATATAATCTCGAAACTCCCCTGTGTGTTTTGGAGCCAATTTTTTTTCAGTCTCCACAACTCTCACATACTCTTAAATAGGTAGTCATAATCGTATCCGTAGTCCTCGTTGTTCATTCTGCTGATACTTCCACGGTATTCAGGTGAGTTATGACCACTGTTTTTGTCAGTTGGGTCAATATCTCAATGATCGAAACATCGCCTACGTTGTTTAATCATAGTTAATTGAATAACACTTAGCCTTCTGAACGTATGGACAAATGTGGTCACGTGTGTGTGTTTTTGAAGATGGCCAAATACCAAGTTTGAAGTGATACTGCTGGGATTTAGAATAAGATTAGGAAGCGAATGTATTGCTAGACACGTCTTTGCATATTTTGAGACGAATTGTGGGCTGTATTTTTGGATAAAATACTCTTGAAGGATGTAAGAATAGTACAAAGTGATTCCTTGGAAAAATATCATTGAGTGTGGTGATTTTCCCATTAAGACACGAGTTGTTGTAGATGAGTCTGAAGCGCGATTTGTTTCAAGCTCATCTACACACCTGCTGTCTCAACAGTCTTACGTACCATCCACCCTAGTCCAAAACTATTTACTGACGCGCGTCACGTGCTCCCACTTGGATTTTCAAACCTCTAGAAACGCATTCACTAGACACATCTGTCAAGTTTAAGCACTTCATCCCAATATTCAATACACTTGCAACTGCCAGGAAAAGTCACTTTAACGTCAAATCCCACCCCACCGCGCTCGTATCGGGCTTTTTTTTTGTCGTTGTAAAAATGAGGTGTGCGTGACATTTAAATTATATGAGATCAAAGCGAACATTAAGCTCACAGCTGGTATAGGATATATGCATGCCGAAGCTTTCAGTATTCTAAAAGGGTCAACATAACCCCCGCCCAAACTTATATCTAGCGAAGGGAAATTGCAAGGCTCAGAGTCTATAAAGCGTGTGTAACACAATTACACTTAATTTGCCCAGTCACGTGCTTTGACTGGTGACTGAAACCAACAAAACGGTGCTTTCGGTCGCTTCGACATCATAGAGCCAGCACATACAACGCAACATCTGCTTTCCTCTTTCATAACTCTACGAAATGGCTCTCTTTAACTCCAAGAAAACTAAACTCTCTTATCAAGTGGCTGACTTCACCTTTTGACAAAAAAAAGATCCAGAAAAACTCTAGCACACACCCTCTCATAAACGTTAAGATACTCTACACAAACTTGAGCCTTTCAGTACTTATCAATAGACCACTGCTATTCTCGACTCTTTATCACTTTCACTATAAACTGGCGCGACGTCAACAATGATCTAACTTCAATATCATCGGTACTTTACCTAAAGGGAAAATAGTAAACTCGACAACATTTCCACCACTTCTGACAGCTCATCGTGGGTGAGTAAATCAATTTCTTATGATTGCTAGAATCAGCATGCGGAGTACATTATAGAATATTCTTACGTTCGCAGTCGTATCGCTGAGATCTGTGCTGGGAGTTGATCGTTTATAGGGTCTTAAATAGTGGGTTATAGACTAGAGCCTGCAAGGAATCGAGTGCTTCGAATTTGAAGTTCAGCTAGGAAAGGAAGCGGACGTCATGAATTTCACTTTCCCAACAACACCTTTGAAACAAAAGTCTTCGCAACCCGACTTCCAACCTTCTTCCTGTTTGAAAAATAACGGCAACGTACAGCTTCGAGAATCCGCCGATGGCCATAAGCATAGCGTTTCGCAGGTGAGGTTTTCTTTGCCTGCAGGATCAGACGAGTACTACGAACACCAACAACAACAACACCGTCCGGGCTCAAACACGGAAGAGACATTTTCAGATGTGGCCTCCTCTCCAACAAAAGTAGTATACCCTAGAAGTTCGGACCAGAACTCAACAAGCCACTTTGTGGATTTTCAGCATAAAGTGATGGTAGACGTGCCAGAACATATCTGGCAAGCACACTACAATAACAGAAAGAATGGTAGTGGCTCTTCAAGCCCGACAAGGACTCACGAGCGTACACAATCTCTTCAATCTGTCATAGCAGACACTCTGCAAACATATCATACCAAATTCACCAATGAGGAGCCGGGACTACTGAAAGATACGAATCTGCCGCAGCTGCCACCATCTGCGCTATATTTACGGTCAGATTCACCTCTAAACAAATTCAAAGTTGCAGTGCCCTTAGAAGCGTCACTGCCGCCTTATTTGTCCCCGGAAAACAAGTTCAAGCGCAGAAATAGCTTGGTTTATGATGGTCAAGGCTACAGTACGTTTTTGGGAGATCCTAGCGATGAAGACTCTATTCTTGTGAGTCCAGAAGCCGATCAATCTTCAAGCCAATACAGCGACTTCTCTATTCCGTCAGCCACTCACGACTACTCATTCGATGCCAAAGAGGATGTTGACCAGCTTCTAGGTATCGATAGCGATGCGAATGTTAGTCTTAAGAAGCAAGCAAGAAATCTACTCAACAAGAGCCCCATACCGAACCGCACAAAGTTACCTTCTCTTCCGGACCCTCCATCACTCGTTACCGCCAAAGAGCACAAAACAATCGAGAACACTCGTGAAAATGCAGCTCCATCTCATCACGAAGTAGCAAGCGACTCTCAAAGTGAAGCCTTGAAAATACTGGGTAGTCCATCCAAAACTATCACTATTCCAAGTTTTGATCACACCCCTTCACCTAGCTCAAGAGGGTCAATATCACAATTTTTAACTAAAATGGATGACAGCCTATCTTTTCAGGACCTAAACCGCCCAGATGGTCCATCCGAGGGCAAAATGAATACTAACTTCCAGTTTCCATCTCCGTCGAAAGCTAGCAACACAGGAACGAAGCCACTTTCGACATCAGATGCTGACGACACCAAATCCAAGCCACTTTTGACGTTTGATGCACACGACACGATATCCAAGCCACTTGGGACATCTGATGCTAACAAAGAGTCGAGTCCACTCGCAACATCTGATGCTCACAACAGTGACGATTTATCAAATTTCGAAGAAGACAATTCATTTGAACGGCGCCGAAAGCTTCTCAGACAGCAGTCGGATGGAAGTAATTTTCGGCGGCATACTCACAGCAGGACTCGCAGTATACATGGCACGGAAGATCTTGTCAATGGGTTACATTCACAACACTATTCACAGTCTAGTCAAGCGATAGGTGCTATGTTACCGGAGCGTTCACCCCGCAGGTCAACGCCAACTGCTAAAACATCCAAGCACGGAAGTTTCTTTTCAACTACAACATCGACTCCTACAAAAACCCTATCGAAGCCGGGTTCTCAATCGACAACTGCTCTTCCTCAACCACTTGCGACCATTCCTGCTCATCCTTCAAGCAATCTTTCTCCGAAAACGAGTTTCACAAACTCCTCTAATGACTACGGGAAAGTGGAGAAGTCGTCTTTCACAACGGAAACTGAGGAGTCGCGCTCACCAACTCGCGATGACTTACAAGCCTCTGAGGAAAATTGGAGCAGATCGAAGCGTTCAGCCGCACTCGCAACAGAATTCTTTGAAAGCCAAACTGAGAGTCAAGAACTCGATACATCTGTACAGTCACTGAGTTTCAGTGAAATTAGTATTCCACAAGAAGAGGCTGATGCGGACAAAAGTCTCGAGATTACTGGGGAAAGATTTATCGGAAAGGCTACACCTCTTTCAACATACAACTCGTTCAAAGCTCCATTAGATTTCCCCCCAGTTTCCAGCTCAGCTACGGCGATAGAATTTAAATCCGGACTTGCTCCATCACGACAGCTGTCCAATAACGCGAGCCATTCATCATATGAATCTAGAGAAAGTATACCGTCGCGCCCTTCAACATCTACTGCGTATTCGCAAGAGGGTGCAGGAAGTCTTTTCAATCAAATTAGCTCTAAGAAAGCAAACTCTTTCGTGACTAAAAGGTTTTCAAATAAAAATCCTTCGCCTGCTCGCGGACTAGCAGAGTCAAAAGAATTACGCACTAGGACTTTTAAAGACTATATTGGAAACAAGTGGGTTGATGTTATATTGCTGGATGACTCCGATGAGGATATCGCCTCTCCATCTCGATCAAGACCAAGATCATTCCATGAGGATGCCTTAAAGCATTATAGTGAAATTTTAGACCTTTGCGACAAAACGGCGGACAAAGCAAAGGGCGTGATATTGGATCTAGTAAACATGCCTGCTATTTCAAACACAGGAAGAACGAAGGACGTGGCTCATTTGAATGTTTGGCATCACGATGGTAACCAATCATCTGATTATATCACACAATATCAACTTCGCACCGAAAATCACCATCCGAACAGTGAGAATGGGTCACCTTCGCGGTACGTTTCTAATCTTGACCGCCTAAGAAACCTCGGAATAAAGCGCTAAAACTTCGTTCCAGTTATTGCCGTTTGTCGACTGTAGCTAACTGTCAGGAACAGGAGCAACTATGATTCAAGCACTCGCATTTTCAGCACGCCGCGAACGGAACCTTTCTAAATTAGGACAATTCATTATTATTTAAGATTCCTTCGAGCACAAGGGTAGATGACGTACAACACATGAGACGTGCATTTTTCAATGACTACGGCTAGCTGAGCTATCCATTCTGGGAGAGTTGTCAACAGATCCGTTGGTTTCTTGTATGGGGCTGAGAGAGTTTCCTTGATTGAAATACGGTGTCGGCCGATTCAATGAATTAGACGGAGTAACGGGAGAAGTTACCGATTCAGAAGACGAACCTCTTTGCCAATCTTCAACGGGAGAGAGAAACAAATCTTCATCCGTATCTTGGATCTGACTACTGCCTAGAGGATTGTGCTCCAGCTCGTTGACGGGACTGTGAAAGAATGTAACTACCTTATCTTTCAACTCTAGTTTGTAATTGACCGGCAAATTTTCCATAACGGCTGCAAATGGTTTGCGAGAAAAGCTATGTGTTCCTTTGAAAGAATTATTCGCTTTCCTAGTGGAGCTTGATGACCGTAACGAAGGTGCAAAGAGATCTTCATCGTCCGAAAAATTGTAATCTTCGGGCAGTATGTTGATTTCATCCAAGTAGTGATCGTCTGGTTGATTCTTCTCATTATACTTATCTTCTTCTGCCTCATTGATAAAGTAGAGATTACTTGTCGCATCTGGTACATCGTAATCCAGATTTGAGGTGAGGTCGTGGTATTTGAGGACTTGAGACCTGGCAGGAGGAGGTAACGGCATATTAATAACTTCCACGCTCGGATGCTCTAAGCTACAATGGAACGGGGACTGCAGCTGTGATACATGGGCGGCGGGGTTTTCGCGTGTGAGTGTGTCGGTGGGCAATTTTGAAGCTTGTACGTCGGGGTTTGAATTACCGTCGGATTCAGATGCATTGGAACTACGATTGAAATCCACGCCAGCATCTTCCTCCTTGATATTTGAATTGTCGAAACCAGGTTGAACTGGGATTTCGTCTTCATCACTAAGATCAAAGATGTCTCCGTAACTGTTCAAAGGGTTTCGAGGTGCAAAGTTAGCTTCTGTGGTATCCTCCGCTTCAAGACCATCACACCCAAGATCATAAGATTGTGCGCTCGCATCGTCAGGAAAGTCACCATCTGGATATTCGTCGTCTGGAAAGTCATCTTCAAGACAATTGTGATCAGTCGCTCCGGGTTGCTCCTCTTCATCAGATATATCGAATAAATCATTATAGCCATTTATTTCGCGGCCTGCCGCTTGAGGCTTCTCACTGATAATAGGACCCCCGTCGTGGGTTATTCCACCGGTCAAATTTTCAAACCTTACAGAAGGTTTTAATTTTTGATCCTTTCGCCTGCCTGTGAACTCCATTTCCTCTAACTGATCATCTGCGTCTTCATCAAAACAGTTCATATTTTCATCAAAATCTTCGTCATTGTAGAGATCGTCAATGTACACGTTAGTTTTGGGTTCGGGCTTGGAATAGTATTTCACTGAGGCTGTTCTACCATTGACTCCAGCAAGTTCGAAAGAAAAGCGTGATGATACATCTGATGATCCATCGGATGACCCGTCAGATGATTCTTCATTGAAGGGACCCTCAAATTCACTATTCGTGATTGAGCGAACTTCTGCATCAATGACTTTCGAAGCAACGGAGTGACTGCTATTGTCGGAACCTGCCGAAATTTCGTCACCTTCTTCGAAAGATCTGTCATTGGTTGCTATACTTTGTTCTTTGTGAGTCGATGTAACCGAAACGTTGTCGCCATTGGGGTCCTGCCCATAGCTTAGGCCAAGTCCTAAAAACATCTCAGTTGGCTCCATTTTAGTTGGATGCTCCTGCCGGATAGAGGCTTTGGACTCTGGGGAGGACCCTATGTCATGTGTTGGTGATAGCTTGAAAGTATTAGAGAACGAGCTTAAATCCAGAGTTGAATTACGCTCCATGTTCAAAAAATCTTCATGCGAATGAATCCGGGCCTGCCGGTTTTTAATTTTTTTAGTGTCAGGTCGAAAGCTTGAATACGGATGCTGCTCATGAATGTCTTCGAGATTTTTGGGTCTTTCCTTCTGTAATATATCCACACTTCCACGTCTGCTTTCAGTTTGCATACTAGAAGCAGCAGAGCTCAATGACCCATTTCGTAGCTGTATGCTCCCGTTTAGAGTTGGATCGTTGAGCTCCGATGACACGTCCGATGAGGTAGAGTTTCGATTCAGTACGATAACCGACTGAGACCGTTCTTTACTGCTGGACCCCCATTCATGCATCCTTGTGCCCCTTATTGTGGGAGTGACCAAATCCTCTAGTTGGGTCTGAGACCCGCTGATAGTTTGTCTGGAAAACTGCCAATTTTGAGGATTTTCTGGCGATGACAAATTTCGGAAAGATTGTATAAATGGTGACGTTGGTGCTGTGACAGACTCCCCCAATTTCGCGTTACTAGCATTAGGTTTTTTGAAAATCCGCGTAGAGAATATTTTGTTCTTGTTTGACAGTTTATTATGGCTACTACCATTAGAGTCAAAGCTTGCAGCTTGAGACGGCAATTTTTCAATTGGTGGTCTGCCGTTCCCCATCGACCGTGGCGAGCCCTCACCAAATTCATTGCTCGATCTTGAGTTGTTACCAATGTCGCTGTAGCTTCTGGAGGGACTGCTATCAACAGAATTTGACTTTCGATGCGATTTGATGAACGTTCTCATGCTATTGATAGAAACACCAAAAATAAGGTTTTTGGCGTACTTGTTTCGCACTCTAGAAGCCCATACAGCCCAGCGACCTAATACTCACCAAAGTTCGGGTCAAGAATGATTGCTCAAGCCTCAAAAGAGCTGTTTTTGTAAGATCTCTTCAGGTTAACTTTCACATCATCGCTGAATCTATAATTCAATGCTCGACCCTCAAATTTCACCAAGTTATTAGATAAAACTATACAACTATCATGAGTACATTTTCATGTACTCATGGTGTTTTAAGGCTGGAAGATCTCGTTGTCGATACTAGTTTTGGTTGATTGAAGTAGTGCTGTAAGCTGGAACCCAACTAGTGTGGCGATCTATTGTCCTGTGTGAAAATCGCGAGCCCGGAGCGGATCCTGATCGCCCTCAACGGCTTTGCTTCCTTGATGTAAGTATTGCGTTCAAAACGTTAGCTTCTCCAAGGTCCTGGTCAGTTTGGCAGCTCCATGAACGGAAACATCACTATCAATAGCCATCTTTGCTCTATTCTGTTGAAGACCCTCAAGCAGCATGCATGCCTTGCATATTTTGTTGCTGGACAGATATCCACACCTTTCGCACCGGTTTCCGTCAACAAAGCCTTGTCGCGGCAGCGAAATCGAACCATCACTGCGGACCTCTACATGGCTTGTGGGAGGCGCACGTTTCGCTTTCTTGGGTAGCAATCGCAGACTCTCGCCGCTGTGTATTATGTCTATGATGCAGCTGGGCCGCACTGCCTCTAGGTTCTTCATCAGCTCGCGAGCAGTACCACGAAACGCTTCTGGAGCGTATGTGCACTCCGTGGAGAAGTAATCAAGTTTTTTGTAGTGCGCGTAAAGCACGATCTCCTTCTGGTAGGCATATTTGAAAGGCTTGGAACGTTTGATCGGGGAGCCACTGCTTTGGGTCATGATCGCAGTAGATTTTTCGAGACGGGCAACGTCACCCCGCAATATGTTCATCAGCACTGTTTCCGCCATGTCATCCGCATTATGACCCGTCACAACGTGCTTGATTCCCAGTTTGGCAGCCCCACGATCCAAAGCCTGACGACGGAAAACACCACAGTAGGTACAACTATTTCTGACACCTGCGCAGGCCACGATTTCATCCATTGTCCAATCGTACAATTCACGATAAGAAACAATCTCCAAGGGCAGATTGTACTGTTCCTTATTTCGCTTCACAGTGGCAAGAGAATCGTCTCTATATCCCACAATACCTTCATCTATGCTGAGCAAGACGATGTGAATACCGTAGTTGTGTCTTTCGTTGAGTAGCTTCAACAAATAGGCAAGAACCGTTGAATCCTTCCCACCAGAGGCGCCTACAGCGACTTTTTCACCTTCCACAAACAGCTTGTTAGAGACAATCGTATTGTGAATCTCAGTCTCAAACACATGAAAGAAGCATAGCTTGCAGACTTTCTGCAAGTTTTTGGGTCTTTTGATCAAGGCTTTTCTAGCATGACAAAGCTCGCACAACTGCGATACTTTGACATTTTTGGGTTTTTTCGGATCCAATGGAGGAGTGTGAGACATCGAAAATGCAACGATTGCGGGCCAAAGAAGCTCAAACTTGCTTACTTTAAGGTCGTAGTTCAGCTACGATGAGATGAGATGAGCTTCACGCTGCCCATTCAACTTTTCAGTGGTAATCATTAACGAAAAAGTTTGTCAAGATGTCATTAAAATACAAAATGACAAAGGAAGACGTTAACCATTCGCTGTGACTCGAAGAATGTCACCGTATGATCCTTCGGGCATCTAACAAGCATTCCAGCTCGCAAATGAACCAGCAGGTTTGTAAAGGAGAGAAAGAACACTGCTACATTAGCCCTCATTGACTCTTTTGGCTCCTCTGTTAGCCATCCGTAGCTTGTTTGCGGTAGAGTCGACTTCACCTGACATTAGGTCTAGTAGTTCGTTTTGCTGAGTTAATTCCTGGTTCATGCTAATCGACAGATCTTTCTGGCTTAAAATAATTTGGCGCAATTTCTCCAGTTCCAGATCCTGACTTTTAGTTTTATCTCTGTGCAGCTGAAGTAGCTCCTGATCATTCAGCCCTAACGTCTGACTCGTTTCCCCAATTTTGCGACCTTGCAAGGGTCTCTCGTTAATCTCCTCGCTACGGGAATCGTCTACACTATTGAACCACTCGGAGTCTCTTTCCACCAGTTTTTCGTTCAAATCAGTTTTCAACCCATTCAATAAATTGCGACGCCTTGTTATTTCAGACGTTCCGACTAGCTGATCCTGATGAATTTGTTTTAAAGAAATGTCCAAGTTCTGCACTCGTAGCCGCAGTTTGACGCCTATCTTGGTGGCCGACGAGCGATCGCGGACTGCTTCTGCCAGCAGAATTTTACAATCCCGCAACTCTTCTAGCCATTTTTGGGGGTCTTTTAGACTTGGTTTTGATCCAAACTCCGTCGAGTCCCCCTCCCTCTCGTTACTTGTTCTTCGCAGTGTTGCGTCAGCCCAGTTGCTGGGTATCTGCAAAAAATGACACACGTAGGGAGACTTTTTCCAGCGTGAATCAAAGGAATCGTTGAGGAGATCGTAAAGAAACCTGCCCAATTCACGTTTTCGATGTTCAATAATATCAGGGTCACACGAATTCGTTCTCTTCAGCCATCCGTTGATAACATTTCTTCCCGGTAGCTCATATGGCAATTCAGACCCCATTTCGTTTTCCAAGTCTTGTCTCAGTTTGATGAACTCCGAAAATCTATGAAACGCATGGTATTGGCGCTGTTCACCACCAGACCGGACCATTGTAAGGTCGATACGGTACAAAGCGTACTGTCGCTTGACAATTTGAACAGTATTTATATCCACTTCAACGCGCAAATCTCCCATCTTCACCACACCAGATCGTTATGCTACCACTACAATGCCGAAACTGACTACGATGGTGCGGTAGTTGATGCTGTTATTCAGTTATTGACTGTTATTGACTGTTCTAAACTGTGGTTGATGGTGCAAAGAACACTATATTACTGTATATATATATTCACATTAAGAATTAGATTCAACAAACTCAGACCAAAAAGTAAAAAAACTGACAAAATTTAGCCCTCAATCGCTCGTAAATGGTATGTTCAACGTGGGTTAGGCATTGATCGATGCTTCGGAAACGCTAAATGCCCGAAAAAACGGCATTATTTGTTTCTATTGGGACATATCAACTAACATTTAGAACTAGTCTAAACTATATATCTCGACCGCCAACTGCGGAAAAGCGCATGAAACCGATATTTTTGGTCTTTGCGTATCGAATCCTTATACTGCCACTGTTTCTGGTGACGGATACATCAAATTATGGCAAAATAAGCTGCTGGAAGGCTCCATGCCCAAAGAACATGTGTTGACCAAATTTGTTCACAAGACGGGACTTCATCATGTGGATACATTCCATTCGCTCGAACAAGGTGGTCTTGAAGTGTTTCTGGCGGCTTGTGTTTCTTTCTCAGGCCAACTTTTCCTTTACAGCGTGGATTCAACAACTGGACAATTCGAAGAACTGGATCTCCTGTCCAAAAGTGAAAAGCTGAAGTCCTACTGGTGCGTGAAATTCTTTAAAAGCGATGATCGGACCACATCCCATAAACTGGTTGTGACTGACGTGAAAGGAGGCACGCTCGTGTGGGATTTGAACGTTTTCAGGCAAAACGGGCAAAATCAAGATGGTGAAGTTCCTCAAGATGCCGCCGTTGCTGGCGAAAAAGACCTTCATCTTGTGTTTCTCGGAGAAATACCAGCAACTGAACCAAAATTCGCCACAAGCGTTGATGTCTCTGTGAAAGGTACGGTTGCAACCGGGTTCCAGGATGGAAGTGTGGTGGTTTCTCAACTGCAAACCTTAAGACCAATTTACAATTTCGAAGGATTCGGTATCAAAGGTACTGAAGCAAGTAGTGGAACTGTACGGGACGTCAGATTTTCCCCCTTGGGTGGCCTTTTGGCTGTTGCTAACGACTCAGGATCCTATGGGTCTGTAACGCTTTATGAGACCCAATACGGTGAACGTGTTGGTAATCTTACAGTCCCGACGCATAGCAGCCAAAACAGTATTGCTAGTTTTACACATGACGGTTGGGTCTTTGGCTTAAGCTTCAATAGTACCGGCGAGTACTTGGCAACTTGCGGCTATGATGGAAAAGTTCGCGTTTGGGATGTCAAACAAAGAGAACGGGTCAGTACGCTGAATATAAGCGCAGAAGATATTGAACAAGAAGAAGATATTGTATCGCAGGACGAGTATGGAGATTCTCTAAAGACGCCGCCTGTGATGGGAGTTTCGTTCATAGATAAAGGTGTCCGCGGTGGAATTGGCGGTGACACTAACGAAGGAATTACTTGCGTGTGCTTGGATCGGAGTGTGCGTTGGTTCAGAGAAGCTGGTGGTGTATGAAACCAGTTTGCGTAATATCAATTGCAAGTACATAAAAGTATGGAATAAAAGAGAATTCCTGTAAAAAAGAGTTATGCGGGAGAGCTGAGAACGAGCTCACTTAAGAGATCCCATCTCGCACATAAATATAGAAAAAAATCTGGCCTTGAACTGCAGGAAGATTGTGAGTTTGAAAAAAGGAGCTGATTGCACAAATTTCCGTTCATTATTCCTTCCTTTTTTCCTGAAAGAACCGAAGTGCTCATTTTCCAACAACAATGAGCACACACGGAACCAGAGCGATACAATGGTCAAGGTCAGTCCGGTAGAAGTATTTTTTTTTCGTTTTTTTTTGTGTGGGTTTGAGTTGTTTCGACATCTTCAGCATTCGTTACGCCTCTCGGTGAGTTTTCCAGATAATAACTACACGCCGTGGTAATCACTGCGAGTAACAAAAGAAGGGCTTGCTTGAGAGATTGAATTGCGGTTGAGCGAAAAAATCTTCAGGTTGACCACCCCAAATTGGAGCTAAGGATGGAGCTTGCATTGGTGCACTGTAAAAGTTGTAACTTGTCCCATTGTTGTGAGTACTTTTCGACAAAGGGCTATCGCCATGGATTGGAGAGGCAAACGAAGGTTGGTAAAAGTAATTGTTTGTACCACTTCTTTCGTCCGTGTAACTCGGCGATGAGTACACCACAGGTGGAGCTTGCACTGGAGTTTGGAATCCGGAACAGGTTTGACGGCTTGGTGAGTAATCCGAATTTTGTGTGAGTGGAGTCGAAAGAGGAGGGATGCCGTAAGAATTGAAGGCGGCGGGCGCTCTTTTTTCGTCACAAAAATGTTCGAAAGTCTTCAGGTAATCATCAAATAAGATGAAATTGTCATCAAAAAGCTTCCATTCAAAAGTGGCCAGCCAGTCCCTTTCGTACTGGTTCACTGTGGCTAAGTCCATGCCTGTAGCGTGAGACCAAGACTTGTTGGTAAAAGTTTTGTCGTCGTTAAACTTGTTGGCTAGGACGAAAGCGATCATCAAGTTTTGGTAAATGACATTGACCGAATCACCACCAAGCGCTTCTACTCCATTTGGAAACTTCGAAACGTATTTGCACAGAAAGTCCAAAGCCATGAAAATTGTAACAGAAGGCAGTCTCGTGGCATTTAGCACAGAACTTACACCCTTCTTGAAAATATCCAAAACACTCGAGGATTCAACGTTCAAAGCTTCGTCGTTGTCGAACACCAAATAGGCGTTTTTTACAACAAAGTCTGACATCAAATCCAGGTCGTAGTCCAGAAATTCACGAACACCGCCGTTGACTTGGTCCTGGCGAGGTTGTGGCTGAACCTGATGTTGTGACTGAGGCATTAGAGGCTGAAAAGGTTGCTGCAAATTTGGTAGCATAAGAGCTGGAGGTGCAGCTGCAGTGGGTCCCATATAGCCCATGCCTGGAGGAGGCAATACCATTTGATAACTAGCAGAATGCTGGTGTCTGTATGGTTGCTGGGGGTCAGGCTGATAGTAACCGTGCATGGACTGTGGTGGTTGATAGTAACCATAGTTGCCCATTGCAGGGGCTCCCATAGATTGAGAGTGGCCATGTAGCGACTGACGCGGAGGAGCGACAGGAGCAGGACCGGGGGCCGCGTAGGTTGGGTAATACATATAGGAAGTCATCTTTTTTTTTGAAAAATGAAGGACTTTCTAACTTGTAGTAGGCCTAACCGACGGACAAAAAGAAAAAGATGTCGGTTGAGGTGAGAGAAAAAGTAGGCTGAACCAAAAAAGAACCACCGAAAAGTGTGTTTTGGGAGGTTTTTTGATGGATAGATGGAATGGAATGGAATAAAAGTAAAATTATTCCTTCCTTTGGATTTCAGAGCCCAAGAGTATAACCTATCTGGAGATTCGAGTAAGACAAATTAACTTAATAACTATCTTCACTCTATACCGGTGATATTGCGTAATTCTGGTCCTTTAAAGAAAAAAACGCCAGAATTCTCAAAAACCAGGTAGCTCCTCAAACAGTTGTAGAACGTTCTTCCTTGTGGATCCAAAGACGCAGGATGGAAGAATTTCTTGAGAAAAAAAAAAGTCTCAGAAAAGAAAACTCTATGAATAACAGTTCCAAGTGGTTATTCTTGAAAAAAAATTGAACAAAGAAGGGGGAGCTTTGTGGTGGAGTTCAAACCAAAATCACAAACTGTGTAAAATGTATCGCAGTGTTTCGCTATCTAGCACTTAAGCAGACAGTTGCGACGCGTGTTGCACTTGTTTATGCAAGCCCGGTCCGTTCTTTTCTCTTTGGCAAAAAAAACCGCACAGATAATCCAAAACAAACGGCAGTGGATATACGCTGTGTGTACAATACTTGCAAAGAAAGCTTGCTCAAAAATTCGGAAAAACCTCTTACTCAGAAACTGAAATAGAGAGAATCAAAAATGAGTTGATATATTAGAGAGAAAACCAGTACCGTAGTGTAAACTGATGATCTTCGTAATATAGTCAAAGTATTTGAAGGTGGGAGTTTAGATGGAAAGATTAAGAAAGTCCTACAAAAAGTTCTACATCAAGTAAGTGTAACTAAAGTTGACTAGTTGTCCAAGTTCAAGGTCAAATTTTTTTTAATATATGGGTTATTAATTTTGATCAGGTTTCTTTTGTGAAGGACCAACGACGGAAAGACTAATAATAAAAGTAAATGAGCCCAGCCGAGCGAGCACGTGATGGGATATTTCAAGATTGATTAAACGAGAGAGATAGTGGGAGAAGAGAGATGCAATTGAGAACTAATGGTTGAAGGAAAAGTGCGAGAATATGTAGTAAGAGTGCTAGAATACAGTGTCGTTCGGGTGAGATAAGAATTATAAAAAAAAACAAACAAATTTCATATCACTTTGAACGCGTGTGTCATTCCCATATGTATCACTTTCTACAGTTGTGACACCAATGACGCATTTATCAATACTATCCAACACTCTACAAGAATATTGTGGATCTCAACATTTCTTGCCTAGGTTGTGTGGTCTCCAACCGTCCGTTCCTCTGCCCGAAAAAAAATGCTAAATTATGAATAACTCCAATGTACAAAAACCTTATGCAATCGACCCCATCATCTTTCACTTCCCTCTTACCAACGCAGTAGCGGTCAAGGACATCTTGCGAGCACCAGACCCAACACCAGATGTCCCGCCAGGCCCAACATTACCGGTATCGGTGAACCCTCCACCTGCCGGAATATCCTGCATACTAACGTCCTCTTCAAACGACGGCCACACCATCGCGTTACCACTCGGTCCAGCAGCTTCTTGGTCGTCGTCGTCCATCATCATCGACGTAGAATCGTTCCCAGGAAGAACCTCGGACCATCTAACCTTCTTGGCGCTCTTATTATTGGCATTGCCAGGAGTAGCTCGCGACCGCTGAATCGGAGACGGCGTCCCGCTATTGGATTTCGTTACTTTGGCCGTTGCATGCTTTCTGTGGGGCTGTGTCGTAGATGCTCTACGCACGTTCCAGTCGCGGGCCCAGTCCGAAGGACCTACATTGGCGGACGCGGTGGACGCCACGTTACTCTGGACAGTTGCTGCGAATGCTTCAAATTCTTGGTCAATCTGAACAAGACTTCTCATTTGCTGGTGGACTGCTTGTAGCAGCACTTCGGTGTTGATCGGATCTTCCGTGTTATTTTCTATGAAGCTTCTCAAAAGTGTCTGTGAAATGAATTTGATCCTGTCTACCAGCACGCTATCTTGCATGAATTTTTCCATCACCATAGAGGAGCACACAAGAATTTCATTACGCACAGATTCAGATACCGAGTTCAACAGCGAATCATACCATACTAGATCTGAATCATCATTCCAATTTTCCATTTCCCGCAATTTTTGTAAGTCCACTTCTCTCGTATGATCGAGGGATAAATCCAGTTCATCCGGAGTATCGAAGCTTTGTTCGAGGTCTTTTATCTTATCACTCAGTTGGTCGTAAAGTGTGGAGCAATCCTCGTGCAACTGACTACCAAGGTCGACGAATTTCAACAAAGTGGCGAGCTCAACTCCAACCATCTGCAGGAAACGTCTTTTGCACAATATCAGTGCTTTAATCATTTTAAGATGCTGAAATTTTTCAGAAGTCTTAAAATTGTTGCGCAAAGCTTGAATACTATCCCAAACGGCCATTCGTACCCTTTCGCGCGTAATCTTGTATTTGCTTATTTGCAAATCGATTATTTTGCGTTCTCTAGTGCGTAGCTCTTCAATTTCTTGTCGTTGCTCTGTGATCATCTTGAGATAAGAGCCCACATGTCGATCTAAAGAGTGCCTGTTCCGTATCAATTTGGTTTTGATCTCTTTTGCTCGCGTTGCGTACTTCAATGTGTTAAGAGATTCGTCATAATGATTACTTCCAGGCGAAATGCATACAATCATGACGGTTTTACAATTACCACCGAGCGAGAATTTCAGAAGCCTTGTGAGTTTCGAGTCTCTGTATGGAACGTGGCAAGAAGAGCCTTTTTTACCATTCACACAGAGCGCGTTTATGCAATTCCCCAAGGCTAAGAGCGACCTATTAATATTTGCGCCCTCATGCAAACGTTCGCCTCTATTTTTCGTAGCTGAGGCTCTTTCGCTACCGGCCAAATCTATTATCGATAAAGTGGCAAATTTTTGGTCTTCTTTGAGCTCTGCGGTACGGTTTTTTTGGGTGATATGAATTTGCAGAACCGCATGCGAGCGCGATGAGGTTTCGTTAGCATCAGTGGCAGAGGTAGTTCTATTGGTATTACCCTTGACGACCAGATCCATGACATCTTCGATCGTTTCCAGCTCATGATGTGACAGGTTGGCTACCGTTATGTGGCGGTCTGTATCTTCGCGTAACACGAGTTTCTTGCTTGATGTTTCGGGCTCCAACAGATCCCTTATGCTTTCATTGTAGATTTCCAAGTACGACAGGGTCAGCTGGAAACGTTTGGTGTCGCGAAGCTGGTCAATTTTGTTGAAAAGCTCCTGCATGGTCAAATAGATGATGCCCGGATTGTCGGACGGCCCGCTGACGGTGTAAGTCTTGCCACAGCCTGTGGCGCCGTACGCAAACACCGTGCCGTTAAAACCATCCAGAACGGAGTCTAGCAACGGCCTTGTGGTCGCCTCATACACGTCCAGCTGGCTGGAATCCATTCTGAAAACCCGGTCAAATACAAATTTGTGTTCTCCGCTGCGTCGGCTTCCAGCCGGCGCAGCTATTGCGTTCAAAACCGTCTCACTGATCTTTCGCAACGGATTATTCGCTGCCGGGTCGAAAATCAGCATTTTGTCGTCAACACAGTCCACAATTTGTCGCAGACCTTGCGGTTTACTAAAACGGCCAGCAGACCCCACAGAATTCTTGGTAGGTGTTGTTGACAAGGAATCGACGCCTGGCAGCACCAGACTCGCGTCTCCCAATTGCAGTTTGCCCAAAGCCCCGCTTTGGTCACTTATCAGATGTGTCTGTTCGTGCATTGTAAATGGCCGTACTCGAACGGCAACAACTATTGACGACTGTCTCGTCTGCGGTACATCGTAGTCCATCACAGCACTTTCAAACAAGCTTCCATCTAGCGTTTTCAACCAGTCAAATTACCTTAAAATACACACAAACACACACAATGGTCTTGAATTCCAGTAAATGTAGTCTCAAGTATCCTAAATTCCCGGCTAATTTTTGATCCTCTTTATATACTCAGGCCTCGAAATTTATTGTTTACCTTTTGTGACGAATGAAATCCAAAAAAGCAGTCAGGTGACCTGTGATTTTGATCTTGATTAATTTTTTGGGTATGAGTATAAATAGGAAGGGCCTGATAGAGCCTATGGGGAGAAATCAAAAAACTGAATCTCGACAGAATCCACACCAAAACGGCCATAAAGGGACCACAAGGGACCACCACAGGACAGTAGAAGACGCATTTTCGGGGTGCTGATACGTTGGATTGTGTAGTGGGCCAAAAAGGGAGTGAAAAGGAGTAAAATCGAGCTAGAACAAAGTGATTACGAGGTGAATACGAGGTGAAAACAAACAAAAAATGTCATTCAGGTTCAATAAAGCAACGTTTGAGGATAACTCGTTCAATGAACAGATCCGTGAAAAGCTGACGAGTGCGCTCAATGCAGATGCCAACACCGGAACGCAATCGAAAAGCGCAAATGCGTCGAACTCGGCCGTCACAGATGAGGTCAAGCAGGAGACCAATGCGCCCAAAAAACTAGACATCTTGAAAAGCGGGATTTCAGTGCGGAAAGTAAACTTCCCGTCGATCCCACAACTAGAGATTTTAGACCTGGACGTTTCAGCGCAGTCGAAATCGCTGCTAAAGGGAATATGCAAAATCTCGTGCAAAAACGCAATGCTGGAGATAACCACGGAAATCGAAGCTAACTTGCTGTTACTGTACACCAATAACGGGCCTGCGTTCACAACGCCACGTCTGATCTCCAACGACTCATTCACAGTCCCGATCACCATGACCTTCAGCCAAATCGAGCTGGAGGCCATCACCAACATTTTTGTGAAAAACACCAGTGTCGGCATCTCGTTCAACGACGTGAACTTGGATTTCGACTTTGACTGCTCCATCAAGCTGCTGCAATCCAGCATCGAAAAGCGGCTGAAGGGATCCATGGAAACCGTGTTCAAAGAAGTACTTCCTAGCGTGATTTTCAGCATGAGTCAACGCTGGTTCACGCATGGAGAGGCCAACACGGGTTCTACAGATGAAAGTAAGTTTTCAGAACAGGTTTCAACACATCCGCACGTGCCCCGCACTATCCTGGAAGACTCAGATCTCGAGGACCTATCGCCGGCCACAATGCTGCGACTCTCGACTTTGGTATCTTCTCGCCAATCTTTATCGCTAAACCCAACGTCAATGAACACATTCAGCGCCATTCCCGGATGTTTGGAAAGGCAAAACTTGCATCGATTCAATTCTAGAGTGCCCGCACTCAGTAATTTTTACCCCGCTTTTTACGACAACGAACCCCCAGAATTGAAGACTCTGGGTAGATCTACAAGCTCGAGCGCTGTCATTGGGGGAGGCTACTCCCAACAGCGGAATGTTCTACCACAGCGTTTCCTTGATGACAGAAGCTACGACCTCAAAACCATTGCATCAGTCCAGTCTCGAATTTACGAAAGAAGTAGCAGTGGCGACAACTCTAATTTGAGAAGACGCAAGATTAAAATGGGTAAGCGGGCCAAGCCAATAGTCACGCCTGTGCCACAAACTCCTGTGATTCACGAAGAAGAGGCAGAAATGACCGCTACAGTTGAGCCGGAGAGAGACGGACAAACAGAAACTGCAGATTCCGAAATAATACATACACCACGAGCCGTGCCTGCAACACCAAGTGCCGAAACGTTTATCGTAAAGAACTCGGTTTTGGACGACGCTCCATTGTTACAGTGGCCCGCACAAGTTACTCCTTCGGTTTCAGGAAAACTACAAATGTCCAAACTGAATTTATTAGAGGAGGCCCAATTTCTGAGTAGGAAACGTGAACTACAAAAACTCAGGTCGAGTCTGTATTCGCCCATGAGAGGCAGTAAGTTTTACGTTACGAGAGAAATGGAAAGGCCCATTTTAGAGCATAAGGGACTAAGTTTCGTGGGACTGGCTCATGGACTCAAAGCGGGGGGCGAGGAGGTACCTCCTCCTCCGTATGGCTATTAATTCTGGTGCCCATCGGGGGGCACAACGGCGAGCCTTTTTGGATATACATCATTAGTATCACTTCATGAATTAACGAATTTTATAATTACATTTTCGAATTATATCTGCAGAGCGGGTTGGGTAAGTGATAACCACAACGGTCCACTTACAAGCTTTGCCGTTTGAACATATGTTCAAAACTGTTATTGTTCATCCGGAACTTTTCTTACACGACCAATTTTTTCCATTCTTCGAGTGTCAAGCACTTTGACCCGAACGCATGAATCTGGGCTACCTCTTCTTTCAACGCACTATTCACCAATCGACACCTCTGTAGCTTGTTTTTACCCTTGAAGGTATCACTCACCACAATCACATCGAAAGACTGGCCACAACCGTTTGATGTATCTGTAATGATGATGTTGTGAATATCCGCGATCGCCGCGGAAAGTTTGTCCTGTATTATCTGCTGGGAGAGCATCGTGCAAGTAAAGGTGAGAAAGTGGGGTCTATCCGAATGAGCTGTGGGATATCAAGGTGACTAAGACTAGACGATCTTGTGCCGATGATGTGTGAAGCTTGGATGACCATGATTAATGAAATGAACTTGACATGCAAAGCACGTGACGCTCAAGATGAATGAAGGGAAAGCGCCACAGCATTGACTTAGTGACATGTATAGTGTACTATTTGAGCTGTGAAATGATTGAAATCTCGACGGTGAATATTAGCAGGGAAATTTGCCAGACATCAAAGGTTATTTTGTTGTCGAATTCTTCCGGATGAACGTTGACAATGGTCACGTGATACTACGATAGTGACAGTGATCGGGTCAACATATCCACGACTATGCCATCAATAGCATTGAGCAGCATCATCAGAACTCTTTGTAGCCTTTGAAGACTTAACAGCTGTTTGGGTTGGTATTTTCTCCTTAACTTGTCTATGCACCAAATAAAGCTCGAAACATATACACTTGCCGTCTATACTAACAAAGAACACCAGTTCGCTCTCGATAGAAGCAAATGTTTAGAACAGTTATTGTACAGTGAAAGTCCAGACTCTAAATCTGTATCTCACAATGAGTGCGAACAAATATTGTAAACTAACAAATTTGACGGTCGTAAGACGCAACGTAAATGAATACTCAGAATAACACTCAATCTGGCATTCATCGAACGCAGCTGTGAAGAGTTTCTGAAAAATGTGGACTACAAAACATATTTTATCTTTCTTTCTTCGGGCCTGATCTGTCCTACGGGATCGCAAATATAGTACCTTGACTTTGTACATAAGATTGTCAGTTTGTTTTGTCTCTTAACAATTTATATTCGCGTACAAGGTCTTGCTGGGGAATAAAATCCGTAGTATTGTGCAAAATCAAACAAAATCCACTCAATTTGGTGTCATTACTGATTTGATATGGAACGCCTGAAAATAGCTCCAGGCTATCGCAGCTCTTCAATTCCTCAAATCATACGCGATGAACTCTCAATAGGAAATTGGCTCTGAGATGATGTCAATATTGAAACACTTAACTAAAGATAAGTATTCAGGTTGAGAAATACCAGCAAACTTTAGATACAGATGAAACAACATCTGTGAAAATACCAAGCAACTTGAAATCTCAAGCAAACTGTTGAAATGATATCGATTCTTGATTCTGTCGTGCTTTGCTCACATGACCATCTTCTTTTCATGATTATATAGTGGATTTGAAGATCATCACTTCCGCTTGACGACTTCACAACAAGTTCAAAACAGCAATCGTTGACCAAAGAGGCACTCGTAGACACTCGTAAACTGATCATAAGTTCAATTGTTCCATTTCTAGGAACCGATTCCTATATTTCATTTTTAGCGATGAGTAGAGCCCTTTCCAGAAACCAACTCAAGGGTTTGATCAAAGAAATCACTAAATTGTACCCAGCAAGCTACGCAGACTCGAGCTGGGACAACACAGGCTTGCTAATCGATTGTTCTACCTTGCAGAGCGATGTTCAAAAACCCAAAGTGCTGCTTACGATTGACTTGACCGCGGCTGTGGCCCAGGAAGCTGTCAACCACGGCTGTAACCTGATCATGTCTTACCATCCTTTCATTTTCCCAAGTTGGAAACGGATCAGCCCATGGTCCAACCCACAGCATCAGTCAGCGGTGAAGCTGATCCAGCACGGAATCAGCGTTTACTGTCCCCACACTGCTATCGATGCCGCTAAAGACGGCGTCAACGCATGGCTGGCTTCCTCGTTGGTTCACGACCAGTCTTTGATTGACTCGAGCGTCAGTATCGAAAAAGTGTCTCCAGTTCAAGGCGAGCAGGACTTTGAAGTTGGTTACGGACGCGTTGTTAAACTGAGGAGTCAAATCTCGCTCCAAAGCGTAATCGAGTCATTGAAGGCCTCTTTGGGGATTGAAACAGTCCAGTGTGCTGTGAAACAAACTCTAAGCGAATTTCAGGTCCAAACTGTTGCTTTGTGCGCTGGTAGCGGTTCCGGTGTGTTCAAGAACCTGAAAGACGACGTGGACTTGTACCTCACGGGCGAGATGTCTCATCATGAAATTCTCAGACTCAGGGAAATGGGCAAAGCCGTAGTGGTCTGCAACCATTCCAACACCGAGAGAGGGTTCTTGAAATCTGTGATGGTTCAGCAACTTTCCAAAGCCGGTATCGATTGCGTGGTGAGCACGGAGGACAGCGACCCACTGACATACGTGTAAAAAAAAAAAAAAAAGAATAAGGCTCGCAGCCTCGTGCTGAGGATGCTTCATCCGTCAAGTATCAAAAGAGCCCATTATAGCCTAATCATTGACTTCGACGATGACCCGTTTAAAAGCATCTAGTTGTCCAACTTAGAATTGATATTAAGGCTATATTTCTATAGCAGCCCGCACCAACAAGCTTCGCGATGAGATTTCAGCCATACAACAGGCCAAAATGGACGCATTCGCACTCAAGAAGGACAACCGAAAGAAGTTTCAGGACAAAGAAAAGTTGAAACGGAAACATGCTACTCCGAGTGATCGTAAATACCGGGCTCTGAACAAAACTACCGAGCCGGAACCGGAGGTGCCGGAACTACAGGCCAACCATTACCGCTACCACGAAGACTTATCGATGACATACCAAACCCAAAACGATGACGATTCAAATGTTGGGACAACGAATAAAAAGCTCAAGGAAATCTTGTTGGCTCGACAGAACAATACCGATCATGATAGCCAGTACCAAACCAAGTCTCCCAGTCACCTTACACGAAAAGAGCTAGATTCGATGTCAGTAGCTGAATTGAATCGTCTGTTGGGAAACAAGCAGAATGACTCAATATCAATCAAACCTGACGCAGGTGGTTCCAAGAACGACAATACACGGTTTTCAAACCACGTTCGAGGCACTCCCGCTGCCCTAAAAAGCGAAATACCCACCAAAACCTCCAAATCCAAGGTACCCGTCGATCTCGAGTCCGAACAAGACCAACTGGATGAGCTGATATGACAGCTGTCAACAGAAACGAGTAAGAATTTCAACTGTACAATTTGAAGCTAAGCGAAGATCAACCGACTATCACGTGTTAACGATCAGCTGACTTCTCTTATCGATGTAACTTTCAACGAAACAATCCTAATTAAATTAAAGTAAATGAACATATCAATATTATTAGGAAATGGTACTATCAAAGAGGATTAACAAGCATTCCAGTACCAAACGCTTTCGGTATAGATCTTTGAAGCAGCACTAGAAAACTTCAGCTTTCATTTACTACAGGACTAGCTATAGCTTTAGAATCCATCTATTCCCCTTTTTTTCAGCGCCCAAAACGTCCACTTTTCGAGGTTTTAGCACAGTTTCAGCTATTTGGTTCCAACATACAAGTTGACAGTCTACCAGTATATCCAGATATCAAGATGTCGACCGATACGATGTATCTCAACAGCTCAAGGAGATTGCCTGCAGCCGGCAGAAACAAAACAAGTCAGCTCCAGAAACCGGAGAAAAAAACGACGAAAAACCACCGCAAAAACAAGACTCGCCAGGAGGGCAACGTGGTAGAAGACAGCGTGCCCCTTTCTCAACCACAAGCACTGCCAAATGGGGAGAAGCCTAATTTTGGCGGTTCCACCAAGAAAGAACGCAAGTCAAACAATAAACGTCCAGACAACTCAGGGGCCAGCAGTTCACACGACAAAGCGGCAAAAAGTACAAGCTCAACAACGGCACACGCTCTGGAGCTTACATCTACTCAAGCTGGACGGAAAACTGCCGAACTTCTAGCACAGAATCTTAAAGATGTCGTACTCGTCGAAAATGATAAAGGTGGGTTAACGAGTATTCCACGTGTGGACCAGCGTACGAATCGTCAAATGACACCTCAAGCGCTACCTAGCGCATCACCAACGCAATCTCCTTTACCGTTACCAATAAAGGAGCATAGTACGCCAATTCATTGTCCTTTGCCACTCCTACAGCCAGGACCTCACCTCAATCAAAACCAACATCAACCACAGTTTCAGCAGATTCTTCCAAATCAGCATTTCCCCCCACATTACCAGAACCAGTCTTTACAGCAGTCAACAATGAACCATCAGATGTATGCGTATCAGAATCAACAGATGTATTCGCATCAGAACCGCCTCCCTCCAATAGCTCCTCTGGGCATGCAACATCTAGGCTCTAACTACTCTATCTCTTCAGGTGCGCCGCCATACTTCAATTCCATGCATCATGCACCTTTCATGAACGCAAATGCACCACAAACGGCTGGTTTTTACGGAATTCCACCGCCGGCGCCCCCTCCCATGGGCGCATTACCTGGACAATACCCTCAAATGCATTCAATGTTCAACTCAGCTTCCCAACCACTGAGAAGTGTAGCGGCTCATCCATCTTCCGATTCAACGGGTAGTGAAATATCTGGGCCTGTCACTCTTTCTTCCAAAGAGCCCAGGGTATCGAGTTCTAGCTCAGTGTCGAGTGGAACTGCTGACATTGGTATGGGGTCTACTTCTGAAAAGAAGCACTCCAAGAAATCTCAAGCGGGCGCAAAACTTGTGCGGGGCGGTTACGCTGGTGCTTCGTTTGCTACAAATGTGCCAGCTGTAACAAACCTCCCCAAACCAAGCTTTACATGAGAATCTGGTATTTATCATGTCAACTCTAGGTGTACCGGTCTTTATCCACGTAGGATTTGGTGTTTCCGTTTTCCAGGGGGTGAGGTCGTACGCTAACTGGCCTAAGTCAGTAAATGTCTCTTGGTATGGCTTTAATTGGTTTTTTTTTTTTGGGATCTGAGCACGATAGGTGCTCTCTAAGGTTGATTAAAATGTATTTGCAACCTTGTACGCTTCAACTGCAGGAGTTTTGTTTTTTCAATTACTTGCCTTACAACGATAACATCTGATGAGGTTTACTCATGACATTTTTATGAAAAGAATTGATATCAAAAGGTGTTAGTTCAATGAACTTTCTGCGTTCAAATGATTATTAAATACACAAAGAACAATTTACGTTAGTGCTCTCCTCCAATTTATAAAACGACATTCTTCGCCAGCTTGTTCTTGTAATCCAAGATAGAACCATCCCATCTAGTGGCAGTCTTGTTTTCAACAACGAAAATGTCCTGTGCAATCTTGTCCAACAATCTGAAATCGTGGGAAACCACCACTACACCACCGTTGAAATCATTGATAGCCTCAGCCAATGAGTCGATGGTAGCAATGTCTAAACCGTTGGTAGGTTCATCCAGCAGCAATACATTTGGAGCCTGTAGAGCCAACAAGGCGAAAACCACACGAGAACGTTGCCCTTCAGACAAAGTACCCATTTGTGATGTCTGGGCCTCACCGGTCAAACCGTAGCGACCTAACTGCCCTCTCCAGTACTGGAAGTCCTGAGAAATGTTAGAATGTTTGTCACGCACGAATTCTAAAGGAGTTTTACTTAGATCCAACTGATCTTGAGAATGCTGAGAGTAGACACCGAGTTTGACATGGGTGTGACGAGAAACACGACCAGATTGAGCAGATAGATCACCGGTCATAATCTTCAACAGGGTGGATTTACCCACACCATTAGGCCCAACAAGTGCAACTCTGGAATCCATATCCACACCGAAGTTCAAATGTTCATATAGATTGTTTTCAGCTTTGCCGTCATAGGCGAAAGAGATATCGTCGAAAGCCAAAACAGGAGGTGGCAATCTTTCGACCTCTGGGAAACGGAAAGAAAAGACCTTATCTGGGACAACAGGCTCAATCAGACCATCAGCTTCCATCTTATCCAAAATTTTTTGTCTAGATTTTGCCTGTCTGACCAAGTTGGCATAAGTACCAGCGGAAGCAATGAACTTCTTAATATGGGCAATTTCTTCTTGCTGTTTAGCGTACTGTTTCATTTGATTGGTTTCCTGTTCGCTACGGGTCTTGACATAGGAATCGAAGTTACCACCGTAAGCAATTAATCTTTGCATACGCATGTCTATCATGTTGCTACAGACACCGTTCAAGAAATCCTGGGAGTGCGAAACCAAAACTAAAGTCCTGTCAAATCTCTTCAAATATTCTTCCAACCACACACAGGCCTCTAGATCCAAATGGGCAGTTGGGTCATCTAGCAACAACAGAGTTGGCTTGACGAACAATGCCTTGGCCAATGCGACACGCATTTTCCAACCACCAGACATGTCCTTAGTTTTCTTGTTAATAGTCTTGGAGTTGAAACCCAAACCAATCAAAATAACGGCAGCTCTGCTTTCGAAAGTCGAAGGGTCCAATGAGTCCATACGTTCGTAGATACCCTCCAAAACGTCAGATTCGGGACCATCTTCAATGATAGTTTTTTCAACAAGGTCTTCGAGACGCTTTAGTTCGTTTTGAGCTTCAGTGACCACGTATTCCAGAGCAGAGTACTCGGATGGCTCAGCGGGCTCATCAAGTAGATAGACGTCGATGTGCTCGGGGATTGGGTATTCACGGGTGGCTAAAGATTTTAGGAAAGTAGACTTACCGCAACCGTTTTCACCCAGTAGACCGTAACGACGGCCGTAGTTGAGTTCCAGCTGTGAGTCCTGGATTAGGACTTTACCGTGGAAAAGTAGCGAGACAGACGATAGTTTGACATCACGGGAGGTTGTGAGCGAGTCCAACACACCGGTGACGACACGGTCAGAAATACCGTCTTTGTCCAGTTGTAGTTTCATTTGGGCCACTTCACGAGCAGTGGCATCGGCTTCATCTTCAGAATCGTCTTTCTTCTTGGAAGCACGGATAGTTTTGCCCTCTGCGGCTCTCTTGGCGTCTCTCTCGGCCTTCTTGGCCTCTCTTTTAGCCTTGGATGCGGAAGCTGGTGGCATTTTTCAGTGCGATTGTGTGATGATTCTAGTGAGAATTAGCGCCGTACTAGGTATGTCAATTTTTACGCTAATAATGTCAGGAGAATCGGAACAGATAGCTTTCTTAATGCTCTACAGTCGTAGCGTAATAGGAAGTTCTTAACACTATCAAAAACAATGAGTTTCTCAGGTTTTATAAGAATTGAAGTGAGTTAAACTTAGTTGAAAGAGATGAGTATATCTCAGTGAACTTTTAATTTAGTTGCTATACTGAAAAGAAAGATGAAAAAATTTGAATAGAAAGAAAGAGAATTCGTTCAAGACGATGGCATTTTCAAGCAAGTTTTACGTGAAGAGTGATAATAGAGTAACTTGGTGGTTAGTGAATATTTTGGAGAGCGAGAATACGGGGAGTGTTAAGGATGTAAGTGGCTCTCTATTGGACGTACTGGCTTTGGCTGTACTGATTTTCAATGTAACAAATTGATGGCTTTCTTGAAAGTCACGTGACCTAGATCTAGATCGCGATTGACGGAAGCTGTAACTCTCACAACCTCTATTGTAGCTTGCTCAGCAATGCTACGTGATTCAGGGTCTCAGTAGGAACATGGCTGTAAATATTGGGCATAATCGTAGACTGTTTACGGGTCTTTTTGCTAGACTTGAGCCGGTTGCTGAAGCTGCACATTTTTTTTTTGGTTTCATTTTGACTTTGATTCAAGGAATTCGAGACAGTGGGTACTAATGGTATCATTTGACTTGTATAATTGTTTCAGTTGGGGCGAAAAACGTTCGCTTTGCATGCTACCTGCAGGATTCGGACGTCAGGATCAGAAACACTTGCAAATCCCACACGGCCACGTGATGTGAGATTGGAAGATAATAGTCAGTTGCCACAGGGAGCTCTGGCAATATGAATTCGATTGGTAGGTAGCGATGGCTGCGAGTCGTATTCATCTTATACTTCGGCTCATTACAACAGACCTCGCATCAACTCCGTACAGCGTATGTCACATTCGGCCAGAGTGATACAAATGTTAAAAGCACCACATATCGCTTGAAAAGCTTATCATTACCAGTTGAGCTGAGTGCCGATACACACTAATTCTAGACCATGATGGGATGGCATGGCTTTCTATCAAATGTCACTTTGAGGGGGCCAAGTGTCTGTAAAAAGTATAACGAGCTCCAATCCGAAAGTGTGTTCAAGTAAGCATTATTGGGACTTTCAGCAGTTCACTAAGCAAGAATCATGGCCTGACTTGACTGGACATAGGATTCCCATAGGTGAATACATTCCAGTTTTAAAAACCCTAAGACAGATATTATCACGTGATGCTACGACAGTAATACTGGCAAAGTGACAAGCCTCTCAGCTGTCACAACAGCTGGGGTGAGACTCCCTAGAACTAGAAAAATACGTTATGGTGGGCCAGTAGTTAGTCGCATCCGTAGCCTTTAACATAGAGCGAGTGTTGCTGTTATCATTGCGGAAATCTCACTTCTACGCCGGAGTAGTAAAAAAAGATTATACTACGTCCCCGAAAAAATCGCAAGTCAGTTGCTTGCAAAGTGTGAGCTCTGACCTATGTCTAGCTTATTATTTTTAACGTTCAATAACTGGTTACACTTTATCGTTTTCAAAACTATCTTCACTGCAACAATTATTTCGCTCTCAACGTGGCGCGTTCACTCAAATGATCCTGTGCACCGTACTATTGTGCAGCCTCCTTTTCACGCCTACTCAAAAGTAGTATAATGCAAAACCAGGCCACGCACGCCTCTGTCAGAAAGCTACGCCAGAAATTTTATCAACCTGCACTGAATAATTCGACATCCGCTACAACGCAAATATCTATAAAGTCTCTAACGTCCTGTGGTAATAAAGCTACCCGTGTTCCCCGTATCTCTGGTCGAAACGTCATCTACTTCCTACAGCAAACGATGGTATTTCTCTTCTTAACGCTAATACTGTGAAATCATCCTTTTCGTGACATGTATAATAACAGTGGTCTCTTATTTTCACAACTTGAGTTGAGCCAGGAAAAGAACACCATATGAAGCTCACCAATATTGGACCACCCAATCAATACCATTATCGCCATGCGCTCAATTCAATTGTTTTTCACGTAACAACAAATCAAGTTCAATCCTCCATTCTTGTCGGCTTTCCCGTCTTTTCTCTTACCACAGGCATTTTCGTAATGAAGTCTTCGCAATTGTAGGCCACAAATCCACCAGGTAAAAGCGTACAAACTACTCGAAGTGTGTCACCCTAAGCACTCCCTTTTGTCTACAAAACTGTTGTCTATATAGCTCGAACTTTCGGAGTTATCGTCCAGTGATACTTTCCTGAGCATGTGGACAATGGATGTCTCTTTGAGCCACAGCATAGTCCATCGTAGAGAAGTTCAAGAATAAACCCGGTACATGGACCATGTCTAGCATATATCGCCTCACAGCATCATTTAAATAGTCTCAATAGATGGCGAACGTCTTACCGTAATAACCTTGTGCATGTAGATATCGCAAGCCGTTTCGATCTACTACAAATCTATTTATCTCGCTAAAAGAGCCATAGGATTAGAAATTTACATTGTCCCAACGCCGTCTTCCACCCCTTTATCGAGATGTCCTTCAACCACATTCCAGTGATTGATTTGGAAGACGCACTGAAGCCAGAGAAAAAACAAGAGTTCTTAAGAAAGTTGCAAGATGCACTTGTAAATGTGGGTTTCTTCCTGTTGGTGAACTTTGAGAAATTCGGCCCACCAGCTCATCAGTTCGAAGATATCAAGTCAGAAGCACTGAACTTTTTTGCGTTGCCAGATGAAATCAAAAAAGAGTGTGAAATGCTGAACTCTCCGCATTTTTTGGGCTACACCAAGCTGGGAAATGAGATTACGGGCGGTAAAGCAGATTGGAGAGAGCAGATCGATTTAGGAACAGAACTAGCCGCTCCCAAAGATCCAGAACCGCTCTACAAACAGCTGGAGGGCCCCAATCTGTGGCCACAACCGGAGTATGCTCCAAAGTTCCGCCCTGTGGTGACAGACTACATTAAAAAAATGACACAGCTATCCACTGCGTTCAGAGGCTTTGTATGTGAGGCCATTGGCCTACCAGCTGGCCGTTTAGACTCTTATTTCAAGCCTGACCAGCAATGCAAGATAAAACTCATCTCATACCCTGAAAAAGTGAACGATGGAGTACAGGATTCAGAAAACGGCGATTCTGAGCTTCCTCAAGGTGTTGGACCGCATCGGGACTCTGATTTCATCACTTTTATATTTCAAGCTTCAGAACATAGAGGCTCTTTACAAGTTCAAAACTTTCAGGGCAAATGGATTCCCATTGACAATGTTCCTGGAAGCCTTGTGGTTGCCGTGGGTCAAACACTCGAAGCTATAACCGATGGCGTCTGCAAGGCCACTATCCACAGAGTGACAAGTCCACAAGAAGGCGCAGGTGTAAGATTGTCTATTCCCTTCTTCCAAACAATAGACATTGATTCTCGCAAAAGTGCCGTTTCCGATTTATCGAGTGACATACTGCGGCTAAGAGATGAAAGGGACAAGCTTATAAACAATTGGGGCGTGGATGTGGGGTTTCAGTTCAAACCTGATCTTGTCACGCATCCGGTTGGGTATGCCGTTTTCCGAAACAGAATAAAGTCGCATCAAGACGTCGCTGCCAAGTGGTACCCGAAAGAGCTTAAACAAGTTCTGACAGAGGTCTAATTGGAACAAGGGACAAAAAAGTAGGTTATCAGAGAGCGCGATATTGTGAGTGGTTGTTTTCAACTAAGGAATGCGGCTGACAACTGCGTACTTGATTTCGCCATTACTGGGCAGAGCTCAACGGTGACATGGAAAGCGTGGGCTTGTGGGTCTGTGCCAGGCGATCAGCTGTAAAGAGCACATATGTGTGTGAATTAGTAGAGGGGTTTACCTGACACCGGTTGCAGAAAAAGTAAACGTCTGTTGTTTAATCTACCGTGGACACTGGCGTTCTGTTATTAGCTCTATAACGTACAATAACTACTCCGCCAAATATTGGAATCACCAGCGGGACGGCACAGTTGTCGTACCACCATATTTACTGCTCCATGACTGGTATTCCCAGACCCGGAGGCAAAAAATACATCTGAGAAGTCGGTTCTTTGGTTTTCACCTCGAGAAAGAGTTCGGAGGACGACGATTTTAATGAACTTTCCCACTTACCCGAGAATCTCGCCTTCAAGACAAAAGCAGTTGATAGGCTTGTCTCCAGGACTCATTGCCTTGATAAATTTCTCCACGATACTCAAACCCACTTTTGGCAAGAACGTGCTGCATCGTTTTGTTATCTTTGTGAGTGTCGGCTCTGATGTCCTTGAAGCCCATCTCTGAACATATCTCAATAAGGCCAGTCATCATGATGCTTGACAGCTTTTTACCCTGAAATCTAGGCGATATAGCCGTACGATGTATAGAAACGTAGTTCTGCTCGTTTTCGCGCCCCATCCATTGGCCATCTATCGCAGTGTAGGCAGGGTCAACACCGACCAGGATAACACCCACAGCAGCTATTTCGCCCTCGCAAATCATTAAATAACTTCTATCCTTTTTGATGTCCGTCTTGATAAGTTTTTTATTGGGATAACCATCCTGCCATTGGTCGATATTCAGTGACTTCAAAAGTTCTTTGGCTGACTCCAGAATTGACCAAACCTCGTCCAAATCTTCTAAAGTCGCTTTTCTAAAGAAGTGCATTGGGAACAGTACTTGGGATTGAGATCAATGATTGAAACACACTAGGCTTCGAACGTTTCGAGTGTAGAAATTGTTTTTAGGAGTAGGAAGGAAGTTTTTCAGACGAATTTATCGTCAGCGGAGAGATACATGTTGAACAGTAGGAGTTATCAATATGAGTCTAGTGCTTGTAATGACTCATTACGGTGTTACAGGCAGTTGAAGAAAGTAGCAAGAATCGAGGTAGAAAGTTCAAGGTAGAAAATTCACACATACATAATGCGATTTAGAACAATCAGATGAAATGAGAATTACAAGTAGGTGCTGGAATGCCGAATTTTTTGAGATTTCATAATCATTAACTTGATCTGTTCACTTCTAAAGACCTGGTACGGAGTTTCGAAACGAATATTTCCTGTATTTTTGAATAGTCCCCAGATCAGGCATGTCACAACGGATTGACTTGACAACTAAATTATCTGGATAAGAATACGCAGGGCTCTTGAATGCGCAAATCTCGAAGGTTTGCTGGATCTTAGATGCTTCCAATTATGGAATGCGATTCGCAGACACACCCTGCTGACGTCGAAAGATCTACGTTTACGACCAAAAAGTGAGAAAAGAATATGTTTTGAAACGGTTTGCCGACGTTTGTTTGTCTGTGGCTTAGCTTGGCACACTGGCCTGGCTCAGTTCTGCCCCATTTACGGTGCCGGCTGCGATGATTCGTACGTTTGTCGTGAATACGCATAACAAGAGATCTACTTGCCAGATCTGGCAGTTTTGAGTACGAAACGCTTAACAACGTTGACGCTCGTTTTGCAAGCTTCTCCAGGCCGATCCTTTGACGACGTTGCGTTGGCGTGTGAAGCCAATACGTTTACGTGATGACGTGTGAAGGCACTCGCAGCACAATGGACTTTGAAACAGCTGAAACGGGCTCGAGAACGTTGTAAAAGCCGACGATCTGATTTTGAGGACGTTAGATAGCTCTACGGTCGGTTTGCAACGATCCTGATGGCCCGGACTGCAGCACTCCGCATTTGCAAAATATGCTAAATGGCTGGGTGGCTGTTTGGGTCTGAAGACTAGCATTCTCAGAGACACTTGGCATCGTTCTAGTCGTGATTGTCTCTGGATGAGTGTCTTGTGCGTTCCTTTCTGCGACGTCAGTGTTTTGCTCGAGACAACTCTTTTTTTCATGCTTCGTTACCATTCTCCATGGTGTGTGTATGTGTTAGCAGAGCATGCAAACCACCGTACTCGATTCAGTCAGCTTTGAAACCTTCCCCGTAGTAGTCGTGGACACGTCTCCCTCAAGCTGTCCCATTGCAGAGATGTGCAGCGTTTTCTATTTTTACGAGTGCATATACGACGTGCAGTTGGGCTGCTTACGGTACGACTCGCAGCTCGAGAATTAACGGTGACGTCAACCCGTGCCAAAACGATCTACACGAATGGCATTCGGATTTACTCTTCTCTTCGCCGTCCCGATTATCCAAGCTACAGACCGTCAAGCCAAGACCTAGCCTAAAATGCCTATTGTAGAATAACTCACATTACAAACCGTCCAGCACATGGAAAATCGATGCCGTGAACCGTTACCTCGAGAAGAAAACCTCCGAAAAACTACTGGAAACCGGGTTAACTATGTGGGAATTCCATGATTCGTGCTAGCGTTACTCGCGGTGATAACCAAGCGTCTTTCATGTTCCTACGTGTTTCCACGAGTGTTCCCTCAAGAGTGTTCCTACCAAAGACTTGTTTACTGGCCCACGGGAAAAGAAACAAGAAACGAGAACACAGGAGCGATCAGATGACTTGTTCATACAGCTCTTGCATGATCAGGTTTTTGCAGCCCATTGTTCAAACATATCGTTGTCGTAACTACATATGCACGCTCGAACGGAAAATCGAACCGTTCCCTGTTGCTTAGGTGAAAGCTACATTTTCAAGCAATGTAACAGTACCTAACTCCGGAAATGAAGTTCCTTAAGACCGCAACCACTAAAAGCGGTTTTTTTGCCAGAGAAAGTCACAAAGGTCAGACAACCGAAGCGCTTGTCTCAAGCAACGCGCTCGTCGATCCCAGTGTCCGCATAAAATTCAACTCACGCACCGTTTGGCCCAATGCAGATCCGTCGCTCGCCAAAGCTTTATGATCGCCGAAATTTTGAACAGTTCGCTGCTTTTGTACGGCAGCGAATAGGCCTTTAATAACGTACAGTACCTAACAGCTGCTTGCGTAACGGTGAGTAGTTCAGGTCAACGTGTTTTTGGATGTAGGGATGATTCGCGTTAGCGATTGTCCTCTGCGGCTTTTCGCAATAGTAGCTGGCGCAGAAACTCACATAGAGAATGCTCCAGCCGTAAACGACAGACAGTTTGCCCTGGATTCTGCTGGTACTGTTATCTGCAACCCTGCTTCGGTGTACGTAGTAGCACTTCGAAAAGCCAAGATTTGCAAAGGAATTTGCCATTTTTTGTGGCACACACGTAGATGTGCCTGGTGACACTGTCACTGATTAGTGATTTTCGCTGTCATGGTTCAAAAAAGCCCGGAATCCGAACGGTCCTGGAAGTACCTTACTAGCCCATTGTTTCCCGTGTATAGCGTTCGATGGGCACCATGAAGTACCTAAAACCGTCCGTGTAAGGTTCCAACTTCAACAAACCGGACCTGCAGAAACCTTACGAACCGTGGTCATCTGCAACATGAACCAACCACCCATTTTGAGCGTACCATGTAGTCTTATTAGCACCGTGTTTCTCTTCGAACCAACTCCGACGCGCATCCTCGAAGCTCACCTCAAGAATCATCTCTGGGTCAAGGAACCATGGTCAGATGACCTCAGTTCTGAACAAATCACGTGACTCCATTTTCTCAAGCTGTCATTAACTCAATTAATTACCTGGTAAAATTACGAATTGGCAATGCATCATCGGGTATCGCACCAACTTTTGAGGTCTACCAAGTCTTGACCTCGATAACTTGTGAGTATTTTTCTTGTTTTGTATGGCTACAACTGCTGAGACGCTATTCCGCGAAAAATCGGTCGTAGAGGTCCGCGACTACAATCTAAACCTCACGCAAGAGATAGCCCGCGCAAGAGACACCTTTGAGTTTGAACTGGGCAAACGATACACTGATATCCTGGCTGTTACTGATGAAGTTGAAGTTTTGCTGCAGGAGGCCCGTCTGGCAGATGCCAGTTTGATGGACTTGTGTTTCAACGATTCTAAATGCAAACTGGAGACTGTATCAGAACCGGTAAAGGAATTGGGCACACCATTGGGACTCAATGGCTTTAATTCGGCATCTATTGTGGGTTCTGAGGCTTCAAGTGAGGCCCACTGTACGCTGGCCGTATCTGAGTGGGTTCTGGCGGTGCTAGCTTTGGTACAGGATCCAGGATCATTGAAAAATCTCGATTTACTGGTGTCTAAATTTGGGTTCATCAATAAAGTCAGCGTGCCGGAACAATTCAACACAGTGATTGCCGACAAATGTAAATTGCTAGAATCGGCCGTTTTGCAGCACGCTTTGTCTCTAACGGCGAGCCACTGGGTCAGATTGCAAAAGCTCTTTCATGATTATCAAGAATCGCCGCTGTTTGAATTCAAACAAATACATGCAATTGACGAATTGGCCTTTGACTTTCTGTTAGGTAATGAAGACTACTTGCAACGAAGCGTGACCGACGCAGAGGTTCAAACTTTTTTCAAAACGCCTGTTTACAGAGCCAAATCTATCGAGAGGGCACTAAAATTGATCGATGAGCAGTTCCGGAAGTATGAAAGCAATGATTCTTCAGGGGAACAAAGTGATTTGGCTCTTTACGACGACACCGATGAAGAATCGCTTCAACTTTTTGTTAAGAATGTTGATTTATACTGCAAAGGTGTCATTACAATAAAAGATCAGAGATTGGAAGCCTTGGTGGAGCGTGTCATAGAAACGATTGCGAAACTCAAAACTTCTCGTGTTGAGGCGAATGTTCTTGCGGACATAAAGAACCGTTTAGCAACCCATGTACAGGCGAGATTGGCGGAACTCGAAAACGACTATCACGATCTCGATGTAGTCGCATTAGAAGTTCTGGACGGTTCCGATGCCGAGCAACTTTCTAAGGAAGGTACTCAAGGTTCAAATGAACTGGCAGAATTGCCTTCTGTGAGGGCCAAGGGTGAGGGCATTGGTACCACCACGGAAAGCTCGTCTGCAAAGCCCCATGAGCCACATGAAACTCTTTCCGAAGTCAAATTAGAGAATATTTCTTCCGGCAAGGAAGCGACTAGTAGCAATGACGAAGCTAAGAGTGACAAGCTAGACTCCGTGGGAGAAGAAGACAAAAAGTCACAGGGACAGTTTTCAGAACAAATTGGAAAACAAGATGCATACAAAGAATCATCAACGGAACCCGAAAAAACTGATGAGCCGCCCTCAAAGGAAAAAGAATTAGAAGGCGAACGAACACAACCAAAACCTACAGAAAAGCTTAATCAACAGGATGAGTCGGAAGCATCAAAACCCACGCAAATCGAACCGGAGTCGCCATCACTTGCGCCAAACTTGACCCTACCTTATTTTGATGGAAAGACAATCACATTGGCGAACTCGAATAGCCTCGTGAATACATCGTTGGATATCACCAACGCCTCAAATCTCAAGCACCATCTGGAATTCCAAATACAGCAGATTCGACTACTATGATTGGACTCACTCACTACTAGTGTACCCGAGAGTACCCATTCAGAAAGTTCCATGTATCACCGGGTACGGACGCTACAGATCTAATGATTGTTCAATTGAGTCATAGGAGAAGTATAAAAACAAGACAATTCGGTCTCTATAAGGTTCTTCGAGACTCTTGGTTTTTTGTTAACGCATGTTTAGTGCATTGAAACGATTTGGAATCTTTGAAACCTTTTTTAAAGTTCCATCAGCCCAAATGACCACATCAAGTTTAGGCCAGAACCATGGCCAATACCGGGAGCAAGTAGAGGCCCAATTGAGAGAAAACAAAGAGCGTTTGGAGGCTCTTACGCATGAAGGATCGCAAATTGGGTTCACAGTGGATCCCAAGGAGACTCCCAAAGCAAATCCGGATTTGAAGGTGTTTTTCTTCGATATCGACAACTGTCTTTACAAGAGATCAACCAAAATTCATGATCTTATGCAAGTGTCCATTCACAGATATTTCAAAAATGTGCTTCAATTAGACGATAAGGAAGCCCATAAACTGCGTGAGACTTATTACAGGGAATATGGTCTTGCTATTCGCGGTCTGGTCAAGCATCATGACATTGGAGCCATCGAATATAACAAAATGGTAGACGATGCTCTACCACTGCACGACATACTAAAGCCCGATCCAGCACTGCGAAAGATGCTGATCGAACTGAGAAACTCCAATACGGTGGACAAAATGTGGTTATTCACCAATGCCTACAAAAACCACGGATTACGCTGCGTCAGACTCTTGGGAGTTGCAGATCTTTTCGATGGTATAACGTATTGTGACTACTCACAAAGGGACAATCTGGTTTGTAAACCAGACCCACAAGCGTTTGAACGAGCCAAGCTACAGAGCGGTTTGGGAGACTACAAAAACGCCTGGTTTGTGGACGACAGTGGTAGTAATATACAAACTGCGATATCGTTGGGGTTCAGGAAGAGTATACACTTGATAGAAGAGGAAGTGGACGAATTGTTGGGCCAAAATCCGGAGGGCTCATTAATAATCAAGACCATCGAAGATTTGCCGCAAGCAGCGCCTGAACTGTTTTTATAATTGCGAAAAATCACTGATATTTGTCTTTAAATTGTGAACAAATTCACATAACTTTGAAGTAACATGAGCTCAGGGTGGTCAGTGTCTTCACACAAATCTTGTATTCGTTTTCTCAGCTGCTTTGAGTTCTCACTACGAGCCGGTGGGAATATGTCGGTGCCATACACAAGCAGTACGAAATAGACCATTTGAAGATAATTTTTAGAGCTTGGAATTGTGGCGCAAAATTTGATAATCGTCTCCCAGTCAGCATTGGGAAATAGTTCATCGATAAGTGGTTTACGGAACTCCGGAATCTGTTGTGATATGCGAAGATGTAGCATATATTCCTCTCGATCCACAAGCTCAAAGTAAATATTCAGAAAATGAACTTCCGATAACTTGGCATAAATTGTAGAGCACCACGAAGTTATGCATTCTGCCGATTCAAAGATGTTTCGATCCAGGACAAAACGAATAAAAGTTCTGGTAAATCCACTGCTGTTCACGTAATTTTCAAGTTCTTTGCACATCCATGCCACTGACTCCAATCTGTTCATAGTGTCATACATAGAAGTTTTTATGCGTTCTGTGTTTTCCGACATAAAGTTCACGACGCCAAAGGATCGCAGGAGGTCATTCAAGGACTTGTTATGGATATTTGCACTCGGGTTCAAAAACACATCCCATGGATCCGGACGCCTGACAGTAGCATCCTCGGATATGAAGTGCCAATCTCGAAATCGTTGACCGCTGCTTTCCGCAACTACCATTTCCACATATGCACGCGGAACGTTCTGCTTGAAGATGGACATCAAAAACTTGGAGGTTTGTCTTGAAGCATCTTCAGACTCCTTGGGCTCCACAACATCAGGTTCGATTATCTTGGAGAGTTCCTCGAACTTGTTTAGCCTAGCAACTATGTTTTCGTCAAACGCACGCTCTGAGGTATCGAACTCTACGAACCGTAGCTCGTCAGATGGTTTGGGGCTCTGTCTCAAACCACCAGTACCTAAAGGGATCCCAATGTCCTGCAAGGGATCTTCAGAGTCTGGATCGCTTTCAAGTGAGTCAGAAAGACACACAATGTCATTCAGCGAATGTTTCTTGCTGCTCAATATATCATCAGAATCTTGCGAGTCAGCGACCAGCTCTGGTTCACAAGTCTTGTCATCAACAGTTGAGGCAGCAGAATAGTAGTCTGAGTAGTTTACAGGACTCTCACTGGGGTCAAGATTGGGCCTATCGCCCATGTTCTGGTTTTACTCATCAGTAAACAGTTTTTGACTATGGGAACAAATATCGACATTTCTATTTTATTAGTCTAAATACAATACGATGACGATGAAGCACCACCGCACATAGCCGTAGGAATCAGTAGAGTGGTCCACGCTGTTACTACAGAACCCTACAATTTGAAATTTGTGTCAGCCAAAAAAGCCCTCCAATATTCAACCTTCTTGGGACGTTTAAAGTACTTCAGAATAGCGCAAGTTCGTTCTAGTCTGTGAGATTCAAAACACCGAGCAAAGGTAAACCGGAATACAGTTTAGCTTAAGCCTTGGGAGTTTGTTGTTGTTTCTTCTGTTTGGCAACGACATAAATCAAACCAGCCAAGAAACCCAAAAAGATGGAGAAAATGGACAAAAAGTTCTTTGGAGCATCGAAGAAGACCAATCCTGAGAGAGCGATAGGTAGCTTGTTAAGAGCACCTACCATCGAGTAGGTAGTAGAGGATGTGACTCTCACACACCAGCCGGAACAGTAGGAAATACCAACAGAGGCCAAACCGGAGATGATCAAAGCAGTCATGAATTCCCGAGTGAAAGTGGTAGACACGTTAGCGGCAGACCAGTCCTCCAAGATGAAAGAGGAGACCAAAAGAACAGGCAAGGCCAAGATGTTGTTGTAAAACATGGTGTCGTAATCCTTGAAGTTTGTCAATTTGATTCTTTTGCGCATGACCAAAACAAACAAAGCGGAGGCAATGCAGTTGCTGAACATCCACAAGTAGCCAGCAGTAGGGTCCTGAGCTGCCTCGACACCAGATTTGGAGGACAAGGCTTGCTGATCTCCCATAGTTGCAACGACAGACGACAACACCATCACGACGAAAGCCGATAGTTCCATGGCGGTGACTTTACCACCAAAGAACAACACTTCACCGTAAGCGATCAAAATGATGGTCAAGTTCTTGAAAATGGTGTAAATGGGGACTGCCAAGTGCTGGAGCGCTTTCGAAGACGTGTAGATCATGGCCACAAGCAAAAGTGAGATGGGGAACCAATTTTTCACATCTGTTTTGTTGAGAGGTCTGAATTTGGCGTAGCCAAGCATTTTTAACACTGCAAGACACGCTGTGCACACCAAGGCTTGCACAAACAACATGACAAAGTTCATGTTGAAGTTGGCACCATTGACCACGAATTTGTTGGTAACGGTCATCAAAATGGAAGACCCACAGTATGCCATGATCGACACGGGGCCGGAGTTCACGATGTGCGACAATCCACCGCTGGATTCAGTTCTGAGCTCAGTCATTGGTGGTTAAAAAATTTCGAAAACAGATCTACTACGCACGCGAATCGAACAAAAAGTGGGCTTGTAATAATGCAAAAGCTGACGAACAAAAGATCACTTGGGCGATATTAAGTTCACCGTTTTCGAACCAGATGTCAGTTAAACAGGAAAATTGAGTTTTCAAAGCGATTCTTGCACTATTTGATCGAGATAAAGATCGTGTGTTGAAGTGGTTTATGTTCGACATCTTGTTGGGATGTTTAGATATGAATTTAAGCTTGAAAAACGCGAAAGAGATTGGCACGTGCACAGGGTAACCTGTTTGGGAACGTGACACGGCGTCAGTAAAATGGAAAAGCATTTGGAAAAGGTATCACGTCTGAGATGGAAGCTGACAGGGGAGCAACTTGTATGAAATTAGAATTGGGTTGCATTTCCACTTTGTTGTTTTGCTTCGTTCTCATACTGTTGCGGATGCTCGAAACTGTCACGTGATCCTGGTCTGGTTTAGCATACACTGGAATCATCCGTTAGACTTTGCCACAGATTAGCGCCGTGTGGGTCTTGACAGTCGTGGTATAGCCGCTGCTCACATCTTATTCACAAATGTTTGCTGTTTATTCAAAATTTGATAGACGTAGGGCTTGATTGCCCGGTTGAACGTTATCATGTGGAGTGACGATGACTTATAATCGTGGGGTTAGAAGCATATCACAGTTTGTAAGGTCCAGTACCTCTAATAGAACATAGAGTATTGTCTCGAAGTGGTGGTGTCCTTGTAGCGTCAAATCCATGCCCAAAGCGATCGAGGCACGTGACACGATGACAGCGCCAGAATCTTGAACTCTTGAGGTTGCATTTATGGTATTATCTATACAGGAATCAACAGGTCTAGTGGCATCCGGGCAACGTGGAAGTTTTGGCACCCTTCAGGGATGTTTCATCCAGTCTATAAACTCATAAGCTCATCTATACCTCACGGAGAGACGACTCTAAACTCGATTAAAGCATAGTTTACATCTAACAATGGTGGAAAGAATTAATTACCCAAGATATGAGATATTCATCGTGCAACGACGCTCCAGAGACAGAGTTTCTACACAAGTATAAACAAGAACAGTCTCCGTTGTTGTAGCGGCCTGCGTGAGCCATTCGACACGTAACATGACAACGAGAATCGGTACCGTCCATAAACAATGCTGAATCTCATACATTTCTAGATATTTGTACACTTTTCTGTGATGAGCACAACAGAAAGCGATGTCACACCCGTATATAGTGATGAGTCCTTTGAGGGACTATATCACTAACTACGTATTTTCCTTTTTAAGGATGTGTCTCCCTCGTGCGATGTGATATGGTGCAAATTGGATTTTTCTATTTCGTTTAACACGATATTATTTGGCACGTGAGCTCATTTACCACGGATTTATGCTTATGTAATCAATTTTCGCACATAGTGATATGGGATCATGTTAACCCGTTCAGACGACGTGATGTGTATAATATGAATGATTAAAGATGACACTATAAGATGCGGCAAGCACATTTACGTCTTGATGCTTTGGAGGACAATTCAAAATTCCCATTCATACTCAAACGAAGTTATCAATGCACTGCCACTGATAAAATCATTCCACGCATCCTGTTCCATCAACTAGTGTTAATTGTCGACTTGTAGATGTGTCACTCACCAAGTATTGAGATCGCACTTTCCGTACGGAGTGATTCTCTCAATATGGTGTTTGGGTGTTATGAATAACCGATCTTCTTACCACAGCGTAAGCACCACAATCACTATGAGAATGCAATAAGGACCATTAGAATCCACCTTTTAAAAATCCGTTCCATTCACCAAGGTCACTGCACATACCCTGAGCTTCTCGGACCGTCCAATTGTCCCTCCGGAAATGAGGTTTTCATCACGTGACCATAATTGGTCCTTCTCGTTACACGGCTCTTGAAAGAGACTCAAACGCCCACGGCACTCACGCAAATTGTACAGGAATGGCCTCATTTTGAGCGCAAATTGTCGAGTCTCATCTACGTGGTCAATACAACCCTTTATTCGATTCTATATAATCGATTTGGTCCAGCAATTTTTCATTTTTACAGAAAATCACCATCCATCAGTAATAAACATTTATTTTCGAGGCTACTATATTTGATCTAAAAACGTTGAAACAAGACATCTAGGGAAAAGTCAGGTCATCCGTTCCCTCACTTCCCTGATATAGTCATGATAACCTAGTTTTAGACATCCAGAGGGCTTTCTGCAGTATATATTCACCTTTGTAGAAGATCAAGTTGTCGTTGACAAGATAACTTGGTTTGTTTTGGGCGGCACCTGGACGTTTCGCTGCAGATAGCTGGCAAGAAAAAACCGTTTGCAAGAGGCCACGATGGGAAGAAGCAACAGGTTTTGAATGTCTTTTGCGATCTACTGGGGTATATACGATGGGATATTAGTAGCGCTTGTATTTTTGCATTGCAGTATTCCGGTGACCTGAATTGAACTACCCTGTCGGGTTTTGCCAGTGCTTCTGACTCGTAGTGGGTAAACAGGCATTCCCCAGGGCATCAGAAAGGACATGAAACCCTTTTTTTTTCAACCAAAAACGGTGTGTGCTAGAAACAATGAGAAACTATAAAGTCCGAAAAGTGACGCCTTTTCGAAAACCAAAGATTGACAGATCTAATGTGACACTTGAGTGTTACGTGGGCCAATTTTCATCCCATTATTAAGTCCGTCCGCAACTTCTCAGTGGTGAAGAGTCATCAAACATCCTGCATGCTGCCAACTTTTGGCTGTTTTCGCCATAAAACTGCAATTCGCAGGTCAAATGTATCCGATTCAAGCACCGCAGGTACACCCAACCGTATCAGAACTCACATTCCGTGCCATCCTCAACTACAGGGGAATACTTCCAGACAGTTTATGTGTGGAAAGTATGAAAAACGACCTTGTCTTCCGACAGAAACGGAAATCGGCTCCAACAAATCGTCCGACAAATTTTGGCGTGTACCACAGAGAAACAACAGACGGTCAAATTCAGTATTCCACAGGATTCTTTTCGTTTCTGCGCCCCATTACCACTTCGCTCTCCACGTCTCTCAAAAATTGTCCAATTGACATCAAAAAAAGTCCGGTAAAAGGCCTGTTTTGAGATATACTCGATTTAAAAGACAATCTCTATCCACCACCACAGCTTAAGGGCCCTCAAGATGCCAAGATGCGTTCTTTCGGCAGTCTGGAAATTCTAAATGCGTTCCAAGTGACATCAAGATCTCAGTCCTGTCTAAATATTCAGACCCTGACTGTAAAGGAAAAGTTTTTATAACGAGATGGGCAAAAGATACAAGAAATGACAGAGGGAACCCCCAGCATGTTCGAAATGCTTGATGAGAACGAATCAAATGGTGGGGTTCGGTTTGACTCAATGTTAGAAATTTTGCCCGAGGAAATTGACATCAGTTTTGGCGAAGATATTGGACATTCAAATGATAGAATAGAAAAGCTACATGCGGAGCCAGAATCGAGGACAGTGATGGAACCACCGCCGATGTCCCAATCGGTGGATACCGGATCGTTATTTAGCACCCCATCCATGCAACCTGTGTCCATGGAAGACCAGCAGAATGGTGAAATCGCGCAGCTATGGGATTTCAACGTGGACGACTTTATGATGACACCGAGCCAAACGAGCGATTCTGCGACGATCAGTGCTCCAAACAGCTACAACTCGGAATTTCACGCACAGCTGGATACTCATGGTGGAACTGGGAGCATAGGAACCGAGGGACTGAGCTCTTCAGCCTTCGCTGCTCACATGAACGGGCAGGGAAATAACAACTGGAGTCATCTTCTGGGCAATCCTGTGCTATCCGATATAAATACACAACAAGTGTTTGCAACCTCAATGTCTTATCGCTCAGAAGATCCCCAGTCAACGTCGTTTTTCAGGCCAACACTGCCGACCCGGCGATCGTCATCGCAGTTGGTCAAGAACCTAGGCGAAGACGGAAACATTGCTCTCACATCTCACAACACTACAAACTCGATACGTAAGAGTTCTTTGGCAAGACCATTATCATCTACATCCTTGGCATCGCACCGTCAACAAGCGGGATCTGAGCTACCCCGAAAACCTCCAGTCGAATGTTTCAATTGTAAGACCACTAAGACACCACTGTGGCGTAGAGATACAGACGGTAACACAATGTGCAATGCGTGCGGTCTTTTCCAGAAATTGCATGGAACCATGCGTCCGCTTTCATTGAAAAGCGATGTAATACGAAAACGAAACACCAAGAAACGGAGTAAAAAGCCTGTAGCCTCAGAAACTAAAAATACTAGCAATGGATCTCGGCAAAAGGATTCGAACAAAACCAAGTTAGGCGCAGCAGCACAGCCGTCCCTTTCTATGAATGCTACACCTTCGTCGAATGAGCCTTCGCAAGCTTCGAACGGCAACCCATCGCTCTCTTTCAACACAATCAGCACTGCAACAATTAATTCTAACCAGCCCTTGAGCTCCAAGACTCTAATGAATCACAACAGCCGAATGCAAGGCGGAAATACTGCCGGGGTATCTAAAAAATCCAGACGTTCCAGCAGCTCCAGTTCGGCATCAAACTCCAGTAATCGCTCCTCATCATCGCGGACCATGGTATCTATTTTACCCAAACCATCTCCTGGTGCTTCTCAGCGTAATCCGTACCAGTTGATGAACGTTTTCCCCAACAGCGCTGGAAACAGTGCAGCTTCTTCACCTAGGGTATCTATGTCGCCTCGGCCGACATCAGCCCAAAGCCCGGTGTCTAATCTCAATGGCCAGGCTATCCCGCAAACATCAGGAGGCGGCTCTGGCATTAGTGTGCGGCGAAAGCCTTCCCGCCCAGGCTCGTCATCCATGGTTGCATCATCTTTGCAACAGCATCAGCAGCAAGCAACGGCTTACGCTCAACCAACGGTTGGAAGTTCCTCCTCCACCATATCTGCGTCTTCGCAATCCTGGAACGCAGCACCCGGCACTGTGTCTTCTCCCAAAGTTGCGAGATCTCCCCGGTCACCTTTTGATCTGTTTTCCTCGCAGGAACCTCAATCAAGACCTGCGTCGCGGAAGTCGCAGACTTCTCTGTTATCTCAGCAGCTGCAACAGGCCAGCCTTGTACCTCAATACCCACAGTCACCTTCTCAGTTCCAGACTCCCACAAACAGTCAAACCAATGGCTTCTCAAACTCCGCTACTCCTCAGCCTAGTTCCATCAAACGATCTTCTGCCACTGCTTCTCCGCGAAACGGTTACATGGATTCCATACAGCAACAGCGTGGATTGCATGCAGAAGCCAGTCTTCGCAAGACGACATCTTTACGACCAGAGTCCTATGGTACTTCTGGTTTGCCTGCTACCAATCAGAGTTCCAACACTCCAAAGCAGAAAGACAATGCTTTGGACGATCTTGACTGGCTAAAATTCGGACTTTAAAAACTGATCTTTTTTAACAAACGGCGCATTCATAAAAACACTCGGTTGATGGTATCACCCCAATTTGATCTTCAAGGCTTGAAATTTAAGTCGTTCAGACATGGCTGTCTCAATGACACACTATTTCATTGTAATTCTGCATTTATCTATTAGAGTAGTATTATTATCATAATAATGACAAAACGGTTCTGGTCTCTAGTTTGTTCAAGATTAAGTTTACTTCTTTAAGCTGAGAAAAATTACTTTCTCCTGCTAGGAATGTGCCATGGGTGTTCCTGCTTTGTGGGAACATATAAAGACAGACGAAACTGTTCTTAGGGTGCCCTTTAAACAGCTGGTCATTGATTTTAAGACCGATACAGGAAGATCGCCTCGAATCGCTATTGATGCTTTCGGCTGGCTCTTCGAATGTGGATTTTACACAGAATATAATGAAAACAGTAACTCACCCAGCAAGTCCTATAGAGGAGGAGAATCCCTGGCTATAATCTCTCTATTCAAACGTTTGAGTGCTCTTCTAGCGCTCGATGTGACCTTTATTCTGGTGTTCGATGGACCATCGAAACCTGAGTTCAAGAATAGAGCAAAACTTAAAAAAGCAGTTGGTACTGACTTGGAGGATGTGGGTTCTGAGCATAACACCGGCGTATCATTAGAAACTTGTCCATTCGAATTGGACGACACTTTTTTCCCGGACAGACTAAACCTTGTTAAACGGTTTTTGAAAGCCTTGAATATTTCATGGATCGATGCAAGCGGTGAGGGAGAGGCAGAATGTGCAAGACTCCAGAAATTAGATTTGGTTGACTTCATAATCACCAATGATTCCGATGCCTTCATATTTGGGGCTACCAAAGTTCTACGCAACTTGTCAAAGTTTTGGGAGGACCTACCAGCTTCATACGCTGGTAACACGAAGAAGAAAGACCATAAGGAAACCTTCATCACGATATTTGACATTTCCAAATTGAAAAATTGGAATCGAGATCAAATCATTCTATTCTACGCACTTTTGGGCGCGGATTATAGTCAGGGCGTACGAGGCCTGGGTCCTAAGAAGTCGGCTACGTTAGCGCTATTGCAGGAGCCTAATTTCTCCTCAGAGTTCACATCCATATTCAAAAATCCGCACTTGGACATCAAGGAGCGCCTGCAGCGCTACACATCATTTCAAGACCGTGTGTTTAAGCACAGCCAAGCCAACAGCACCGCATTGTTTGGCAGAAACTACTTTAAATCGTCGGCGTTTGACAATTTTCAAGGGTGGCCTTCTGAAGCCGCACTCATGCATTATTTCCATCCTGTTGTGTCGTCCACCGTGGATATGACTAGTTTAACGGGCGATTTTGTCAACATTAGCGGCAATTTGACTCTCGTGGAGCGAAACTTCCGGCAACTGATGGAACTTTTTAGCGAGTACAATTTAAGGAGCATTTCAAACTTGAGAAACTGGTTTCACGATACTACCCACAGCGCCTTTGTCTTGAAGAAGCTTTTAAAGTCGAAATCAGAGCCCTTGCGGACAATGAAAATAACTGATGAATGGACTTCTCAATGCTGTCAGGGAGCATTTCATATCAAGTACTTGCGAGTCCGATACAACAGTTTCTTGCCCGGGGTCGAGGAGCCGCTTTTGGATGACCTAGAGAATAGAAATGCTGTTGAAAGACTCACCACAGGTGGTAGTCGAAAAAGTAGCCCTTCCAAAAAACAGTTAGAAAGAGCAGCATTCAAATACATGGCTTCTATTCCCAAGAGGCTTGTTCCGGCAGACCATCCACTTGTCTTGGACTACTGTTCAGAGAGGGCCAAAACACGAGATAAACGGTCTCCGACAAAAAAACGCGTCGGTCGAAAACATAGTCCACAGAAGAACAACCTGGACGATTTCTTGAAAGCTCATACTTCGCCAAAAAAAGCGGAACCCAAGACAGAAATTTTGGAGACCACTTCACAGCGCATAGAGCTTCTTCCTACAAAACGGCAACCTTTTGTTGGCCAAGACTCTGAGCTTGGTGAATCCGATGACGACTGGGCTGCAAATACAAGCTCGCTGATTCTAGTATCAGAACATGAGTGTGCAACAACCGGTGCTCCTACGTCGCCAAAACGGGACCTGATACTAACGGAGCACGACTACGAAATAAATTCCGAGATTGAAGGACCAAAAGAATCGCCATTGAAGAAAAGGCACATCTCAACAGTCGCGGGAAAATGGACTACAAAAGCACCTTTTCTATCGCAACATATAGATCTCACGATCGACAGCGATGGATGAACAAATGCAGAATGACGCAGCATTCAAACTGTCGGCTCGAAACACGTTAAAGTTGGTCAAATTTTCCCAAATTTTCCATAGAATGTAGAACTCAAATCACACTCAAAGATCAGCATCGTCAACACGTCTGCCATCGGCCCCCAGCCAGCTCAATTGACGTCGCAACAGGCATAGAGCCAAGTCCTTCAACGGTGGTCACGTGTGGTGGTTGTGGCTAACTGCGATGTCAGTAGAATTTCAACGTCCGTATATAGCATGAAATAGTTAACGGCCAAAGACTATGGGTTACTCATCACCAATACCCATCGCTGAACAACTCGGTTTGTCTATAGCTGGAATAACATCAACTATGTACTCAAAGACTATCAAATTCAATCCACAGACGGAAAAGCTTTTGACGCTAGGAGCCGGATGTTTCTGGGGCACTGAACACATCTTCAGAAAGCACTTTGGCAGCAAATTGCACGATTGCAAAGTTGGATATGCCAACGGATTGGAATCCAAGAAGGATATGCCAGACTCCGTTTCTTACAAGAAAGTTTGCCAAGGCGATTCGCAGTTTGCAGAAGTATTGCAAATTTCGTTTGACCCAAAAGTCGTGTCCCTAGCAGAATTGGTGAACTTTTTCTTCAGAATCCATGATCCAACCACTTTGAACTCCCAGGGCCCAGATATGGGAACCCAGTACCGCAGCACGATTTACACGCATTCCGAAGAAGATCTGGAGGAGTGCCGTGCGCTCAAGCAAAGCTGGCAGCCCAAATGGCACAACAAAATCATCACTGAGGTCGCCATGTGCACGAACTTTTACGACGCAGAAGAGTACCACCAGCTGTATCTGGACCACAATCCGCAGGGCTACAGTTGTCCCACACACTATGTGAGAGATTTGTAGTAGAACCCTGCGTCTAAGAAACATGGTCCGCCGATTCTTTCAATTTATCTAAGTTCTCCATAACTCTGCGGTCCTTTCCGTAATTCAAAACACTTATGGCCACTGCAGTGAAAAGCACAGTACTAAATACGCCTCTAAGGATCAGTTCAGCTCCAGACATCTGCATCTGGGCCGCTTTAGAACCGGGTTTCGCTCTAGGACCATAATCACCGAAAGCAACAAAGTAAGCTGCTCGTTGTTCGCGTGGCGTCATAAGAGACCAATTGGCCTCCATCTTCCAGTCTAAATATTCCGTTATCTCCTCTCTAGTTTCTTTATCGATTTTTAGCCATGTATTAGTGTCAAGCTCATCGTACTTTGGAGGTTCATAAACAGCAGTACTTAAACACCTGCTCATACATATAGCTGGGCGGACTGCAGCTCTACCGATACTTCTTGTCAGCATCCTGAAAACGTACTAGGATAGGTCAGATGAAGGTAATCAGGCCCTGCTGGTGAGTTCGATACTTTGTTCCTCTCAAATGCTAAGATCAGTAGTAGTATATAGATTAATTTGAACAAATCATCCACTCTTTACACATCCAATGCTTCTTTTAAGGTAGAACGAAGCCAATAAACCAAACATGCAGACATACGACGAGATCTACGTAAGTACTAACGGATTGCTGACTCTCGTTTTACATACTAACGAAAAGTGGGAAAGAAACTATACCGGAAATCTCCGAAATTTGAAGGCCTAATACCACTTGAATCACAACCCACATATGCTTCAATTGCCCTAGTTGCGGCACTTGTTTTGATTGGATTCGCGGCAACTCTGCCTGCGAAGGCCAGTGGGACGCCACTGGCTGTGCAATTCGTGAAATACACAACAGTGAGCTTGGTCGGGAGTATGTTTCTAGGAATCGCTGTTGTCTTCTTGACGAATTCCTTCGGTGTCTATGCTTGATGGGATAGGAAATCGAGGATTTATTACTGAAGATACGCTATAACACGCTGCTATAGGGGCACTTTACGTCGATTTTGTATATACCAATGATTATGCAGTATTATTTGGATATCTTAATTTCATATCTTGACTGGGTATTCCTAGGGCAACTGCCATGTCTTTTGGCTCAAAGCTTGAGCAGGTCTTCGTCGATGTTAACCAACTTGTGAACGCGTAACTCGGAATCGTTATGAACAAGAGAACCTCCCTCTCCATACTCAATTAGTGCATTCACCATTGCCCTGGTGTAGCTTACCATGTTCTCTAAAGAGCTCTCACTCTTCTTTTTCAAAAAAACTAAAATTCTCGAGTTGACCAGCTGGAAGAGACGATCTTGTAGATATGCGGGGGTCAACAACACTGCAAGATCCTCATTGCACTCTTCCAAAGGATTGTCATAGGCAAGAAGTGAAGATATATCATTCAAATGATTTTGATATCCTTCTTTGTACCCTGCAGGTACATCCGGGTTGTAAACGAATTTTGCGGCGAGCTCTTGACCCATGGAAAGGAGCTCGTTGATCGAATGTTGTTTGAAATTTACGAAAGCAAGCAGGTACTCTGCAACTTTCAACTCAAAAAGAACATCGATGCTACTAGACAGAAGCCCTGGATAGCGAGTTTCAATGAAAGAAACACATTCGGCAATTTTGCCCTCGCCTATAAGCCTTCGAATTTCTTGTCGTATCCTCAAATTATTCTCTTCTTTGACAATTTGCCTTTCGTTGTGTTTAATGACCATTCTTCCGCGTTCTTCTTCGTTATTGGGAATACAGTCCTTGCTAAGATCGACCAAAAAGCCTTTGGCAACGTCTATTAGCCCTTCATGTATCAAGTAATCATTGATCATGGTATTCATGGTGCAAGGAATTGAATCATCATCAACACTCAAATTGTTCAAACTCTCCACGTCTGGCCGGAAAAGCTGATCACCACTAATCCTTTCGTCTTTCTGCAGTAAGAACCCATCTTTAGGCTTCGAATTATCTCCAGTGGAAATGCTTGTACCAAGATCGATATCTGGCAGCTCTTTGTCATCGTCGTAAATGGAGAAGTCATCGCGTCCATGGTTTCTGTCGATGCTTTTATATATGTGTTGGAAAGCCCTAGTCTTCATCCTGCGCTGATACCCTAATATATCATAGACAAATTCTTCATAGAGCCCAAAGTTTGTCCTTATCACTGATCCAGCAGTCACAGAGATGAATGGGAGCATGTCTATGTCGTGAATATCGGTGAATGCTGTTCCCAACTGAACACCGTTTTTCGTGAAAAACATCGTTCCATCCACATAGTTCACTCCACAACCTATCACATCCGACTGACCGAAGCCGCTTGAATAGCATTTTGCGAGGGAACCGTCAGTGATGTTTCCATCTTGTCCGCCGTAAAGAAAGCATCCCTTATTCGAAGCGTCTCCGCGATTACTGGAGCTGCTTGAAGAACTAACGTCCAAAGTAGCTCGAACTATGCTTGCGGCTTGCCTGTTGATAGAACTTGCATCGCTTAGTTGCAGATCTGTCCTTGAAGCAGACTTGGAGTTCGCTTGTAATTTTGAGCTATCTTTGAAGCCTACCTTGATTCTGCATGTCGAAGGTGAGTTGGCAGGGTGAGTCGACAGAATTCTAATTTCAAAGTAAAAAATTGCCAAGCTCTTCGAAAGGGCTACGTTGTTGGCAACGGTGCTGACATATTCTTGTCTGGCATTGAAGCCAGACAAGTTTTCAGAGAAACCAGGTCCTACAATAGAGCTTGTTCTCCGATCATGTGCAGATAGGGCTTGGAATTCTGGATTACACTTGAGCTGAGCACATCCGTCGGATGATACCAAGATGCTGTTGTTGGTCGGGGTTTCCCAGACATGTGGCAATGGATAACCTAAATGCTTGTAAACTTCTTGCGAAACGGTATTTTTTTTAAAAGGAATCAATCCAGGAGCAACGGCAGCAGCAATTTCATGATGATCGTGGGATGCAGATGATTTCTGTTGATCTATAGGAAGATTTGACGAGCTTATAGGGGCGACAGGGTCAGCTTCGTTGAGAAGAAACTCGATATCGTGAGTTGTGCTCCCATCATCCCCGCCGGGTTGGCCATTTTCATGGGACGCAGTCGTCCGCACTGTACTATTATTGTCGTCGTTGGCGGTCTCTTCGTCTTCATTATCCACGTCCACGTCCACGTCCACATCTTCGTCAGCGTCATTAAAATCATCATCGTCGTCGTCATCGTCTTCATCACCGTCGTTGTAATCGCCATCTTCTTCTTCTTCTTCTTCTTCTTCATCACCATCATCGCCATTGCCGTCATCAACTCTTGGTTCTTGGTGAGAGACTATTGCCGGGTCTGCGAGTTCGTTCACTTCCACATCAACCTGCATGTCACTGGCCCCAACGGCATGTTTGGCACCAAATTGGGGGTCCCCTTCAATCTCGGGATAAAAGTATTGGTAAACTTGAATCAAATAGTCGTCACTGGCCGAATCATATGGAATTGTTCCTAGAACCCCTAGACTCATCAATTTTTCCCAAATTTCTTTCCGTGTTTCATAGCTAAGCTCGTTCGTGAATCTTCGCAGTTTAGGATCACCTAAATTCGGCAGATTCTCCCCTTTACTCTTCAGTTTTCTAAAAAGCTTCCGGTTCGTGTGGTATATCTTCCACAGCTGGTGTCCGATAGGCTGTTCCAGCAAATAACTGGGGAAAAGTGCTCTGACGTATGCGTTGTCCACCTCATCCATACAAAAGAACATGCCGGTGTGTATAACGTAGGATGAAGCTGAATAGATGGCTTAATTCTGACCAATGTGTGGTAAGGGAGACTTCAAAATACTGATAGTTGGTTAGTTATCCTCCATCGCTTTCATTGTAGATCACTTTGTAATATGGTGACATTTATGCTTCTGAACTGCTAAGAACTTATAACGGCCATTCAACTTGTCATCGAATCTCTGATGTAACGTTCTCTATCTTATCAAGAGCATCTCAATTGAGGTCATGATCTTTAGGTCTACACCAGTTTTGCTGACAATGATTATATTTTCTCTTCATCGACTATACATAATTATGCTTCTGACACAGGTTGGCAAACCGTTTTCGATTGGCCATTTTCGCCCTCGAATTGAGGATTGGTTTGGAACTACACAGAGTACCAACATCACCATCGCTTACCTGTTTTCAACCATTCGGCAACTTTACATGACAGTTTAAAGATCTAATCGTTGAAGAGTGTTTATAGTATATCCGTGACACTAATAATATTTACATACCCAATTTATCAGTTGTAATCAATACAGTTGAGTGTTTGACTAACAAGGGACACACCGTGTACCCGCGTGCGACGCACGCTTAGTATCTGTAGTGGTCAGCCTTGAATGGACCTTCGTTGGCAATGCCCAAGTATTCGGATTGGACGGAGGTTAGCTTGGTCAAACGAACACCCAACTTGTCCAAATGGAACTTAGCAACAGCCTCGTCCAAGATCTTTGGCAAGACGTGAACGCCGATTTCGAAAGGACCAGTCTTTTCGAACTCAACGAACTTCTGTCTGAATTCCAAGTCGCCAGCCTTGAACAAAGCGATCTGGGCCAAGACCTGGTTGGAGAAGGAGCACGACATGACAAAAGAGGAGTGACCAGTGGCACATCCCAAGTTGACCAATCTACCGTCGGCCAACAAGATCACGTGCTTGCCGGTAGGTAGCAAGAAACGGTCGACTTGTGGCTTAATGTTGACGCACTCCTTTGCGTTCTCCTTCAACCATGCGACATCGATTTCGATGTCGAAATGGCCGATGTTGCAAACGATGGCATCTTCAGGCATGGCCAAGAAGTGCTCAGATGTAATGATGTCTCTGCAACCAGTGGTGGTGACAAAGATTTGACCCTCAGAGGCAGCTTCCTCCATTGGCAAAACTTGGAAACCTTGCATGGCAGCTTGCAAAGCGTTGATAGGATCGATTTCGGTGACGATCACACGGGCACCCATACCTCTTAGAGAGTCAGCGCAACCCTTACCGACATCACCGAAACCGGCAACGACGGCGGTCTTACCGGCAATCATGACATCGGTGGCTCTCTTAATACCGTCAACCAAAGACTCTCTGCAGCCGTACAAGTTGTCGAACTTGGACTTGGTGACAGAGTCGTTGACGTTAATGGCTGGAACCTTCAATTTGGCCTCCTTGACCATCTTGTACAAGTGGTGGACACCAGTGGTGGTCTCCTCGGATAGTCCAAAGCAGTCCTTCAACATTTCTGGGTGCTTTTCGTGAACCAAAGTGGTTAGATCACCACCGTCGTCCAAGATGAGGTTCAACTTCTGGTTGTCCTTGAAAGCGAACAACTGTTGTTCGATACACCACAAGTATTCTTCCTCGGTTTCACCCTTCCAGGCGAACACTGGCACACCAGCGGCAGCGATGGCAGCAGCAGCGTGGTCCTGGGTAGAGTAGATGTTGCACGAAGACCAGGTAACCTCAGCACCCAAGGCAACCAAAGTTTCGATCAAAACGGCGGTCTGGATGGTCATGTGCAGACAACCAGCAACGCGAGCACCCTTTAGAGGCTGAACGGCGCCGTAAGCTTCTCTGATGGCGATCAACCCAGGCATTTCATGTTCGGCCAATTCGATTTCCTTTCTACCAAAGGCAGCGAGAGAGATGTCGGCAACCTTGTAGTTTAGAGCTGGAGTAGACATTATAATTGTATGTGGAATAAAGTGAGTTTCCGTGATCGTGAGTCTTTGCAACCTTTTAACAGATGCTAATTCCCACTAAATAGAGCTAATGTCTCGAGCCAGATGTCCCTACCACTAGATTCAGCATCATTGAAATCGCTAGCTTTTATACCCTCCATAGCCTCTTCCTCTCTCTGAAAAATTTTCACCATGTGATATCGAGGTGTTCGTTAACCTTTTGGCTAGCGGAGCGACGACTGGTCAAAATAAACGGGAATCGTAGTACTGGAGTTCACATGCAGGAACCAATTGGGTTTTCAATGACATTTTTCGTGGGGAATTGGGTTTATTCAACAGGATATAACATTTTGTGGACGGATATGAGTTTTGTTGAGAGCTCGAACGTGGAAACACAGCTTGTGCAAAGTATTATACCGGTTCCACATTCGCAACCCAAGACGGATTCGTTTTCAGAAGGCGTGGGGAGGGGCTCATTTTTCGTGAAACTAAGATACCCTTGAGATCCCATTTGAGGTGCAAAAGGTATCCAACCGCACGAGACATTTCGCCATGATACGAGACATTGCGCGTTGGACAATATGACTGTTGAATAGGTAGTAAGTTCCCACTGGCTAGTTCCATTCGCAAACCCATCATGTTCCCTTACCGACACAGAGCTGCTTATATAGCCTCTCTTCAAAGTCGAAAGTGTTCCTCAATGTTTCGGTTTAGGAAATCGTAGTTTCCTGTTGTGACACCGCACCATTGTTGTTTTTTGTCGCTGGAGGTCCTCACCCTTCTGTTCAAAAGCGCATCATTCAGTGTGTAAAGATCACACGAGGGCGGTTAAAACTTTTTTGGTAAGTCTACCGTAGAGGTACTGCCACTCAGTCTCGTAGTAACGCAATGGATGTTGTAAAATACACATTTATTGGCGGCTTTACAATTGTTTGTTGTAGTGGACCTGGTAATGGTTCAGGATAAACGTTAAATTGATTGTTTATCTGCATTATATCTACGTTTATACGGCGTGTTTGTTGGCGGCTAAAAGATTCACATGATATCCCAACAGTCACAACGTAACAGTGCGATTTCGATGTCACTGAACCTTTAGCAAGTTCGATCCATCTCAAATTTCCCTCCAACGTTCATTTATATTATTAAATTACATCAGTCTATTTAGGAGCTGGACGAATGACTCTGTTCATCTTGGATTTGCTCGCGAGCCATTTGTTCGCGCTGGTCGGCTTCCAATCGCTCAAGAGCTGCACGTTGTGATTTTTCGTGCTCGAGCAATAGCGCCGCTTGGTCGTCGTCGTCGTCGCCGTTGCCCTGTTCTTCATCGAGTGAATCATACATGTCTTGGAACTTGTCCAGGTCTTCCTGCTCCCGGCGCAAGCGTTCTTCGCGCTCCTGCTTCTCTAGCTCTTCTTGTTCCCTCTTCTCCTTCTCCGCTTGTTCCAGAAGAGCTTGCCTTTCTGACTCCTCCCGAGCTTGGAATGCCAAGTTGGCTTTCGAACGTAAAATAAACAGATATTCTCCTGCCTCGCGTTGGATTGCCTTCAACGTGAATTGAATCTCTTTCAAAAACTTCTCCACATCTTGCAAATCTGCAGCATGCTTCGTCAAGGCATCTCTCGTGGATATCACCTGCTTCTTGAGTTTCAAAAACTGTTTCCAATTGTCGTGTTGCCTTTGGCTCAAATCTTCGGATTCCATTGCAGCGACAACATCCACGTAGGCCATACGTTTCGACCATTCGCTGACCATCACGTCTCCCCATTCCTCATAAACCTCCAGGTGTTCTTGACGCAATTGATCAAGATCTGTATTGACCTCGCCCACAAACCTCTCTAAAACATCGCGCACCCTTTCAAGAGCATCGTCCACATAAGCATGGGCGTGAGAGAAAAATTCGCGCATCAATGGTCGGGTTACGTAGTCGCGTAACTGTGTACCCTCTCTGTTGAAATACAGCTGTTCTCCGGTCTCTGGATCCACGTCTGTAGTACAGTTGACATCCAACATGGCGTTATTGATTAGCCTGAAATGCTGCTGCGTGGCATTAGAAATCTCCTTTAACAAAGCGGTAATGTGAGGACGAATCTCATCAAGCTTGCTTTTCTTTAGATCTTTTATGTCTAGGTCGAGTTGACTTTCTGAATTCGAAGCCTTCTGGGCTACAGTGTTCGACCACGCTTGGAATTCATCCTGAACAAGGTCTCGTAGAGGTACTTCTAGGTCAGTGTCAGAACTGGTAGTGTGGGTAGGTGTCGCTAGCTGATTATCGGAAAGCGTCACTGTTTCAATGATTGTAGAAGTCAAATACAACGTTTCATCCTCGTCAAGCTCTTCTTGTTCTTCGTCGTCCGCGTTTTCGGACTCATAGTGCAGAACTTCCTTAGCTGGTCCGGTAGCCTTACGAGTAGCGTTCAGACGCATACTGATACTTTCTTGTACATTTATCCTGTGCGCATTGAGCCAATCAGCCACTTTAATCAGATGCGACCTTGCACACCGCGCTTCCTTCGAAAGAATAGGGTACGATGTTCTCCAAACGCAGCCTACTCGGGTCACCAGTTGATGAAATGCGTCAGAAATGAAATTGACCGTGCATAGCGTGTGCTTGGCAATAGCAGTATCGGACTGCAACCAAAGCTGGAGTTCATAATTGGCTTGCTTAATGTAAGGAAGCACGTAGACGTTGTAGTACAACTGACTTTTAATATGTGCAACATGGCGCCATTTGTTGATTAGAGGTAGCACATGTGTTTTACCTGCGGTTGTGAGTTTTTGACCGACACTTTCAACCTGATGCTTAACCATTTCCTCACGCTTCTGCCATTGGAGTGCTAGCGGCCTTGCAAACTCCTTGCGATGAGGTTCGACATGTGTGCTCCACCAAGGGCATAAGCTCTGTTCAAACCACCGTGTTTGGCCTAGAATAGGAGTGGAGCAAGGGTCTAAGCTCTGAGTTCCAATAATCGATGTACTAAAATGAAAAATTACCAGCAAAGCGCACACAAGGCGGAGGCTTTGCCAAAACCGTGCGAAAACCATCTACTTCTGATTTTACCAACACCGAAGTTCGTGAAATTAGAAAACTGACTTTGCACTGCGAGAAACAGAGAACTCTTGAAAAAATTAAAGTAAGTTAGCCGAGCAAAGAGACCTGTTTGGCTTCAAAAACTGGCCTCGGTTAACGTTTCTAAGATGAGATGAGCTGCTGATATATTCACTTTCTTTAGTGAATAATTAGTTTTAGTTTATCTTTTTCTTGTTTCGACGATTAGATAATGAACTAGAGAAAGTGGACAGATGACGACAATGGACGTCACGAAATCATTTCTGAACAGACAAATGCAGTTCTCCCGGCTATTTGTGCTTTTTCAATGAAACATCTTGATCATTAAAAGACCAAGCATAATTACGATGATTTACCGGCGGTTATGGCTATTCATTGGAAAGCAGAGTGTAAACGATTTAAGAAGCTGATGTCCTGGGCCTTTTGTTGTTGGCCTTAGAGTACTTTGGTAGTTTTTTGCTTCTTCGATGGCGTCCTGAGACGTTCCTCTTACCCTTATGTCGCAAGTTGGATGAAGGTGCCATGTCATTTCATGATTTGAACACCTCAACTGACATTCAGCTCTCAAACTACAAAAAGTTTATTCTGTATTTGTCAATCTCAAAACGCTTATGCTAAGATGAAACGATAGCTTCAGCAGGTCTCAATCCATACAAGAATAGAATTTCACTTGTGGTGAAAAATGAGTCTTTCGCGAAATATGTGCTGTCGAATTTACACTTTACCGATGTGAGAATGAATCAACGAATTAAAAACCAGACAGAAATGGGTCTATTTCCAGCTTCTAAAACAAGACTATGTCGAACGATTTTGCCAGTTGAAACCAATTGAGCGGTTCAGTCACCGTGAGCTTACTTCCTGTAACGACACGACTAAGATAACAGATCACGTGAAACGGACTACATGGCGCACTCTGAATCTGATTGAGTAAACTACTTTCGGACTCATACGGTGTGCAAAGGCACCAAATCAGCATATTCTAAAGACCGACCTAGGGTGATCGGATCAGATATTTGCCGGAATCGTCCCTCAAAATCACATCTCATGTGATGCGTACATCTTTTCTGTCTATAAAGTCCATAACAGACACCAAAAAAATCCTCAAATGCGCTTTTACAAACATGAATGCCAACCATGATCAAGGAAGGAAACGAATACGTGAGAGAATCCTCTCAAAACCCAGTTTCTGCATGAACAACTTATTTTACACCTAGCATAAAACACAAGCACGTGACATAAAATGAAACTTGAGAAACTCTGCAAACACCTAAAGCAAAGGGTCAGCCCCGATTTAAGTGTATGATCTTGACTAGTAGAAATGACCACACATTCAAACCGTAGCCCTGCTTCTTTAGATCGATAAATCAATGCTAAATGCTCTTTATTCTTTTGAAAGGATAGCCGTAAAGAACGACTTCCCTATACATTTGAACAATTTTAGTGATTGTAGAGTAACCTAAGAAATGACTTTCGTCGAAGAGCCTCTGTGTGTGTGTGTGCGTGAAACCAAAGTCATCATTGGCAGCTCGTCAAGCAATATCATAGGCGCACAAATTCTCAAGGGCGATTTCGCACGATTTGAAACGAGCCTTAGATCGCCCGTCTAGGCCCTACTACCCACAACTCAAGGTATTTTCAAAGTGGAAAATATTACCAATATTACACCAGAACGCTCATCGCGATCACCCAGCTCAAAACTTGTAATCCACGGTGATGTCTTTTTGGCCGTTTGGACATAACGACCATTCCAATATCCATCGGATACTGGAAGAGTATTTTCAGATACTGCATGCGCTTGAGAAACGCGATGAGATACGAGCAGAACCACGATTAGCAGGGGATTTACCAAGCCATGATGAACTTACCACAGGATGTGCCGAGGACGTAAACGGGATACAGCATCATTCAGAAGACGAAGTCAGCACTGTGGGCTCTTATAACTCTACGACGCATCGTTCTAGTCGTGCACCCAGTCTGTCCCAGCTTAGCAGTGCATACATCGATAGCATTCTTGCCGAATCAGAGCTGCTTAATGAGCTTACGCGCCAGAATAACACGCTTCTAGATTTCCTTTGCTTTGGCTACTTTTTCAATTCAGAGAACGTCAAGGTCCAGAATATCGAGTATTTGATAGATCAGCTCATGTACTGCGTAGAGCAAATCCAGGAAGGACATCCAAATAGCACTGGCAAGGATGATAATGATGATAATGATGAAAATGATCGTGGTTACAAACAAAAACCTAATTTGCTCGATGATAACGAAATTGACCACGGCGACGATGCTGGTTTTCTCGGTCAAGCAAAAAATGATGAAGATGAAGATACCATTTCCACATCAAAGACTCGTCCTTCTCCCTTGAACAGAGCAACCATTATTTCCGAGATCTTTGCCTTAGACATATGGCTAATCTCAGAATCACTGGTCAAGAACACGAGTTATCTTAACAAAATATGGGCCATCCTGTACCAGCCAGACTTCTCAGTCAACAATTCAAGTTTGGTACCAATATTCCTCAAAATCAATCAAAATTTATTGAGTACAAGACAAGACCAGTACCTCAACTTCATTCGGTCCAAAACGACACTTGTGGAGGACCTCTTGCAGCATGTCGAGGTTTCGGTTCTCATGGATTTCTTGCTCAAGATAATATCAACGGACAAGCAAGAAAGTCCTTCCGGCATTATAGAGATGGTTCGTGAACAGCAATTAATAAACCGTCTTCTAAGTTATCTGGACAACGAGAAACATGCTCCTGACGTTCAAGCTTGCGCTGGAGATCTCCTTAAAGCTGTGATAACCATATCAGCAAACGCACCTCTTGATGACATGTCGATTGGTCCCAACTCATTGACGAGACAGCTTGCGTCAGAGGAGTGCATGCTGTTTCTCTTGAATACGATTGTTAAAAAAAGAGGAAATGCACTGATGAACGCAGTTTCAATTGTTATTGAGCTGATACGAAAAAACAACTCGGATTACGATCAAGTCAATCTTTTGTCTACAAGTCTAGACACTCATCCACCCTCCATGAGAGATCCAATTTATCTTGGAACGATGTTAAGGCTGTTTACATCCGGTTTAGCATCCATTTTCCAGATTTTGATTGACATCGAGAACGATGCCGATGGCAGAGAACTTGAGAACCAATTGGGAGAGAAATTCAAACCTCTAGGATTTGAGAGGTTTAAGGTGGTAGAATTGATCGCGGAACTTCTGCACTGTTCCAACATGGGCCTGCTCAACTCAAAAAGGGCCGAGCGCATAGCGAAAGAGAGGAGCGAGGCGAGGAGGACCATGGCAATGCAGCTGCAAGATGCATTAGTAGATCTCGATCTACAAGATAACGAAAATACAATCGATCCTTTCGAACCTAATGACAACACCTTGGACGAGGATGTTGATGAATCTTTTGACATACCCTATATCAACTCAAATCAAAACGCGAAGCTAAGAGAGAACTCTACAATTGGTGATTCATTTAAGATTGAGTTATATGACAACCAAATTTTGCCGAAAATTGTCCAGTTGTTCTTACAATATCCATGGAATAACTTTTGGCACAACGTGGTGTTCGACATCGTTCAGCAGATATTCAATGGTAGAATGGATTTCTCCTACAATTCATTTTTGGTTTATTCCCTTTTCGACAACAAGTCAGCCAAAGAGTTCATGACGGGACCGCGACAACCTGTTGTCCACGATTTCCAAATAACACGAGATCTCATTCTTGAGGGCTACAAAAAATCTTATGCCTTCTACGAAAAGAACAATACTGCTCTCGGATATATGGGTCACTTGGTTTTGATTGCCGAGGAAATTGTCAAATTTTCGAAAGTGTACAAGGTTGAGCTGATTTCTCCTGATATACAAACGGTATTACAAGCTGAGGATTGGATGTTTTATTCTGAGGATGTTTTGAACGACACAAGAATCATGTACTCCAAGATCCTTGGAGGCAATGATTATATGGAAGAAACCAACGACGATGTGGATGCCACCAATGACGATGATGATACGTACTCGAATGCTGGCTCTCAGCTTGGGGGAAATTTAATAAGTGTGAATGACTTAACTCAGGATTCTAACGCTTCGCTTTCCAATTTCGCTACTCAAACTGACTTGCACATGAAGATGAGGAAAAAGCTGATAGAACAATCTCAGGAAGAAGTTGATCGTCGCAATAATGACAAGGGTGTCATAATTTTGGGCACGGCACCAGAAACGGAAGCACCATAAAGTGAGGAATGGTAGACTGACCACAACGCTGAACTCAGATATGCTCACGCATCAGTGAAGCGAGGTATACAGTCGCATTTCTCATTTCTTTATGATTTAACGCATGAAATGTAGATGAACTAGACGTGTAACGAATTTTTTATTAATCCTTCTTTCCAAGAGAATCATACCACTTGCACTAAACACCGACTACAAGTTTTTCTTTCTTGAATGCAAAACCTTACCGTTCGGTAGCTCCATGGTATTTTTCTTTGGGTCTAAGCGAGGTGATTTCTCTTTCTCTTTCTCTTTCTCTTTCGAGCTTTCCTCGGATTTGGGAGCGACGCTTGCAGCGGCGGGCTTCTCAGTAACGAAGAGTCGACCAATTGACGTTCTCCAAATCCATAGTGGAAGAGTTACTAGAAGACAGTCGCGAACACCAGGAGATGTGATGTCTTTGGTGCTTATCAGAGCTTCTTGGCCATCCGGCTGCACGGCATACACATCGCCGAGCCTGACGATGATTTCCTTGCCTTCATCGTCAGCACCTTGCTTAAAAAGAAGCCGTTTTTCACCCAATCCACTAGAAGTGTCCTGAGCTCTGACTTCTCTCAAAAATCTGTTGATTCGCGACTTATTACCGTCATTTTGAAGTCTCAAGATAATCAAATGGATCAATCCACAAGCAACATAGATGAAACCAGCTATGAACCAGGTCTTGGGCTGAACTTTGCTGAAGTGGAACCCGCCTTTGCTGTAGTCATAACGAGGAAACCCGTTTTTTAGGTAGTAGTCGTATGTCTTGCGGTGTGAGTCGTTCTCGAGGAGCTTGGTTGCCAATGACAATCTCTCATAGAGTTTCCGGTATTTCTGGTTTTTGTCTGGATGATGAGTTTTGGAAAGCTTTCTGAGATTTTTGCGGATTTCCTGGGACGTGGAGTCCTTCAACTTGGGCAATTTCAAAAGCTTGTAGAAGTCGAGGTCTTTGTTGTTGTAGACTCTAACGATCTCATTTTGGAGCTGGAACATTTCCAGTTCTTCTGTTGTAAAGGCATAGGCTATGGAAAATAGTCCGATCAACAAACAAAACCAAACTCTCCACCGAAATCCTAGCATTTTGGATACTCAATTGAATATAAATAAAGAGGAATTGAGATTGAACAAGAAAGAAAAACCTTGAGATGTCTTTTCTCGTCTGAAGTTCGTCCAATTCTTGAGTGAAAGTGATCTGAGTTGATGAAATAAGAGATGGCCTAGCTCTAATTTAAGTTTATATGAAGACCAGTTAGAATCGAAAGTTGAAGATCGGTTCAGAAACAAACTTGCAGCTATGCCAGGAGAGACCAAACATGCGCCACAGGCCGATAATGGTCAGAAAAAATATGAGCGTGGCGTGAAAGCCCGTTTTTACCAGTATTTTAGAATAACTAGTGCGTTTTTGTATGCGGCTTTGGTAGCGCGATGGGCTATCCTGTACCCTCTTGTTGGATCGAAGTTTCTGCCTGGAGGGATCCACGAGTTCCTGTGCTACTTGATGGTTTATGCGGGGACATTAGAGATGGTGTGGAGCTTTGTGTTTCACGGATTGAAGAGAACGCTGTTCTCTAGAACTATGCTGAAAAACACCAACTTGCTTTATTTCGTGAGTGTCTTACACTTTTACGACGACTTTGAGCATGCTCCCGTTTTGAAAAGTGAAGCTTATTCAAGTTTCATAGTTGCCCTGGGCCTCAGCCAGACATATTGCCATTGGTGTAAGCTTTTCCGATCGCCGAAGTATAAGAGGAAAACACTGTTACAGAAACTTGACACTTTTGCAACTTTGCCAGTGCTATATCTGAGCGAAGGTTATTTGCTGCTGCTTAATTTGCAAACGCCAAATTTCCACACTAACGCCTGGCTTCAGATCGTTAACAAAACAGTGCTGGTGGCTTTTATCCCCATCTGCCTGCATTCCCTCAAAAAACAAGTCGCAACTCAATAGTCAGCAAATACCGCGAAAACTGCTCCCGTACATTATAAAAGCTCGCTGATCTCGTCGGCCATTTCACGAGCAAAAGCCTCGCGTTCTTCACTGGAATCAATTGTCAGAAATTTTGCTCGTGCTTCCTGCAGTTTCCCCATCACATCGTCTAGCGCCGGCATCTGAGAGTTGTTGGTGATTCCTTTCGACGGAATATTTTCATTACCATTTGGCTCCCTGTGCAACAATTCGTGATCCCATTGAAAAGTATCAATGATTTCCTTTATTCTGGCAATGCCACTCAGTTCCCCGTACTCATTTTTCACTTCTGTTTCTGTTTCTGTTGATCTCATCGCGGTCATTTCCACGCCATGTGCCAAGAGTTCTCCCTCCACAGCAAGTAGTCTCTCCTGAGTTGCATCGAATTCCGTCGCTAAGATTGCCAGGAATCCTTCTTCAATCACACCAGTTTGACCTATCTTCGAGATCGCTGTCAACCCCTCATCACCGTCCTTGCATTGTCTAATGAAAACACACCCAGCTAGGGCTTTTCGGAGTTCCTCGAAATCATGACTGCAGAAGTCATCTACCCATGATTTTAGCCCATCAACATAGTCGACGTAAACGTCAATCAATACATTGTAGTATTTAGTTGACCATTTGATGTTTCTGTAAATTTGAGTATCCGCTGTAGGGTTCAAATTGAAGATCTTCGACAGGTAAGCGTCCTTAGCTGACACTTGATGATCGAACACCACCAAAATCTTGTTCCTGGGCGGATAAACAAACTCAGCTGCAACAGCTTGACCACTCATTACAGTGCTCAAGAACCAGCGACTTGCTATTTTTAACGCTAGGGAACGTTTTGTAGCTTAGAAAATAGTGAAACTTATTGAAAAATTGAACAGGGTCGACAAAGGCCAGCTAGAACAATGGCTGGGACCAAAGAGTAGGGTGAAATGCAGCCTCGAATGTTAAGAGCGCTTTATAATGCATTCGGAATAATGGGTATGCAGTTTAGCCCATTGGTGTTGGTAACGATGAAGCTCATCGCGGCCGGTAAGTGAAAGTCAATCTCACTAGACTTTTGGTAGCACAGTTCAACGGAAGAGATTTTGAGAATCCAGAAATGTCTTTTGCTTTATCAACCTCGTCGACGGACCCTGAGCTTTCTGCGTGGAGAACTGTACGGTACAGCCAGTCGCCAATGTTAAGCTCACAGATGCATGCGTCTGAGCTTCCAAATGGGAAAAATACTAGAAAGAGTGTCATCAAAGAGGATTGCTTTAACCAAAAAACGCTTAGCGAGCAATTGTCAGTCGTAGAGACTTCCAAGAGCCACGAGAACCCGTTTTCCAAAACCTCGCTTGTGCACAGCACGACGGACCCTCCGGGCCGAAAATTTCCTACAAAGCTACTTAGTTGGGTCCAAAAAGCCTATTCTCAGCTCCGAGAGGCCATTGTGTCCTTAATGGGTCACAGAGGAGCTGAGATTTTCGTCGTTCTCTATTTATTCCAGCTGGTGATTGCAACTCTGGCCATAGGAATCAAAGAGCTGTGTTTCAATGCAGACCTCAGGAAAAAGGGTGTGCTTGTCGCACTCCCCTTGATACCTGTTGACATGGTCAACTATGATGATTTTACACAATACATATCTAACTAGTTTCTTGAGAGATTGAAGGGGATTCTACTAAGGAAAAGTGAGCGGTCTGTTCGAAATAGATAGCGTAAGTAAATGAAAGCGAACGCTTCTCGAAAACCATTGAGTTAAGACAACAGGGTACTTATGGGGCCTTTACTGTTCTTCGAGCTTTGATCGTGTTTGTTGTTAGGCGATGTTTAAACATCACGGGTTCTGAACTATTCTTCAAACATTGACAATTTGAACATTTGAACGTCGAGATAGATGCATCACAGGACGTTGTAAAGCGACTCAATGGCCGAACCAATCCCACAATGGGCTACGAACCTCTGTGATCCAAACTATGCCAAAAAAATCAAGGTTGTATCTTCCAATACTCTAAGGTCTCCACCCGGTTTCAAGGCCACTTCCACAACCACCAGCAAGACAACTAGTAATAAAACAACGTCTAAATCGGACCAGAAAAAAAACCGGTCAGAGTTGGTTGTTCAAAAAGCCTGGCAAATAGCGTTTCAACCGGCGAAATCCATTCCAATGAACATGATTGTTTCCTACATGTCCGGAACATCGCTTCAAATTATCTCGATTATGACAGCGGTGATGTTCGTGTCGAATCCTATCAAAAGCGTTGTGAACATAAGAAGAGAGTTCAGGTCTGTGTCTGGGAATCCAGAAGTACAAGCACAGATCCGTTTGGCCATGGTAATGTACGTTTTGTTCCAAGTGGTGCTAATGGCTATCGGGGTTCATAAACTCAATTCAATGGGTCTGATCCCTAATACCAAAAGCGACTGGCTCTTCTTGGAGCAGCCTACTATATACCAAAAACAAGCTTATGTACTTTAAATGAAGTTCTGAAACTCTGGGAATTCCAGAATGGCGCTCCAGACCTTTAGTCGCTATCAATTGCGTTTTTTGATATTGTTTCTTGAGGACAGATGCCTTATTTAGTAGTGCTTGTCGAATCTTCGTTCGAATCTGGGTGGATTTTGGCCAAAAAGATCTGCTGTATATTGTACTTCTTGAGCGCGTCACGATAGTCGCTGTCCACCACCGACATACCGATGTTGTTTTTGAAACACTCGACAAGCACGAGTTTATCGTAATTTTTCAAATCCACCGTGTGCGGCATCTCACCGTCTTTTCCCACCTCTTTGGCAACTGCCTTGATGATTTCCAACTTATCTATAGTGTTGAAATTTCGACGAACTACCTCAATCGCAAACTTCAACGGCGGAGAGTCCTTCCTGTGGAAATGCGGTTCGAGGACACGTTGAGCTAACTTCGATAACTCGGACAGCGATGCATTACACGAGAAACTGACAGGCGTCAACTTCTGTACGTATCTAGTTCTCTTGTGGCTTGTTTTTGGATCAGCAAATTCCTGCATGATTCTATGGACAAACTTTTCTGGAACTATAGGTTTCCGGGTTTTGCAGAACACCACACATTCGCAGTTGAGGTCCACAAATCGCAAAAGCTCCTTGTTGCGAGGATCAGTATTCTGAGATTTTAGAGACTCCAGTTCTTTGTTAATCTGATCTTCAACTGACAGCTCTTTTTCCAACTCGCTTTCTCCGTTTCCATTGTTCAGTTCCTCATCGCCATAGTATTCCTCCACCTTTTCCTGGAAAAGATCGGCTAGTTCTTGGGCGGCTTGTTTCTCGTGTTTTCGAGCACACGTAGCATATATTCCTGATACACACGGCTCGACAATACCTGTTGAGAAGCGGTACTGAATGATATTTTCGATTCATGTTAGTATTTTGGGCGATGATAAACAAAATTCTGGGTAAAAGGTATAAGTTATCATACCTTCTTTTTAGAGCCAGCACCATGGTCTTCTGCTGCTCGCTTTCCCATTAAATTGTGACCTTAGTTGAGTGAGAACTTCTATAGCTAGTTCATGTTTAGAATCATTCATGATCGACGATCCGAAGAGGTACATGAATTGCAGACAGTATTATTTCACCACTATAATAGCGGCTGAAAAAACCCATACCATGAACAAAGATAGGGAAAGGAAGCCTGTCCAGCCAATCCTTACATACTAAGCTTGAATGCTAGTGTGCTTTATAAAGGAAGTACTTGAGAAGATAATTATTAAGAGACGTTTAGGCTCGATTGAAAAACTTGGCCAATCGTTTGTGAGACCCGATTGAGTCTGCGAAACTCTGATCCACCGAGGACGAATTTGCGCTGTCGGGTCCTGCCGACACTGGAGATATCATCTTATTATGGAGCATTTGGGCCACCTCGGGTTTGATGCGTGGAAACTTTCTCATGCGAATACTTGGATCATTATACTCAGTGATGTCTGGAGATTTTAAGAATTCAATGTGTTGTCTGAGGTCTGTAAATGTTGAGTATAGTGAGCGTCTGGTGTTGTCAGTCAAATTGGATGCTCTGGCTGACTCTGCTGAAAGCGGCGCGCCAATGTTCGGACTCGTTGGCGAGGACGGAAGACTTCCGTCGCTAGGAAAAAGCTTGGAAATTATACCTTCCAAAAAACTCATGTTCAATTCGAAATTCAGTACACTTTGTGGAGTAAGTACTGGCGGGCTGAAGTGCAGAAGGACGTCTAAAAACCTGCCCGTTAAGACGTCAAACTCGCGGAAAATCAAAAGCGTTTTTACACTGTCAGGAAGGTTGACTAGTGTGGAGGTAAACATCATCTCCAAAAACTGTGCGATGTCTTTGATGGAGAAGCTTGGCTCCCTTTCCACTTGTGTTGAAGACCACTCGAACTCAACAAATTCTAACAAATCTGATATCTTTGAGTCTATCAATTCGATGAGTTTTGTTTCTGTGAAATTTCTCAAATCAGTCAGAACCTTGATGGAGCTCAAAGTAAGCTCAACGTCAGGATTCAACGTTGTGTTTTCTCTGCTCAAGATTTGACTGAACTCTTTCACGGCAATAATGAAGTAATCAAGGTTGATCAAAAGTTGAGCCATTTCTTCTCTCGAAGTCGTGTCGAGCTTCGACTTGATTCTGGAGTTGACCGTCCTCGTGAAAATGTCGTCAATTGTCTGAACCACTATCTGGTTCAGTTCGCTCAAGTTGTATTGGTAAAATTCGCTCAAAAATGTAATCAAGTTGTTGTGCGTCTTCTTCACCAAGGTGCAGGACATTGGATATAAGGGCGAAAAGGGTAAGGTAGCCAAAAAGCCCTCAGGCGATTCGGCTCCTTCAATTTGTATTTTTTCAGAACCACCATCTTTGAGCCAGCAAATTTTCAAGACCTTTTGATATAAAGCCTGATCGTTTACTGTCAAGGGCATAAAGTCGTCATCCTCAAGAAGTGAGGTGAACTCAGCGTCAAAAATCTGAAATAGTAGTGCAGCATATTTCCTGAAAACAAGCATGTGAATCTTGTTAATTTGTTCCACCCCGGCATTCAGATTCTCCAACACCGCAATGTAAACCCCCAAAAAATCCTTGAACTCAATCAGATCCTCCTCCGAATTAACAGTCTTTTTAATATAGTATTCCAGAAATGGGGAAAATCTGACGATGAATAAATCCCAGAAGTTTTCGCTTGTACTCAGGCTTTTGTAAGACAGCAGGTACTCAGTAGATTTGTTTAGGTGCTTGTCGTATATGACAAACCCTAATATCTTCAGCATGTAATCTTTCAACTCGCTTGAAGAAAACTCATCGCCAAAAGATGCAGCGATCTTCGAGCCTTGGTCCGTAGAGGTGGCAGAGTTATGTCCTTTCAAATCCAGAGGATATGCCACTTTTGATATCCTGAAGTCATACTCGATTTTGAATTCGTTACAGAGGTAGTCAATCTCTTTAAGATTTTGAAAAATCAAAATGCAGTCATAAAACTCATCAAGAGGAAACAGCGTAGAAAGATCTAACGTTCTCTCCTTTTCGGTGTCTCGAAGGGATATTTCTACGGGTGAGTTGAACTTGAAAGCACCCAGCTTCATTTCATTTTTTGAATTCCTCCAATCAGGAAGAAGCGTCTCATTATAAAAGTCAAAAAACTTGGTGCTCACGGAGAGTAACTTCCTTTCTAAATTTGAGCTGAAGGAGCTTTTGATCAAGTTCAGACTCTCATCTTTGATTTTAGACTTCAAGATCGGTATTGATGCATATATCGTTTTCAAGAAATCGAAGTTATAATTTTTGAAGTCTTGAAGGTAGATTGTCTCCAGGCTACTCAAACTCTGAAGGGCCTTGTAGTAGCTTCCATCTTGAATGAGGTCCTGACATTTGTTCGACAACTCTAGAATTTGCAGGATCTTGGAAATCAGAATTATGCACTCCGATATTTTCGTAGATGTCTTTTTATTGTTAATGTAGCTCTGCTTGCGAGATATCACATCGTTGGTGGTTTGCGTCAATTGGACTTGCAGATCTGCAGTTTCACGAAGAAGTGACTCTTCAATGATTTCTTTTATGGCGCCTATTTGGTTAACAGAGGCTGTCAGATTGTCGCTCAACTGAGAATCCTGAAGAATATGAGTTTCGAGATTTTCAAAGTTGTCCTCTACCGAGTTGTAAAGGTCGTCCACAACAGCTTGGAGGGTATCACTCTCGATAGCGGTGCGAAGCAATGGCGTCCATCGGTTCATGGTATGTTCATCGAGATCCAGCTCTTCCTCGTAATCCTGTACCACTGATGCACCTTTCTTGCGATCTTCCTCATCGAAAGTCGATTTCAGAAAAGACAGATCAGTTGAGAGCAGTATCTTCTGCAATTCTGCAGATGTCTGGTTCTGGGCATTTGATTCCATTAAAGGACACAGTAGCCGCTTCTGATGGCTTGCGTTTCCTTGCTTCGCAACTATTATAGGCAGTTAACGGACGGACTGGACTTACCTTTACATACTCTACTACCGTAAGGCTGTTATGAGAGTGCCCAGTTCTTCGTTACAAGTGATAACATCGATGAGATGGTTATTTCTGGCCTATCGATCATAGAGAGGCCTATTAGCGTAGTAAGTGTTTGAGTATGCGTTAATTCAATGGTAAAGTTTGCCTCTCATGGCACAAGATGGCTCCTTCTATTACTGTTTGTATTTGGATTTTAGCTAAAGAATTGAAGATTTTTACTAAGAGTTCAAAGAAAAGATATTCCGTATAAAAGGTAAGCATAATTGAAGTGATGAAGTTACGGTCTCTCTGAATTTAAGCTCTGCTTCACCATAAAGTTTGATCATTCTTAGTAGACGTAGAAAAATCTATTACTACCTTAACTAATAATAACTAAGAAAGTCGTTTGATTCAATCCTGTCAGATAATCACGTGAACTTGACAGCTTTAACCGAGCACCATGCATCTCGCTTCGTCTCTCATCGGATGCTTTGACATTTCGACATTTATACTTCATTCTAGCTAGATCTCACAGGTTAGCCATCACCCGACTCGATAACCTGTTTGACGGAATGGCCTGGACAAACCACTAAAGCCATTAACACAATCTAAGTCATGACCTCGCGTTGAAAGTGTAACGAGAATACTCTGGATAGGCCACAATTCTTCCGATTTAGCCCATGGTTATCGAACTGTAATCAGGTCTCTATCTTGTTCACTTTAAGGACGCTTTGCACACAAGAATGACAAGAACTATATTCCGATGAAAAATGCTTTATCAAGAAACGAAAATAACTTACATGTATAGAGTGAGCCGATTGATGATAACCTTTCGAAAGTGTCTCAATTGTAGCCATTCTATGTTCCATAGGCCTACTTCGAGGCTCCGATGGGACCTTCTTGTTATCACAGTACGTAGCAAGCCAATGAAAACAGCCTACGCAAGTTATCTAGACAGTTAACTAGACGCCATAGGATCACATTGCACACTTGACGCGAGAACACTGGTATCGAAATTCCATCTATTTGGTTTCGGACGCCGCGTAATAGTGCAAGTACGCTGCCATTGTTTTCATACCCAGGAAATAGTTACTCAAGTCGAGTTTTTCATTGATGGAATGGGCACCATCGTCACCTCTGCCCATAGGAAGTAGCATGACATCAGTTTTGAGCTGAGTTTCGAACGTTAAAGTGATTGGAATAGATCCACCTTCACGCGTGAAATCTGGCTCGACGCCATGAACGGCTTTTGTAGCCTTGGCAGCGGCTGTAAAAGAAGCGTTGAAGGGGTTCGAGACCCAGTAAGCGCCGTCGTGGATGAGCTCAGTTCTGCAGGTATTGGGCGAACCCAAAGACTGAAACACCTTGTTGCAGTGGTCGATTACAAGCTTGTCAAGCGTGGCAGAGTCCATGTCTGGAACAGTACGGATTGAAAACTTACCAACGACTCTGGATGGAATGACAGTTTTGGCGCCCTGCGACGAAAATGCACCCTCAAGACCGTGAATCGAGAGTGAGGGAAATCTCCATCTGTGCATGAGGATATCGCTCTTGTTGTCGTACAGACAGGTTTCAGAGCCCGATGCGGCATTCATTTCATCGAGAGTAAAATCAATCTTCTCGTAAAGCTCTTTTTCCTTTTCGGTGACTGGTGCGACCATTTCGTTAACGCCGTCGATCAGAATACGCCCCTGGGAATCCACAAGGGACGCAAAAACCTTGACTAGGTCGATAGCTGGCTCCGCAACAACACCTCCAAAGATACCAGAGTGGAGATCGGCACCTGGACCCTCCACTACGATCTGATAGTAGTTGCAGCCTCTGAGACCGTACGTAAGGACCGGTTTCTTGGTCCCCAGCCAGTAATTGTCCGAAATGCACACAGCATCGACACCTTTGAAGTACTTGTCTGCCTCGTCTGCAATCAGTTTGTCAAGCCCAATGGAACCGGATTCTTCCATGCCTTCGAAACAGACCACAAGGTTGACGGGCAATTCGAGTCCTAGCTCGCGATGGGCGTCCACGACATTCAACCAGCCCTGCACAGGTCCGGTGTCGTCCGTGACACCTCTGGCGCGCATGAGCTGTTTTTCCTCATCTATAACCAGCTTGAAAGGCTCCGAGAGCCATCCGTCTTCCAGCGCTGCAGGCTGGACATCGTAGTGGCCGTACAAAAGCACTGTTTTCTTGGCAGGGTCTGTTCCGTAACGGGCCAACACGACAGGAGGGAGCTCGAGCTTTGGGTTTTCCACAGGAGGAGGCTGGACGCCTAGTTCACGCATCTGAATGTCTTGGAACCCGAGGTGCTCGAGCTGGTCTCTAAAGAATCCTGCCTTCTTCACGACCATCGGTCTGAGACTTTCATCTGCAGACACTGCAGGGATGGCTACGGCATTAGAAAGATGCTCGATGAACCGGGGACCGAGCTGATCAATCTTTTCAAATAAGGTTTTGAAAGGTGCTTCTGTCATTTTCTGATTGTTTGGTACTGCTAATTTGCTGGTAGCGTAGGTACGTAGTTGTAGTCGTGGTAAGAGTTGTAAGTTTACCAATCCTAATTTCCTTAATATAGCTGGTTGTCTACCAGTGAACATTCACAAGTGTATGCAAACTGTGGTGCCGTGCGAGCGTGCGGAGTTATCTCACGAAAATCTGCGTAAGTTGTTACCGTTACAGGACGTTTGGCACGTATCAGTTGTAGTGGGTTGATGTATTACAACGCTCAATTGTCGAGTATGGTCGTAGTAGCAGCTGAACGGCGTAATTTTAGGAAAGCGTCGGTCCTTGGGCGATAAGAGGGCCCAGTGGGTTGGCAGGCGGTGCTTGAAATTTGAACTGGAAACAATGGCTACTGGAAACAAACTAGAAACAAACTGGAAACAGGAAAAGTGTCACCATATACGGAAAATTAAGGCTTGAAAGCAGCTATCACGTGAACTTTTGTTGCCCGGAAACGCGGCGGGGACCGGCGAAAACTGGGGGAGATGCGGACGGTATTGGCAAACTGGAAACATTGGCTGTTGGAAACAAACGGGAAACAAGTGGGAAAAAGAGCGCGGCCGAGAAAAAATGAATTTCGGTTTTCGGTTTTGGATTGGAAACATCACAAACAGGAAACAAATGGGAAACAAATGGGAAACGTAATATTCAATTTGTATGTTTATTGCTTGTCGTCTCATCACCGAAGGTTCCATCCAGGGCTCTGCACACGCACCGACATAAAGCTAGAATAGCCAGCAGCGACGAAACTGCTTTTTGTCCACGTCTGATCTTTCCCATCCCGCATAAAGATGCCAGAAGTATGCTAACAAGAGCTTTTTTCCCGTACACTCGACATACACCGTTCAACATCACTAACTTAGAAACGACCTGCAGCCCCTGCTTACGTCTATTGTCGCTGGAAGCACAGCAGCGGTATTCCAGACCACGATATCGTACCCGTTTGAGTTTCTCAAAACGGGTCTCCAACTGCACCGGTCGCTCCCGGGGGTCCCACCTTTCCAAATGCTGCACCAGATCAAAACGTACTTTGCAGGCTGCGCTGCGCTCAACGTCGGCACATTGCTGAAAACTGCAACACGATTCACGACTTTTGAAAGCGCATGTGAGCTTCTGCGGGACAAACAAAATACGTCGCAACCGATCAGTGGGCCACGTTTACTGGCAGCAGGCGTCATTACGGGGTTTATGGAATCACTGCTGGTGATTCCGTTTGAAAACATCAAGACCATAATGATCGAAAATGCCCTGATGTCGCAGCACACAGAAAAGCCTGAAAAGGCTGTTAAAGACGTGAGACCAACATTTCATGCCACCAAGAAGCCAGCTTTGCATCCACGCCAGAAATGGTTTCAGCACTACGAGTTGCACCCATCCACGCATTTTTTCTCTACGATCCAGGAGATCTACCGCACGCGAGGCATCCGTGGGTTCGCTCAGGGCTCCGTGTGCACCATTATCCGCCAAACTTCCAATTCGGCTGTCCGCTTCACCAGCTACACTGCGCTTAAACAGCTAATATCACCTACCAAACCGCTGAACGAGTATTATGCATTTGCTTTGGGAGTTGCTTCTTCCTGCGCCGTAGTTGCCGTCACACAGCCTATTGATGTTATAAAGACTCGTATGCAATCAAAGTATGCGTGGCGTAACTACAAAAACTCGCTCAATTGTGCATACAGAACCTTTGTGGAAGAGGGCATCACAAATCTTTGGAAAGGTTGGGCTCCAAGACTCATGAAGGTTGGTCTTTCCGGTGGTGTGTCTTTCGGTGTGTTCCAGTACGTCGAAAACCTCATGAACTCCATGGACAAAGCAGTCAGCATGGGCCACAACTAACGTGCCCCCCTCTTCTCCTTCTAGCCGTTCAGGAAATCAGCTCAAGTAAGTAATGACGCAAATAATTATTGTACAGATAGGACCTTAAATCTATAAAGTTTAGTATAAGTTGGTTGCGTTGTGCACAACACATCCGGGAGCGTCAGCCGGTTTCTCGACTAGCGAACCTATTTCATAGACCGTCTCATTAGCCTGTGACAGCAATTGCTTCACTCTGGTGACATTTTGCTTTTCGACGATCAAAACCATGCCGATACCCATGTTGAAAGTTTTCAAAATATCGTCCACAGGAACGTTTCCGGCCTTTCCAAACCATTTGAAAACCTCAGGAACTTCCCAGTTTTTCATGTCAACCTCGGCCTGCAAGTGGCTGGGCAGAGCGCGGGGAATGTTTTCTACAAGTCCACCTCCCGTAATGTGAGCCAGACCTAATAATAGATTTTCTCTGATTGATGGAAGAAGCTGCTTGACGTAGATTCTGGTAGGAACTAGTGCAGCTTCACCAACAGTCTTGGATGAATCCCATGGACATTCTTCTCCCCATTGAAGATTGGTAGTTTCGATGATCTTTCTCACTAACGAAAACCCATTAGAGTGCAGACCGTCAGACCCAAGACCTAACAAGACGTTTCCAGCTGCCATGTTCTCAATCTTGGGTAAAATCTTGTTCCTGTTAACCGCACCCACGGCTGTACCGTTGGTATCGTAGTGTCCCACTGGGTACATACCTGGCATTTCAGACGTCTCTCCTCCAACCAGAGCACAGCCGGCAGTTATGCAGCCATCAGCGACACCAGAAACAAAGTCTGAAGCAACCTTTATGTCCAATGCACCGGTAGCAAAGTAGTCAAGGAAAATCAATGGTTCAGCACCTTGAACAACCAAGTCGTTGACGTTCATGGCAACCAAATCAATTCCAACAGTGTCGTGAATGTCAGTCTCTTGAGCAATAATGAGCTTGGTGCCGACACCATCTGTGGCCGCTACCAGCAAGGTCTCATCTGTGTTGTAACCAGCAGCTTTTAGGTCGAAAAGACCACCGAACCCACCAATATCGGAATCTGCCCCAGATCTCTTAGTAGACCTGACCTTTTCTTTTATTTTCTGAACCAAGAGGTTTCCATTGTCGACTGAAACACCAGCCTCAGCATAAGTGATTGATTGTGTCATTTTTTCTGCTTGTTCAGCAAGTTTGAAAGCACGGTAGGCAATATCTTTTCTGAAGTATCTGTTTTTGAACTGAATGCACTCAACACCTTCATACGCCTTTGCTACTGCTTCTTTCAAAGTTGGAGCGACGGCAGAGGCAGCAATTACTCTGCCACCTGCTGTTAAAACTTCTCCACCTTCTTCCTTGGTACCGGCGTGGAAAATGTAAGCATTCTTGGGAAGCTTGCTTCTGTCAATGGTAATAGCGTCTCCCTTGGCATAGGTTTCCGGATAACCACCGGCCGCGAGTACAACCGTTGTAGCATAACAATTTTCCTTGATCTTGATATTTACAGAGTCCAGTCTGTGTTCAGCAGCAGCAACGAAGACCTCAGCCAAATCGGTGTCCTCCGACAACAAAGGCAAAACGGTTTGAGTTTCAGGATCACCGAATCTCACATTATATTCGAGCACCTTAGGTCCCGTCTTGGTCAAAATGAATCCGGTAAAAAGCACACCAACGAAAGGACGGCCGTCCTTTCTCATTCCGTTGATCGTTGGCTTAATGGATTCTTCCTCCATTTGCTTCAAAAGAGCTGGCGTGGCAGCTGGCGCTGGGGCATAGGCACCCATGCCACCAGTGTTTAAGCCTGTGTCATTCTCACCAACTCTTTTGTGGTCTTGAGCAGGTGGGAAACTAAAGGAGGTGTAACCGTCGGAAATTGTCAAAATCGAGATTTCGTCACCTTCCAGGAACTCCTCGATTACAACAGAGTCACCTGCGGCACCGAACTGTCTTTCGACCATCATCGCCTTGAGTGCTTCTTGTGCTTCCTCGGTAGAATTGGGGATTAAAACACCCTTACCGGCGGCAATACCGTCGGCCTTCAAAACAATTCTGTAATCGATTTTCTCCAGATAGGATTTCGCTGATTCGTAGTCACTGAAGTTTGCGTAGCGGGCGGTTGGAATGTTATGCTTGGCCATAAAGTCTTTCGAGAAAGTCTTAGAACCCTCGAAAAGAGCGGCCTTAGCGGATGGCCCAAACACTGGAATACCAACTTTCTGGAAAACATCAGCGATTCCATCCACAAGTGGTTGTTCCGGACCAGGAACAACCAGTCCCACCTGATGGTCCACTGCAAATTTTTGGAGGGCATCAAATTGGGCTGGCACTGGGCTCAACTCACCCACATTTACGACTTTACCACCGATCTTCGCAGTCCCGCCATTACCAGGAGCGACAAAAATTTTACGCACCGAGGCAGACTCCGCCAGCTTCCACACCAAGGCGTGCTCTCTACCACCGTTTCCCAATACCAAAATGTTCAAGCTCATCGCTAATGATGTCTATAAGAATAAAGAAAAGAGAATAGCTTTTTGAAAGAACTCGACTTTCGTCTGACTTCCTTTACACTTCTCGTTTGATATTAACGGCTGGAAACGTAGTATCTTCACGTCTCTGGGTAGTTTTTAAATGTTTAAAATCGGACGAGAGAAAGGACGAAGCTATGAATTAGTTGATGAGCCAGTAATTCTGTCATGAGATTGATTGACTATCCAATTTTCAAATATGAACAATTTATTCATAGTGGACGAGTCAAACCCGAACGAAAGCCAGCCAGTATCATCCCAGACGGGGCGAGAGAGGGATAGTCAGCGTATTTCGCCCATCGATGACAGATAAAAGCTCAATACCGCGGTAAAACCTCGGATTTTATGTTTCGATTGGTGGTTTTAGACTGTTGTGTCTCTTTCGCGTTGAGGGTTAGGGTTTGTCCTATCGTTGCGACTTTTTGATGTAAATGCGTTGAATGTGTTCAGAGAGTATATCGTAGTGCGTTCTTCGCTCAATTGATAATCACCAATTAGGATTACTTGTCACAGGTATATGGCGGTATACTACCTTTTGATAATATCTGGTCAAAACCTTAATGTGATTATCGTCCTCGTCGAGACCTTCAGGCCAGGTTGCAACTAAGCGAACTCAAATGTTTTCGATGCTGCTAAGCATGGGACCAATCAGTGTCTAGAAGTAGTTACCATATAAGTTTCAGAACACCCTTAGCGATGATCTTCCCTCATTATCTTAAGTTTTATATCCTCAGTAACACAAACGTAACATTTTATTGCCAAAAAAGCCGGGCAATCCTTGCAGAGCATGGAATTCCACAAGACCCGTTTTTCTATCAGGAGACACCATTTGTTTCTCCTTAAATCGTCCTCGAATATAACTTCCGCGGCTAACGGATATCTATCGTTTCTGGTCTCATTTGAAGCAATCACCCAATGCTAACCTGATTTCATAGTCTTCAACAGACGTACCACAAATTATTCAACTTCAACCTCAAGGATAAAGCCACTTTCACATCTTTATTTGAGTACTTCTAGTTTTCGTCTCTTCTCATGATGATTATATATACCTTTCTTCATATATACTGGTTTTTATACCATCAAATTTCATCGGCTAGTGAGAGATGATATAAAATTGAAGACTAGCTCATCGCATCGATTAAACGCATCTACTTACCAATACGATCCGGTTAAAGTCGTGGACTATCCTATTTCAAATGCTGTCTAGTGCTCTTCGGCGAAATGTGCGAACGAAGCGCTTGATTAGACCATCACTAAGAAGACACATACATCTGAATGCGGACCTAGACGTTGCTTTGAAAAAACTGCCATGTTCGGGCGTTGTCGTTATTGGTGGTGGCCATGCTGGTTGTGAGGCTGCAGCTGGATCTGCGCGATCTGGTGCTCATACTGTGTTGGTTACCCCATTTTTGGATAAAATTGGAACTTGTTCGTGTAATCCATCTATGGGCGGTGTGGGAAAGGGCACGCTACTCAGAGAAGTAGACGCTCTGGATGGTGTGGCTCCAAAAGTGACAGATTTAGCTGGAATACAGTTCAAAATGTTGAACAAAAGCAGAGGTGCAGCGGTTTGGGGCCCAAGAGCACAAATCGATCGTGAACTGTATCTTGAACATATGCAGCAAGCATTGAAAAAGCTCCCGAATCTGACGCTTCACGAGGGTAAAGTTAAAGATCTCATTATTGATGCCGGAGGTACCTCGGTAGTGGGTGTCATTCTAGAGAGTGGACAGATTCTTCGATCCTCTAACGTGGTTATCACAACTGGTACCTTTCTGAGCGCTGAAATTCACATAGGCTTGAAAAGCTTTCCAGCCGGAAGAATGGGTGAAGACCCTACATATGGCATCAGCAGCACTTTGCGCGAAGCTGGCTTCCAGCTGGGTAGACTAAAAACGGGGACTCCTGCCAGGCTCGATGGACGCACAATAGATTTCACACATCTCGAAAAACAATACGGTGACGATCCACCGCATCCAATGAGCTTTTTGAATAACGCTGTGGCAATCAAAAATCAGGTTTTGTGCTATGGTACCAATACTACTCCACAAGTTCACGAATACTTGAAGGCTAATCTCGATAAAGCCTTGCACATTCGAGAAACTATTAAGGGCCCTCGTTACTGCCCCTCCATCGAGGCAAAAATTACTAGGTTCTCCGACAAGGACTCACACAAAATCTGGCTCGAGCCAGAAGGGCTAAACTCATCTGTCATTTACCCAAATGGTGTATCGAACTCGATGCCAGAAGATATACAGGTTACGTTTATGCGCATGATTCCTGGATTGGAAAATGTTGACATCTTGCAACCTGCATATGGTGTCGAATACGATTACATCGATCCAAGAGCACTGAAATCTACTTTAGAAACAAAGCTACTCAAGGGTTTGTATCTAGCCGGCCAAATCAACGGTACCACTGGATACGAAGAAGCAAGTGCCCAGGGTATCATTGCGGGTATCAACGCAGGTCTATCCGAGCAAAATAAGGAGCAAATGATTTTATCCAGATCGGATGCTTACATCGGAGTTTTAATTGATGATCTGATAACTAAAGGAGTCACGGAACCCTACCGTATGTTTACTTCACGGTCAGAGTTTCGTGTTAGTGTAAGAGCTGACAATGCGGACTTTCGACTGACAGAAGTTGGTCGCAAATTCGGTGTAGTTGGCGATGAACGGTGGGAAACTTTTAAGTTGCACAGAAACATGTTTCGGGACATTGTCGGTAAGTTGTCAAGCTTCGAGCAAAGTGCCACGAAATGGGAAAACTCTCTTGGAATCTCAGTAGCAGACAGCGCGAAAAATAAGAGTGCATGGGAAATGTTCAGATTTAACCATATTGACTACGAGAGACTGGTCAAGAGTGTACCAGACTTGGCAACCGACATCAACGAGATTCCGAAACACGTTCTTCTGAAAGTGGATGTTGAGGGAAAGTATGCCCCTTACATCAAGAAACAAGATCAGTACATCAAGGCATTCCAGGCGGACGAAGGCATGCTTCTCCCGCAGGGGTTCGACTACTCGAAAATGCCTTCTTTAAGCAGTGAATGCAAGAGCATTCTAAACCTGGTTCAACCGTCAACTATCGGACAGGCAAGAAGAATCCAGGGTATCACACCTGCGTCCCTTTTCGAGCTTTACAAAATGGCAAGATTTAAGCAACATGACGTCCGAAGCTTGCTAACCAGGAATCAACTCTGAAAGATCACGGCAAAATCACTAACATTCAAATCATGTATATATAGCCATCTCGACCGCCATAAGGTCTTCTGTGCATAAATATTGGCAACAAAAGTCGTAAAATTCATCTTTGCCGCTATTTGCGGCTAAGAGATCACGATCTTTTAAAATGGAGGTGACCATCCCGAGCCCAATCGAAACATCATTTGAGAGAACCGCTTCTCGTATTTTAGCGCTCATTTCCGCTGAAAAGAAGGTGGGCAAGATTCTGAAAACATCGCGCGAAGAAACAGTTGACGAGGGAAAAAGACAAAGCTTCAAGAGACTTGAAGTGAGCTTCGGGGTTAATTCTAGCTCCTCAGGTGTAGTAGAATGTCGGTTGATTGATGATTTTCTTTCTTGTTTTTTGAGTGGAGACCTTGTGCTGTACTTTTCAGTCGGATCTTCGAGACCGAGGTCTTGTTTTGGACTTTGCCCGCCCTTTGTGGGGTCTTCGTGAATGTTTTGTGACGAAGACGCGGACTTTTCTTGATTTGCAGACTCTCCTTCCAACGAAAAATCGTCGTTTTCGAGCCCCAAAAGCGAAGAAGACTCTGGAGAGTGATGTTTTGAAGCCACATCGTCTACTAACCGCAACGAAACGTCTCCAAATCGTGAATTTCGCTTGTGACGATGCTTGTAATCATGGTCAAAATCAATGGTTTGCGACAAAATCCGTTTCTGCGGATTTTTTTCAGCACTAGAGTAGTAGCTACTTGAGACACTACTTCCACGATCGGGTTCAACAGAACCCGTTCTATCTTCTTGCAATCGTTCTTCCAACAACAAGTGACTCAACTCCCGAAGATGGGCTCGCAAAGAGCCCTGTAAACCCCACTGTGACATGTGGACGTTGGACGTCTCTAATCCTTATATTCCTCGTTACCTTTCCACCAACGTAAGAAAACAGCTATGCGCACACGCTCAACGCAAACACCTTTTTCAAACCCACAAAAGTCGAGTATCGTTTCCCGTTTTAGCCTTTCCCGAACGCCAAGAGCTCCATTCGCACACTTCCTTATCCACAGCTCTTGCTCATTGCCGCCAAGAGTGAGGAAGGATAGATAATAAGCCCGCCCTTTATATACTTCGAATTTTTGGAGATCTCTTCCCACTATACGTATACAGTGTCAAGTCTTAGAGACAAATAATTAAAGCCATCGTCCAATAACAAAGGCGATGGGCTAATCGTCAAGAAACCATAGAGACCAGTAGCCGCTGTTGGTCGATTGAGCAGCTACAAACAGCGTGTGGCGAGAGTCAAAGCAGTGCTGAATAGTGGTAGACACCATTTTGAATGGATTTGCCCCAAAATTACCAACAATTGGATGCCGGTTTGGCACCATATGGTGATATAACGACGGAGGAAGGTGGAAAGGACGACAGGTTTGCCAATGCGGCGGGGAGGACCCAAGAAGTAGGAAAAGAGTATATTGAGGCTGTCGCAGAGGAACAGGATCCATCGAATATGTATCTGTACGATCGACCGCAAGTGGACCTAGAGGAAGAGTCATTGGACTTCCGAGAATCACAGAAAGGACAGAAAAAACGCCAGGAAACAGGGAACTCCGCTTTTGCAGCAACACATCAGTTGGAAACACGGGGGAACGCACAGAGCTCAGAATTGGCAAGTGTGACTGGCAAGCCCGTCGTAATCGCGGACGTAAGTTCAGACCAGCACTCCCATCCCTCGATAGGCTCAGAGCACGCCAGCATAGCATCACACGATGTGCCAGACATCGACCCCGTCGCAGGAACGACAGATGGGTCTGCATTCAACCCGCCAAGCTCCACTGAACAGCCGTTTTACGTTAATGCCAAGCAGTACTATCGCATCTTGAAAAGGAGATATGCAAGAGCCAAGCTAGAAGAGAATCTCAAAATTTCACGCGAGAGAAGACCATACTTGCATGAGTCGCGGCATAAGCACGCTATGCGTCGACCCCGAGGTCAAGGTGGCCGCTTCCTCACAGCCGCAGAAATCGCAGAGCTCAAGCAAACGGATGACCCCGAACCGGCTCTGAATATCAAACAACAGGACCCTGCAGCCAACGCTGTAAAAAAAGAACGTTTTGGAAGCCGACCAATTTCGGCGGCACGCATTGCACCGGGGAACCCTGCTGCAATGGACGAAACAGTACATAAAGACCCCACACGACATTGATGTGGGACCAGAAAGTAGATGCATTATTAAATTTATATTCACGAAAGACGTTCGAAACCTCAAGATTAGGTGAGGCCCAAGCTATGCAGTGCCAATTTGGCTTTGTCAGAAAGCTGTGGTGCAAGACCCGAAAGGCTATTACCGGTTTTTTGATTGAACGACAACAGGGTGTCTTTCAGGTACGATTTCAAACCTGTGGTCAAGTCCACTTCAGGAACAGGATCAAAGCTTTTTTCACTGATAGAACTCAACTTGCTGAAACTAGATCCAAAAGTCGATACTTCCTCTAGATTATCAAGATCCACAAAATCGTTATTCATGCTTACAATACTTTCAGACGCTGCTGTTTCCACCAAAACTTCTAAAGACGGTGCGAATAGATTTGGATATTTTGAAGAAAACTGCGTGCCACTTGTTATGACTTGAAGGACCCCAATTATAGCGATTTTGCGGTCCAGCAAGTTTCCCATGTTGGGGATTGTGCTAATGACAAAAGAATTCCAGATCTGCTCAAAAAGTCCATTTTGAACATCATCCAAAAAACTTACAACAAAGTCAGAGCCCTTTTTGTAAGCCACAAGGCTGAGAAAGACAAGGAATTTTTTGACGTATTTCTCGGTTCTGGAATTCTGTAACCGCTGTAGAAGAAGAACTGCAATTTGTTTCAAAAAAGGTTGTAATTTTTCTGTTGGCACGTAAGTCACAATATGTTCCATAAGGTCAAGACCGTTCACATCGTATGTCTTAGAAGCAATCAATCTCTGGAATACACCGAGAACTGGGAGAAGGTCTTGATAAGCTCCCGGGTTTACGCGGATGATGTCCTTTAGAAGTCTCGTCACAGCTGGGATGTTGCCCTTCAATTCCCACACAGATGGTGAGAGAATTGGTTGTGCTAATTGAGCGACCGAAGCTGGAAGACTGCTTTCCTGGGGCATTTGTTCTATGCAGTAGGCAATAAGCTGAATGGTATAAGGAATAAACTCTTGAACATCAGCGGACAGGATGCTCATAAAAGTAGGCATCATGATGTCCAAGAACTCACTCAACGATTGTTGATTGTACTTCAGCACAACACCCAAGGACTCGAAACAGTAATGCGAAAATTTGGGGTTAGATGGGTTTTTGGAAATTATCGAAACGATCTGAAGAAGTTCATTGATCGTGTTTAGAGCAAAAGGGGCCGAAAGTTCCTCGGATGTAGAGAGTACTCGATACACGGCCCTCATTAAAAACTCGTTTTCGGCCAACTTTTCTGGCGATTGCCCTTGTTTGAAAATCAAACGGAAAAGATTCGTGAGCAGAACTTGCGAGCTGCCTGCAAGATCTGACTTTTTGAAAACGAGTACAGATGATGTGTTTGATTCTCTTATTGCAAGTATGCGCTCAATGGTTATAGAAGCATAAGTGTAGACAACGAATTCCTCGGATTGCAGGAGCTCAGCGAGAATGGGCAAGATTTGTATTAGCTGTTCTTTACTGAGTTGATTCCGGAACGTGTAGATGTACTTGATAGCATCAACCTTCAAAATAGGATGAGGTACCGAACCCACCAGGTCAGGAAATATTTGCTCACTGAAAAAGCCAACCACGTCCAGCAAAATACTCGTCGATGAAACACCTGGATTACTTATGCTTCCATTTATCGCCAATGTGGAAAAAAGGTAAATGCTGAGATCTTTGTATTTCCAGTTGTTCGCCGGATCTTCTTGGTATTTGAGGAAAAAAGCTTTAATCTGCTTCAAGACAAGAGAAACGACGACGTGCTCATTTTTTTCCTTCAATTCTTTCACAAAATCGGTACATCCTTTCCTTCTGGTTTCCGAATCGGAGCCCTCGAGATCACGTCTCACATATTCGATGGGGTCATCTTCAAAAAGTTCTTCATCCGCCTCGCGTAATGTGACGTTGGGCAATATGATTTGTTCTATGATGCTTTGGAGAGCGCCTTCGTTATTGAAAAGTTCAAAATACTTTGGAATTTTGGTGACAGCTGTCATGAAATGGAGAGCTTTCGAGATGAGAACATCATTCTTGGCTTGTGGCATCAAGCCTGTAAGAATGTCCAATGTCGCTTTTATGAAATCGTTTGCCATGGGTTCGAATACGTCATCATACCTTGTGATATAAAGTTGAATTAACTCTTCGATACTGGATTTAACCTTCGTGACAACACTCGCTTGGTCTTCTTCATCCTTGTCTTCTAACAATTGATTATCGTAGGCCAAGTACTTGAGCATAACCCCCATCCCCAATTGCGCGTTGTCTTCGAAGAACTCTGGGATGTCTTGACAGTTTAAGTCGTAGTAAAGCTTGATCAAGACTAGTAAAACGTCAAATAGTAACGTGAGCTTGGCTGCATCCGCTGTACTGGCTGTGATTTGCTCATCTACAGATTGAAGCAGGGCTAAGAAAGGTGATGCAAACTTATCCAACACGAATTTAATCTCTAAGAATAACTCGTCTGATCTGAACAGAGGGCGCCATCTCTTGAAGATAGAATGTGCCACTGTCAATACTCCCCTATTGGTGACCATATCGTTCGTTGAGAATTTTCCAATCAAATCATCCAGTAAATTTGGCCATCTCTGAGGGAAATCAGAATCTGCTATAACAGAAATTGCTTCGCCAATCTGGATTTGCAAATTCCCAGGTAAAACTATCATCAACGGCACGATTTCCCTTTTGATTGCGTCAACGTCTGAGAGAGAAATGAGGTAGTCTCCATTTTCGTCAACCCAACGACGCTTGATGAAGTTTTTGAAGAAAAGTGCACCAGCCAGCCTCGTTGACACTGGAAGGTTTCCAGATGCAATTACATGCATCAAAGTTAAGGGAAACCCTTCCAGCGATTCTTCCGCCTTGAGGCTCGCCTCAGCAGCTTTGGAAGTTGAGGCAGCGACTGATTGTTCAAGATACTGGGCAACTGATACCAAATCTGACATTAAGAGTTCAATTGGCTGGCTATTTCGGATCTGTTACTTCACCGTTAAGCTCATCTTTGATCTCGAACTGAATCATTTTCTGTCTACAATTAAAATTTTGAATATAGCTCGGCATGAGTCATTACGTACGTATATCCAATGACACTGGCATTTGAACTACCACCGCGTGTTGTGCTCCTAGAAACACCCTTGAGATCTGTATTATCGAAGCTTGCAATCGGTCAGCAGACTACCAGGTGAAAAGTAGTCCAAGAGAAGGGATCCTTCTACCGGAGTTCGGAAATGTTGTGTGTAGACTCTAATACCCCGAAGATGGGTGTCCTTGCCGTTTTCATGGTTCACGGGAATATCTACGCGTAAATATTGGCATTTCAGAAGTCCGTCTTGCGGCCTGTTGTCTTCGAAAGTCAATGCGACCCAGCCGTTAACGTTGCGGACCTCCAGGGTCTTGTAATGGGTGGCATCGGACGCACTGTGACCAGCATACACTTTCATTATTTGCGGTGTGTACGACTCATCTATGGAAAGTGACAGGAATAGAGCCAGCTGGGCTATCTCAACCCGCTTACTGAAGCTGGCCTCCACATGGTGCGGCTGCGACCCGTCGCTTTGCCAGAAATTGTGCGGGTTATCATCTAAAGCATACACAATAGGATTGCCGTCCTTTTGTGAAGATGCCTTCCAAAACGCCAGATTGGTGATGTTAATCAGCTTTTGGGCTTCTAGCCTCTGTAGACCCAGTCCAAACTTTGCAATGTAGGCTTCCGTTGTGTAGTCCTCATCATAATCATCCGATTCCTCTGTGTTGCCTAAATATCTAACCCCATATTCTGCCTCATTACCGCTAGCTTCGTCTAAAACCAATCGTTGTGATAGTTTCGAGTACCGCGATGCGAATTCGAGATCTAGTGTTGGTAAGAAGTTGTTTAGTTGCTGTTCGAATGGTGTCATATCATCTCTTGAAGCGGGGAAACCTATTGAGCGGAGCACTTATGGACGCGATCCGGCCAGAAACTAAGCCACGACAATAGCGAGGTGTGTTACACCTGTTAAAGGTCAAATTCTGGATCAACTGCATGTAATTTAAAGAATCTGTCTAGTTCACAAATAAAATACCACAGCATCGTAGACGAAGGTAGTAAAGGTTAAAGAATTGAAAGCCTAGAAACCTGATTGATAAGAAGTGAACCATTAGTAGTTTTTAGCTTCTAGCGTTCAAATCAGCATGTCATCACGATTCGTCGCTATTTGTTTTGGTTGGTTCTGTAAAATGGGCTTTATCTTGTCGAAATAACATGTATTTTACTGTAAAATTGATTCCCAATTGATTGCAAAGCTAGAACAGTAAAGACTCTCTCTGCCTTGCTTTAGGTTTTTCGAGATCGCACCATCTATAGTTTGCGAAGCACAATTGCGGTATTTTTGAGTTCTGAGGCTGGGTTGTTGAAGTCTCCGATACGATGAACTAGCTTCAATTTGTTCTACATAGTCTCGAGAGGACTGCAGTTTCATTGAAATCTTTCAGTCAATTATCGGGCCCTGATCCAGAAGGTGCGTCAATCTTCAGCGAAAAGTCCACAACATCCGTACCTTGGTGAATGCTGCTGGTGCTGTAGATGTCAATGTAATCGCAGAGATATCCGTGAATGTTGCTGAGCTTCAAACCACCGCTACATTCTAGTAAAAACTGTTTTTTGCCCTGCCACCTTTCCTTGATGCTCATAGCAGCAATCTGCAACTCGCTGCCTGTAAAATTGTCAAGCATGATCACATCTGCACCAGCAGCTATAGCTTCATCGGCTTCTTTCTCAGATTGGCATTCAACTTCAATCTTCATCGAGAAACCACAAACGGAACGAGCCTCTTTCACCGCATACGTTATGGAGCCCGTAGACCATATATGATTGTCTTTGAGCATCACCATTGAGGACAGGTCATATCTGTGCATATCACAGCCACCAACAAGCATAGAGTATTTCTCTAGTCTGCGGAGCCCTGGGGTTGTTTTACGCGTTCCTGCAATTATTCCTTTGTACCCAGTTTCCCTGGCAGCTTCCACCAGTTTTCTGGAGGCTGTGGCAATTCCCGAACTCCTGCTAAGCAAATTCAATGCTGTCCTTTCGGCCACCAGTATGTTACGTGCTTCGCCGCTTATTTCTGCCACCATTACTTTTGATTCACCCTCTTCACGAGTTACGAAATCACCCTCTTTATAATGCCAGCCAACAGTTAATTTGCATTGGTCGAAAACTTCTTGGGCAAATGGTACACCGCTAAGCACTCCGTCTTCTTTCATCCAAAGAGTAGCTGATTTTATGTCCGACCCTACGACAAAGCCTCCATAATCAAAACTTGGAATATCCTCTTGAATCCAATTGGTCACATCTTGTTTCCAAGCTCCGTTGACTGGTAGAAGATATGGTAAACAAGGCATTGTGTTTGCTGATCTGATCTTTGTTCGGACACTAGGTGTAGGAACACATTTGAATGTATATATGGGAAGTAATATCTACCTCGTACAGACTTCACGAGTCACGGGACTACTTTCGAAGAGTTTTGAACCATAGTTTAGGTCGGATAGTTATGAGAGTTTAATCGTTTCACTGGCCCATTCATTCACATAGTCACCCTATTCCTCAATAGGGTTCGCTCCGTTTGAGCTTAACCTTCAATCCTGACGGTTGTTGGTTGTCGAAAATGTTCGTAGGATGATCAAAAAAAGATACAGGGTGTGTCAAATAGGCCGTAGTTTGATAGGCTTAGCCTTGGTAGTATTCATGAAATGTAAGACAGCTTCTTAAAGGAAAGTTAGTGGCAAGACTAACATCCACGTTCGAAGGCTCTATCTCTTGATCCCTGGTCTCCAAGATACCCTGGTAAACGAATACGGCCTGTAATTTTGGTAGGCTTTTCAACGAAGTGAAGTACCGTAGCCCTCTTTTTCTATATCAAGTTTTCAGATAAGACTTTCTTCTCGTGGTCAGAAAGGCTTTCATAAATGACACGGAAATTGTTTATATTCCTGGAAGCGGCATCACGAAAGAAAGTGATGAGAAGATCTCTTGCGGACGAACACTTCTCCTGGTTCCCACCCTGTTCCAAGCCGCTGAATTCATCTTCGGAATTGCTCGCACTCTCGTCATCGAAATTCGAACCTTCGCTCTCTTCGCCGCTATCATCATCCAAATGTCCCTGTAATCTTTCAAATTCCAGTACGCTATCAACATCTTCCCAATCATCTTCTTCATCGTCGTCGTCGTACTTTTCCACGTCGAATGGAACATACTTGCTCACATCGTTTTGCTTCGACTGGAATTCTAGCTCGCAAACAAAAAGACTCGTCACCTTTTCATTAAATGAAATCATTTGGAACTGTCGAGGCATATTTTTAGCCATAGACCTAGTCACGATGAGGTCACTTTCGAATGGGATGGGCTCCCCTCTCACTTGCACTCCAGATACCCTTCCGTCCTGCTGAAAGAAAAGTGTGCAAAGTGCTCTGATGTTTTCGATGATCCGCTTGTTTCCTCGAACAACCTCGAAAGCATCAAGCCATTTTGGTAGTACCACGGTAAGTGCATCCTCTCCTTTCTCCCCTACAGAAAATGATGAGAGAAAGTTGATGACATCTTGCGGATTTTTAGCTGTCAGGTAGCAAAACAGAGACAGTAAGTTTTCGGACGTCGAGATATTTTCGGCAGCAACGAACTTTCTAGTTGCAGCTTCCATAATAACAGGAAAGAGCTCGTGCAGCTGCTCTGAGAATTTTTTAATGGTGACGAGCACCAATGGTCCCACATTCATTGCACCAGAATCCGTTGTTTCGTCGGAGAGAAGTTTTTCCAGAGTAGATACTATCAAAGGAAGCTGTGGCTCAAGATCTTTTGACGAAGTGTTGTGGACCAGAAATACCAGACAGTCTGACGAAAGCTGTGTTATTGCATCGTCAGTAGAACTAACCAGGATTTCGTTCAATGGATTTAAAACAAACTCACCAATGGCCACTGGAATAAGACCGTCTGAAGGTTTACGCTTCATAAAAACTTTGAGAAGCTCTAAGGAGAGACAAGCATTGGGCGAATAACCACTTTTGTCCTCCATCAATTGGTTCAAAGCTTTCACAATGAGGGGCATGCATGTTTCCGCGTATGCGATATAAGTAGAAGTCGTCACTCGCTTTATGATGCCTGATAAGCAATCTTGTGCCTCCAGTACCACTTCCACGTTCGATGGATTTTTTGCTGAAATTTGTAGTAGAAGTCTGAGAGCATTATGATAGAAGGGGTTGTTCTTGTTGTCCTGCACCTTAAGCGATGCTACTGCTGTCAAGGCCTGCAATAGAACGCTTGTAGTATCTTCTTCACTATCGGCGCTGATTTGTTCAATGATGTGACAAGCTGATTCTCTGAGCTGAAAACAAAAGTCACCTAAGATAGCATCTAGATTGGAAAAGTGAGCATACTCATAGAATCCTATTAAAAAAGCTACCTTCACAAGTTCGTCATTCGACCTAAATGCCAAAGCTATTGACGACTGCAAGAAGGACTTAACAGTACTTTCCCAACTTAGCAGTTCTGATGTAGTTCTCCGTAGGATCTTTGGTACAACAATGATTATTCTGGCTAGAAGGAGGGCGTGTTTCCCATCTGGTTGAGCAAGGCTGTCAATAAAGTAGGTTATTAACTCAGAAAATTGAGGCGCTTTCGCAATCGTGGAAAACTCAACATTGTCGCACAGCCATTTGAATAGGACCAAAATTGCCTCCCCAAGTTTCCAGTCTCTTGCAATGAAGCTAGGGAACTTTAATAGCAAAGTATTCATGATTAGCTCGCAAACTTGGGGTGACGCATCCTGAAGAAATTCTTCACTTGCATTTCGCATACGATATACGTTGCTCAATCCCTCTTCGACTGTGACGAAATTGTTGAAATCTGCTTCCCATTTCTCTATGTCTTCGTCGATCAGGGCGCTACAGAATACGAGCGATTTGACAACATTTTGTAGCTGGTCATCATCTAGTACCAAGTTACGAATGCTGCCGAGTCCCTGCAGCAGTTCACATCCTAGTTCATCCACCGCAGAAAACTCATCTGACTCGTGAGTAAAATTGAGCGTCCGACGAATATGCGAGATGGCTGCTAATTTTTCAATAAGCAGGAATTTAATATCATCGTTCATTGATGAAGACACGATACGTTTTGAAAATGAGGTTGCGATTTTGTTGACGCATTGGATCTTGACGCGCAGTAGCTTTAAAACATCGAGGTCGGAAGTGCCGAAATCGGTATAAGATCTGATACCCTCAATAAGCATTTCGAGCGTTTCACGCAGATGGTTATTCACAGCATCTTTTAGCTCTTTCGTAGAGGTGGCAGTTGGAAGCTGTAGCTGATCCAAACACACGCTGTAAAGTTTCCCCGCGGCTATTTTGGCAGGAGCAGAAAATGCCGGGCTCCTGAGCATCTCTGTAACCAGCTGTATAGTCTGCCATCCTACACCACCTTCGAAAAACATTTCCTCTGAAACAATATCGTCGAAAATTTCGTTCAAAAGACGCAACGCGCTTAGCGATTGTCTGTTGACAATAGCGTCAAAAATGGTGCTCAGAAGTTCCGGCCACGCATCAGGAAAGTCTACGGCAGCTATTTGGACAATACAGTAGCAGCTACTCGCAACAAGGCGTGTATTCTGAGCATCATCCAGACCTAGCTTTAGAAGTGCATCCCGAATAAATGGCTTGTTGTTCTCTCCAACGCCTGGCGGACCGCAATAGGATTCGAAGCCGGCACTCCAGTACATAGTTATCAGCTTCCGGAGTGTCAGTAAAGAGTACAAGCGATTCTCGATAGCCATTTCATCTTGCATCGCAATTTCGGTTAGCAACGTACACCCACGACCAGGGTTATCATGAACTCGCTGCAAAATGAACTGCTCACTTCGTTCTCGAACTGCATAATCAGGCGACTGGCCACCCGCAATGGCAGCTTCCAGCTCTCTTGGATCAATTGAGGCCATTGGCGCTCTCTGCGTTGTTCATCTTATACATACATATGTATATATATAAGATAAATTGACCTTGATTTATATATCTTATAATTATCCTTTACTTACAGCTAAAGTAATTCAAGGTTCTAGACTTCGGGCGTTAGGTAGCCCAGTTCTCATTGCTCTTGAGAATATCAAGCTCTTACAATTCCTACCTTAGTCAATTTCAACTGAAAGCACTACTTTATTTGGAACATCATTACAAGAATGACTGAAGGGGCTTCTTTGCAGGAACAATTACTGGACGCTGCAAGACGAAACAATGTTGATTTATTAGAAACTGTGTTCCAAGAGCTTGGATCCGACGAGAAAAAGATTGCAGATTTGATCAACACCTCTTGTGACCCTATGGGCAATACAGGCCTTCATCTGTGCTGCCAGTACGGATCGTGGGATGTTCTGGACCAAATTCTTGATCAGGAAGGTGGTATCGAGATTGATCCTCGTAACACACTGGATGGTGACACACCGCTTCATACAGCAGTGCGTTATACATCTGTAGAGCCGGAACATGGAACATTTATCGCGCAAAATCTGGTGCAGGTTGGTGCTGACCCTAGGATCTTGAACAAAGCTGGCCAAAAACCACTTGATCTCGTTCACGGTCCAGACCTCGAAAATCTCATTGACATATTGCAAGGAGCGGAACTTGCAGCAGACAATCAACACCTGGTGAATGAGGAAGACGCGGAACTGATAGACGACGGACCGGAAGACTAGAGTGAGTGAGTATTTCTCGTGATAAAATTCTATGTAAAGACTCTTCTCTTCCAACAGCATATAGTAAAGCTAAAAGTAAATTTCTACTTTTCTTAGATCCTTTTGCTAGCAGTCATCTCGTCCCGTGCAAACCCATCCATCCTTGGATAAAGCTTGCCGGACTCTCAGCTTAAGAGCGTTTCTGTCAAATTGGTGGTTTTTATAGTCACAGTAACTGGCGGTGTCTTCCAAACCACGGATGTCTCGAAACAATCGCCACTGGTGCGCGCGACTGACCAAGGTTTCGCAATTCTTTCTTAAGGGTTTTGGTGCTTTCACAAATGAACCGTTTTTAACCCCGTTTACGATACATTGTTGAAGAGGAGGGAGTGTAGAACACACATGAAGTTGGATCAAACCCATAAGAGCTGGTTCTTGAGAGTCATTTTTCTTATCCCCGGGAAAACCTTCAGAGCATGACAAGAGTTTTAGTGGTCTAACATTTTCAAAACATTTCATTCTCGTGCTAGAAGCACGCATAAACCCATTCTCCAGTGCTGTCGAAACGTGTGGCACTACGATATACTTCAAAAATACCGGTTTGTCGAATAAGTCCCAATTCAAGGCGTTGAATAGAGACATAATTTGACGACAACAAAGCTTGTCTGTACAAGACTTAGAAAAGGTCACATTGGAATCTTTTCTACCTGGTTTGGTCCTCACAAAGCCCTTTTTTTTGTAGTTTGAACGTCCTCTTAATACTGTCTTTATATTCGGATCCACATATTGACCGAGATCTGAATCGTTCCAAACCGCAGAATCATCGTCTTCCAGCAAATCCATGCTTGCATCACCACAAGGAGCTCGAGAAACGTAGAGTGCAAAAGATAATGTCTCTTTTACTCTTAGCCGGCCCTGGCATATGCATATAATATCACTGTCAGAGCTCTTGCCAGACGCTTTAATTTGCCCCGCCTGTTGCAAGAGAACTGTGTTGAACCCTCGAATTGCTAAAATTTCTGCATGGCAATCATGAAGTATTTTGCCCCGGCTTCTTGGCAGCTCTTTGTCCGGTGTAGCCTTCACACCTGTAGCCAGTGATATTAACTTTATATGGTCATTCGTCTCGTTGATTGCGAAAATACAGGCTAAAACTGTCCATTCCTGAACTCCATTTGATCGTAGAGCTGGTTTGCCACCAATTTGAAGCTTGCTATAGTGCTCAAGTGCTAGATCAGAGATCCGATCTCCCAGTGGCTTGCTCGAGAGCATCGAGCTCATGGCGGATAAACTATGATGAGCTTTTCAAAAGCTCATCACGAACCATTAATTACATAAAGTGAATTAATACAAGAAATGCCTATAAAGCGTTCCAGAGCTGGATAAGAGACCGGGATTAGCTACCGAAGCTCGAGGCTTAACCCTATGATGAGCTGAAGCCTGTCATTAACCTCATACGTCTAGACTAAGCTTAAAGTCAATCCCACTTACAATCTCTTCCAGTCCGCCTAAGCTCTTAAACTTTGGTAATGGCATATTACGCTCTTTTGTTGCGTCTGCACTTTTTTGAAGTTGATCCTGGCGCGCAACTTCCTTAGCCTTTTCATTTTCCTCTCTCTGTAACTCCTGGTAGTAAATTTTAGTTCTAGTTTTGAGCCTGCTGAAAGGATCAGTTTTTGCGTCGAAAGGAGTGTCTTCCTTCTTGATTGCCTCGACGGTTTTACCGCTGTCCATGTTGGCCTTTCTGTTTTTGGATGTAAGTGCGCCAAGTTTTTTGGATCCTGCTTGGTCGTCTTCGTGATGTTTCTCGTATGAGGATAGTCGTTTCTCCAGATTTCTCAATTGTGCAGAGTACTTCGCAATATCCTTCTCAACACCACGCTCTTTGGCATACTGAAGCTTGTCTCTGAGCATTGTCTTTTCCAGAACAGCGTTGGTGCCTGACAGCTTTTTATTGAAAACCATTCTGTTACGCACAAGTTCATCCGTTAGTTTGGACGTTATTGGCTGGGAGACAAAATTATTGATCTCGTTTGACTTGTTATTCAGCATGTAGAGAGAAGGCTTGCTTATCTCTTGCTTGTCTAAAGAATTTGAATATCTTTCAAATTCTGGTTGAGTGATGGCCCCATCGCTGAAAAAATTCATCTGAAAAACCTTACGGTCTTTGCCCTGTGTTACACCAAGATACTGATTCGTGAAAAATTTGCCCATGTTGTAAGGTTTTTGCAAAAACACTTTCTCAATTCTGACCATACGGTAAAGTGTTTGACCACTTCTTTTGTCAACACCGACATTTACTCTTCCGTAACAACCCTTGACTGCGTCATTGAAGTCTGGGTAAAAACAGAACTTTGCTACGAAGGAACGTCCAATTTTAATCTTGTTGAAATCTCCTAGTTCTGGATCGCGATCAAGATCTTCATCTTCTGCCCACTTCACATCTTCGTCGTCCGCAGCAGACTTGTTGCGTCCGAACCCAGGCTGGTAGTCATCTTCGCTATCGCCCTCTTCCTCTTCGTCCTGATATCCGTATTCGTCCTCTTCTTCTTCTTCTTCCTCTTCGTCCTGTGCTTCGTCTTCATCACTGTAGTCATAACTCGCGCTCTTTTTCGCGCGCTGCTTTTTGAGCTTGGACAGACCAGACTCCTTAGCGTCACTGTGACCCGTGATACGCGTGGATCTTGCAGAAGACCGTGTCTTGGAACTATCTTGCTGCATTTGACGTTCCTGTTGCTGCTCTCTGATGCGCTTGGCACGTTCTCTCAGAACACGGCGTTCCTGGTACTTTTGCATGACCTGGGATCTATCGAAGAGCAACGACTCACGTTCCATTTCTGGCAAAGATTCTAGATGCTGTCTGTCGCGTTCATCTTTGTATTTTCCTTCTAAAGGAAACGGATCTGACTCTTCTTCCTCTTCCTCAGAGACAAAGCCACCATCTTTTGGATTGTAGCCATCATGATCTTCTTCGTCCTGGTCTTGCTCTTCGTCTTCATCGACAATTCGTCTCTTTCCTCCATTACTGCTGTCAAACTTAGATCTTTTCTTGGCCGTTCCCACAGTCAGCTTTTCTTCTTCTTCTTCTTCTCCACTGCTAGCACCTCCGGCTAGAGCCAGCAAATCTTCATCGATATCCGACATCTTTTCAAAATGCTACTATAGTCAGTTGAAGATCTCTATTTTAACTTTCTTACGAGAAATAAAACGCTTGCAAATAATGAAAAAAGGCCTAAATCAGTCCCACTTTTTTTCACCAGCACAAACCCCGTGCGCCACCTCTTCAAAAAGTCCTTGTACGCTCAAAAGTGCTTTCGTCAGCCTTGTCCTTTGCACAACTAAATGGTGAGATGACTTGTTAAAATGTTTATTGAATAATAATAACCTTCCAAGATATATTAATATGTATCATGTTCAAATTAATCACAGATAAACTTCACATTTAAGAGCTAAGAAAACTGAAAACTGAGCAAGAGTCTGCTTCTAAAGCGTCACCTGAAAACACTATCTCGCTTCTGATTGCGAGGGACTACACGCGTCAATAGTTTGTGAACGATCGGCTTCCAAAGGATACTCTTAGGTGCAATGAACAACGTTTCACAGACTATGGATGGATCTGACAGAAGGACGTCAATGTCCAAAAGGTCACCGTCAATCTTGGTAACAGATGCACGGTCCTCAGCTAAGAGAATCAGTGCGCCATTTGCAGGACACGCAGCCGGAATAAGAGGCGGTAAGGCTTCCAGATTAGGACAAGACGGCCCGGAAAGATTTCGGGCCGTTTCTGCAGGGTTTACACCAGGTTTGAGACGTCGTGGAAGTGTCAATACGGGCTCCAGTGATTTTCCACCGGGTCGTCGCTCGAAGAGTAACCAAAAAGCCAAGCAACAGGGCAAATTCAGTGACATTTCTATCGACAACATCCTATCAGATGTTTCTGATGTCCCATCCGGTCGCAGGGAAGAACGACTGTCGTCGTCGTCTCATGACCTTAACTCACCAACAGACGGCAGATTTCTGCGGTCTGCTCAACATGCAAAAATGATTAACCCTCTGCCTCCTCGAACCTCCAAAACTTCCAAAAAACTGGTCTTAATACCTGATGAGGGAACAGAAAAGAAAAGCAACCTGCAGCATCTAGATAGAAAATGGCACTCTTTAAAGTCAAAGGCGCATTTTGACAGATCTTCGAACTTACACAATGAGTTGTCTCGAATAACGGCCTATAACGTTGCCGAAGGTTTTAACACCAAGCTTGCCTCCACGTTTCTCAAATCAACGCATGACGTCTCTCCCAGACTATACGATGAGTGCCTTTACGTCCCGTACTGCCTGCCATTGCTACCTGGTAAAGAAGGATTTAGAATTAAGTCGAACGTTTCGAAGAAGACAGTGGGTGGAAAAACTCTTATAGATCGACTTATTGATAAAAGTGAGCAACGAGATCATCACTACGAGTATTATTCAGGAGTGGAGACCGTAGAAGACATGAATAATAATTTTGAGTTGAACGAATCTTTCGTCAATGAGAACGACAGGTTTGACGTTATACCCACTCCAGACCATCTACACAATCCATCAAACAGTAATACAGCTCTATTCGACCCAGGTGAGCCCCAATTTTTCGCGGAGGAAAGCACAAATGACCAGATGGATGGAAATAACTCGGGTAAACAATCGAAACCTGAGAGACCGTCATCACAGTCACAGGAGACTCGGTCTCTAGATACATATGACGCTAGTAAACAGCAACATGCGGAGATGTTCATTTTTGGTTATGGTGTTGTGGTCTTTTGGAATTTCACAGAAATTCAAGAGAAGAACATCCTTGGAGATATCGCGTTTGCAGAGTATGACGATTTGGTGATCAGGCCTTTAGATGAGCAAGATATTGAAACTGAACAGTTTCATTTCGAATATGACATGGATATTGAGAGACCGAGTATTTTCAATGACATCGTTACCCTTCGATCGGGGGATCACATCACTAAACTGACTTTGTCCCATTCAATTGCTCAATCTACTAAATTGTCAAGATTTGAATCTAGAATATCTCCTATTTTAGGTACAGTGTCAAAGCTGCCGAAAAGACTGGCATTATATGGCTCTTTGGGTCTTAAGCGTGAACAGCTTTTGAAAAAATCTGGTAAACTTTTCAAGCTTAGAGTGGATGTGAATCTTTCCTCTAGCGTACTGGATACACCAGAATTTTTCTGGTCTTTTGAACCTAGCCTCCACCCACTGTACCTAGCCATGCGTGAATATCTTGAAATCGACCAGAGAGCTCAAGTGCTAAACGACAGGTGTAAAGTCTTTTTAGAGTTCTTTGATATCTGTGTTGACTCTGTGGCTGAAAGGAACATGGCCAAGATAACGTGGTGGTTTATTGCCGTCATTTGCGTCAGTGTCTTGGTCTCGATTGGCGAGATAGTTATTAGGTCATTCATCATCCGTCAAGTCAAAAATCATCATTAGCATTGTAAGCGTTATTTGTCCCTTGATAATATTTCAACGGCCTGAGAAACACGACTTACATTATTTATAGCTGGCTATTTAACGAAGTTATTTCTTGGCGCCGTATTTGTTAACTGACTTACCGTCTGGGATTCCGAAAAACACATAAGGTTTGTCGCCTGATGCCAAGGAGTCCAATCTGTAGTATCCCTTTCTTTCGAATTGAACGATGTCACCCTTTTTCATGTCCTTAACGTTCAAGTCAGCAACGGCAGCAGTATGGAACTCAGTCTCCGGTGTTAGGAAATCAGCAAAGTCCTCACCTTCTTCTAACTTATCTTTCGTGATCAAATGGTCGAAGTCAACAAGATCAATGTCAACCTTGTCTTCAGTGTCAGCCAACCAAGTCAACTTCAGCTTCGTTTTCTTGAAATCACCTTCCAAGTGCAACTTAGCGGTTAAGGACCCATCAGCGTTCTTACCGGTAATGATCACATTACCCCAATCCATCAAAGTCAATTCTTCGCCATCTTGAATCAAATCGGCATCATCTTGATCGATGAGAACGTCAGAGTAGTAAATAGCCTTTTTCTCTCCAACGGCAGGGTTCTTTTTGTGTTTAGGTCTTAATTGCACGTCGGGAGTCTCAGGGGCACCCTCAATGTGCAGTTTAACCGGGTTGATCACAGCGGTATGTCTAGGAGCTACTGGGTCAATGACCTTCTTGTTGAAAGCCCAGATCAAGTTCCACTCCAAGTTGATCACATTTCTGGAGGGGCCTTGCGACAAAACGAAGTTTCTCAAACCTTCCACTGTCATACCTCTTCTTCTTACTCCTCTTACCGTGGGGAATCTTGGATCATCCCAGTTTGCAACTAGGTTCTTGTCAACCATCCACTGGAGTTTTCTCTTAGATAACAAGGTTCTAACAAAGTTAACACGGGCAAAGTCCCAAATGTGTACCTTTCTCAATTTTAAGGCGTTGAGCATCCAGTCGTACTGAGCGTTTCTGTCTCTATACTCGATAGTACGCAAGGCGTGGGTGACGCCCTCCAATGCATCAACGATAGGAACACAAAAGTCATAAGTTGGGTAAGCCTTCCAGGTTGAGCCGGTTCTATGGTGAGGAGTCAAGTTGCATCTGTAGATGACGGGATCGCGTAAAGTCTTGTTCAATGCCTCGTAGTCAATCTTCGCACGAACACAGTTTTTCAGACCCTCTTCAGTACCATTCTTCATGTCTTCAGTGAAAAGCTTGAGATTTTCCTCGACGGAACGGTCTCTTCTTGCTGAGGCTATACCGTCCATACGTTCTTCTCTCATTTTCTCCGTTGGCGTGTCATCACAGTAAGCCTTACCATCCTTGATAAGCTGAACACAGAGGTCAAACATTTCTTGGAAATAATCAGAGGAGTAGGTAACCCTGTCACCTCTGATGCCCAAAAGTTCCAGATCTTCCAAGATCGAATCTTGAAATTCGGTTTTTTCCTTCGACGGATTGGTGTCGTCAAATCTTATGATGAGCTTACCCTTGTATTCTTGAGCAAAATATTGGTTGAGAATGGCAGCTTTGGCGTGTCCAATGTGCAGATATCCAGAAGGTTCTGGTGGGAAACGGGTCACAACCTCGCCGATTTTAGCGCCCGGTAGATCGATCTCAAAGTTGGCCTTGTGGGTCTCCTTTTTCTTGCCACTAGATGCTGATTTTTTAAGTTCTTGCACGGATTTGGTCAAGAATTCGTGGGCTGTACCAAACTCGGGAATTTGCTCCAGGAGTGTGTACCAACGGGAGACATTGATGTACACCTTGTTCTTGATGATGGATCCAACCATCCCGTTAGATCTCAGAGAGCCCCAGCACGCAATATCAGCTGGTGAAAATGATTTTTCACCAGAGATAAAAGTCCTGAAGTTCAAATGAGCGTCTAGTTTCTCCAGTGAGCCCGAAAGCTTGGCGAAATTCTTAACAGTCAATTCTTCAGCAGCGAATTTAGACCAGGCTGCCGCGTCCTCTGTGTTCTCTCCTAAAACTTTAGAGTTGTTGGCAACAATTCTTTGCAACACACTGTCAGGTGTACCTTCCAAAACAGCAGCTGGTGCTTTCTTGTCTTCAGTGAATTCGACATCGATTTTCGATGGTTCAGCAGCATTCACTAGGCGGGCGGCAATAAGCTCCGAATAGGCCACGACGGGCGCTTTGCTCGAAATAATCAGCTTGGTCATGCTGCTCAATGGTGCGAAATCAATGATCCAAGGTAAAATGATCTAGTTGATTTTGACTGAACCTTCAAGTCTTGAAATTATTCGATGTAATATGGAAAATTTTATAGATATCACCACCAATCTCTTCATACGCTAATTCTTGAACCCCATCCACAAAAAGCCTGGCATCACCTCAAAGCTTAGCCTTAAACAGAACGATAACCCGATAAATCGCCCTGTAACAATTTTGGCGGTACCATTGCTAGTCTTAAAGAAAAATTTGGCTAGGTTTTCAAATAAGGTCTTGAGTTATAAGCTTAAAAGAAGAATCCGAATTTCAGACGCTAGCAAGACATTTTCAATAGCGGACCATGGGACTCTCCTCCAATTTGTTCGTGCAGAAGCGAAGTGCTACAAGTAGTTTACGTCAACCGAAAGAGATTGGTCATTACAGCAAAACCATAGAGAACGAATTTAAGATTTACGATAATTCCCAACTGAGTTACTTCTATTTCCCGGACAGTGATCTGAACAAAAATCTGGATTTGAGCGCAGGCATCAAGAAATTCAAGGAATGTACCGAGGACCCAAATTTTGACCAATGCACTTTGAATCCTTTACTTGGAACAATAAAAGCTTATGAACAACGCAAGGAAAAAAAAGTATCTGCCGATATTGTTACATTCAGAGGTGTAATGCGGAAGCTCATATCTTGTGCATTTGACAGTCCGCAATATAATCGCGTGGAACTTCGAGTAGTTTCTTTTAATGGCCAACTTTTCATAAAAGAAGTTTCTGAGCATCGTACAACTCAAGTCGACCATAACTCGATCGAACACCGTTCATACTACAGCGGTTACAAATTTGAAAACCTGACCACCCTGTCCAAACCTCTTTCTCAGGTTCCCAGAGGTAGTCTCGAGAAAAGGCCCAAGAAAATATGCAACAACGGAGAACAATTCGTGACAGTTGTAAGGTCGGGAGTGGGCTCCTGCAAATTAGTGATGGGTGCAGAGGTAGATTGTGTTTTTGACTTTTCCGAGAGTGGATCTGATAATCTCAAACATTACGCAGAACTTAAATGCACTAAGGGTGTGTCCTCTGTCGCCGAAGCTCGCAGATTCGAAAGAAAGATTTTCAAGACCTGGCTGCAATGCTTTTTGGTCGGCATACCCCGCATAATCTATGGCTTTCGCGACGACAACTTCATATTGAAATCAGTGGAAGAGTATTCGACGCACGAGATACCCGTTCTTCTCAAGACGAACAACCAGCAATTGGTCAATGCATGTGTAGATGCTGTTAGATGGTACGGGGCCTTGACAGAGTGGCTGTTAGAGAGTATTCCCCGCCAAGAAGCAACTGATCATATGAAGGCCTACAGACTTCGCTTTGAAAACAACCACTTGAAATTAAGCGAAATCGAGCAAGGTGACGAGGAATACGAGGGAATAATTGAGGGCGAAAGCATATTGAGTTCCGAATTTAAAGACTGGAGAAAAGAGCTTGCTACGAAGGAAAGTAGTTCTTAGTATAGTTTGAGATCTACGAAAAATAATTGGTATTCTGCGGTCTGAGGCAAAAGATTGTGTTCCTCTGTGCACTTTCACAACCAGGATTTAAGTTACAATCAGAACACATATCCTGCGTTCGTTTGTTCAATGATAATAGCACATTTTGATAGCACGCTTAGAGATTATTGAAAATACCGTGCGCTTTCGATCCTTGTGGCTCGAGATCTGGTACTTCAGGCCAAGTAAAACTTCGCCATGAATGATTAATGTGAAAAAAGATGTGGCACTTTACGTCACGCACACGTTTATGCTTGGTTCTTGACGATATTAAAGGCGCATATGCATAGCCCCCGCAGGTACGGTCTTGGGCCCATTTAAGCAACACGCGTGTGCAACAAAAGTGATCTCTCCCTCGATATATCTTCTTCTCCGATGCTAGTCATCCGGCTGTCTGTCATGTGTATATTTGGGACTAACACTATCCGTGATAGGCACGTAAGTTACTCTGTAGCTCTTAAATGCCATGTTCGAAACGATGATAATAGCGCAAGAGCCTACCAATAGTATGGAAAGCGATTTTGCGCTGATTGGCTTGAGAAACCCATTGATTATTTCGGCCAGAGTCTCAGCCCACACCACGGCAGAATGTTGCGGATCTGTAGCCTCTGGAATTTCCTGATTCATGCATCTGGACCAATATAGACATTGTGATTCCAACCATGGAGCCCTTGACTCAGGCTCGCATCGGTTTTTGAAGTATTTGGCTCTACATTCTCGGACCGTTCGTGCTGCTCCAGCTGCTTGCAAAAGCAGTTTCCTATCAACGTCTCGATTTATGAGCTGGATGAATCTCACACACAGGAATAGCAAGCCAGATACGATCAGAGTATTAAAAATAAGCTGCACATATCCTGAAAGTAGTTTTGGATCTGTCCAACACGAAGGAGATCGTTTTTGAAAGCCTACATCATTATTTTTTGTCGTCATACGCCATGCACGAGTAGGCTGCTCGAAACCCTGTCTGATGGTTGTAGTGCAGCATATAGGCTACATTTTCTTGAAGAGCTCATCAGCTCATCATAAGACGTTATATAGTATTTGACAATAGTATCAAGTGATTGCGTTAAAAAGACAGAATTACCAAAGTATCGGGACTGTACTGACTAGTAGACAAAATGAGTATCTTGAGCATTACATGTTCAAAGCGACCTTATGTCTAGAATTTTCGTAAGTTTCAAATTCTTATTTTTGGACCTCTCTCGAAACATCTTTCTCACAAGCCCTACAAAACAAAACAATGATAGTCACAAACTTAGTAGTTGGGGGTAAAGCTGTATCATGGTTGCTTCATATAATCAGGCCATAGGCTGACCAGTTGGTTTTTCTTTGAGATATCACAATGTTTCCAGTTTGTTTCCCATTTGTTTCCAGTTTCCAATGTTTCCAATTATTCTGTATCAATGCCAAAATAATTTCCTTACCATTTCTCAAATTCTTGGTCACGTGCCCATTAGAAAACCAATTAAAAGATTGATGTATATATCACCTTTCACGTTTTGAGGTAGTTTGAATAAAACGAATCGGAATATTCGGCTACATATGATATGAGCTTGGATCCTCTATAAACCACTAGTGAGTATACCTAATACTTACAGTTGAGTGGCCATTGAAGCATTGATATTGCATCCATATTGCTACTACACCGTTTTCATATTCTTTCCAATACCGTGCTCATTGCACCATCGCCAAGCTGAGTTTCTTCCAGTCTCTCTCCAAGTCAATTGCTAACTATCTTCTGAGACCTGCTTCTTCTTCCATCAAGCGAAACGGAAACCTGATATCCCCGAATATCAAATCCGTTGCTAAAAACTCACCTGCTCCCTTATCCAAAACCAACACAATGCGCCAAACTGCCGTGCGACTCTCCAAAACTTATACGCCGATGATCAAATTCGTCGGAGGAAGACATCCCCTATTACAGCATTCTGGGTCAGCTACTCCACACCCCTGTACGATGGATGGCATTTTGCCTGGCTCGAAAGAATGTGAACCCGCAGGAGACTTTCACAGCAAATTGAAACCGTTTGAAGTTGTGCCTTACAAGACCAACAAGTCTGCTCAGAAAGGTGCCGGGGCAAAGACCGGTTCTAACTACACATTCACGTCCAGGCCTCTCAAAGAAAACGAGGTGGATTCCATTTTCGATTTGCCTACCAGATTCCAGCTTCGTCCGTTCGCAGAGGCTGAAATTGATTCCATCAACGCCGGCGGCGCTCTATGAAATATCTATGTAATTTAACACCCAAAAAGAGCTAATGAAATCTCTGTTATAGTACAAATGTGTACCCCTGTAGTGCAATCGAGAACCGCACATCACCCAGCTCTTGGGCTGCAGCAAGCTCTCTTATTTCTTGCAGAATAACCAGCCGTGGATCTCGCATACCTACAGACATCTTGACATGCATGATAATGACTTGAAGGCCGTCCAGCGGTTTACCATAGGCCCGACTTAACTGTTTCAGCTCGTGTATCAGGTAATTGGGAGAAAGATGGCCATACAGATGTTCGTCCCTAGTGGCGTTGGAGCATGAACACTCAATCAATATGCATTTCAATCGCTCCAGGGGTACGGTTGCGCTGAAATGTTTCCAAGCATTAGCCAGCCATCGTTTTCGGGAAATAACGTCTGATTCTAAATCACCGCAAATGGCAACCGCGTTGTTTGTAATTTTGTCTTGGATCAGGTAAATAGTGCTCAAACACGGAAGCTGAGTTTCCACGGTTGTTCCGTGACTGACGCGCAACGGAGTGATGATCCAATTGGGTATGCTTTTCACCTTATGAGACTGGTAGTCGTCTAAGGTGTGTAGTTCCAGACTCATTTTATTTTGCGCAAATAGGTTAGGCCACAAGATATCGTTGAATACATGTTTTCTCAAGGCTTCTGTAGTGGTACGTAGCCCCCATAAAACTTTTTCTGTGGCCAAGCATGCCGGCGAGTTGATCACCAGTGCTGCAATATGATCCAAATGCGGGTGCGTGATGTAGTACTCGTTCATGTTACTGAAGATCCGGAGCGCTCCATTCATCACCGTTTCGTTAGACTCTAACATAGCGTCCGGACCCAAACCACGCACTATTTCCGATCTTGAATCGACAAAGCTGTGCAACGGCTCTTCGAGCCTTTCGTAGAAACTTTCGATCGGATCGCTCCTACAACCTTCACCCATGCTGACGTTCCCATTTTGGGATACTATCATGCTCGCTATCTGTCGCAGGCCTGACCCTGCATCTACGCATATGTACTTTTTGTTTAGGGGATTTCCAGGAGTTGAAATAAGAACTCCCTGATTACCGCCATCGAGAGGTCCTCCTGAGGCTCCTAAGATGCTAACTTCGAAGCTTGCCATGGTGGGTTTAGATTCTTACAGAGGAATAGCCATTATTTTCCCGTCATCCTATATAATTGATTACTAGGGACACTGTAATTTAACTTTACATGTGACATTAAAACTGACTAGCGCTTGGACGTCGACAAAGCTGAGGCCGCTGTTTATCGAAGAGGATTGAGCCGAGAGAATCCCATTTCCTCTAATTTCAGCTTTTTTTACACCATTAGGATTGATGATTCAATTTATTATCTTCTTATATCCCCATTCGGGGGACTTTTATTTAACTACACCTTCTGAGTACCGTAGCCTCTGATATCCTTTGCAAATCCCCAGACCATATCCTCGACCTTGGCGTTCTTATCAAGGATTAGTCCCTTCTCTATATCGATGATTGCCAGCGAGTATTTTCTGGAAGAGCGTGCATCACGGTAAAACAGCACCTTCATGGCCTCGACGATGGACCTTTTAGCAGTTTCCAGGTCCGTGTTTTCGACATCGCTTTCAACATCGACAACCTTCCTCAATAGTGGCAATGCAAGGTGAGCTCCGAATCCGGTAGCAAGCGAGGGAGCCGAGTAGGTAACTCCCAACAAATTTACATACTTCAGAAATGGCTTGGCGTCCTCAACACCGGCCACAATAAGTGCGTTCCACAGTGGGTTCATTTTGGATCTCCTACTGTACATCACGTTTGCGAGATATTCAAAAACGTAGCTGGGCCTCAAAGCTTCTTCTTCGTCTGCATATTGGTTGTCGTAGTTGTTTTCCGTCTGCATTTCTTCTAGCAGATACTCTAGTTGCTGCATATCTGATATGTCTCCCGATATTCCAACTACAGTGTTGCGTCCCACTGGAATGAGTCTCTCGATATCATTGAACCGCAGAAGAGACCCATATGAACCGAGATTGTCTGCTGCAATCACCACACCTCCATTGTATTTCATGGAAATGACAGATGTACCGGTTACAATCGGCTGCTGTGTGTGCATACTTGGATATGGAGATGCATTGGCAATCGTCTTATTGTATTCGCCGTACACTTCGTTAGAAGGTCTTCCCCATTCAAAAGGATCGTGATTCATTGTGATATATCAATTGTTGTAGTCAGTTTTCTAACAGCTGTACGAGTGCCAGCTATAACGTTCCTTTCTTCGGAAAACCTATCAACGAGATGACTGTGCCATGTATCTTACTTCGCTAAGGGTGGCAAACTAAACTTCTTAACATTTTAAGATCATTGTGTACGTAGCGATGGTGAGCAGGTTCACTGCCATGCTCGGTCTTTTATACAGATGGATGAGCCAAAGCAGTTACTGAATGGCATCAGTTAGTTTGGTTTCTATACGCTAGATACTGCTATTTCATTTAGACCACAGAATACTCTTCGGATTTCAGACTTGCAGTGACGTCGAATGGAAGTTGAGCGCCGTCTTCTTCTTGAGAGCTCATTACCTGGCCAACACCCATGCCTGTAAAGGAATTGTGAGCTCTATAGTTGCTGAAAGCGACGGAAACAGGGAAGAAAGCGTCTTCGTATTCTGCTTCGAGCGTGAGTGACACAGCACCTGTCGTGCCCGCTTTTATGGTAGCAATCTTGATAATCACTCCATTCTCGTCGTCAACGCTCCCAACAGTAGCGCCTAAATCATTGAAATCCTCGTTGATACGGACGTTTTCAGTGTAGATTGGAATCGCCACACGAACATCATCAAGGTCTTCCGCATACTCCTCTGCAGTTTCAAGTTCAAATGTGACATCAAACAGACCTGGATCAGTTGCAGACGGAGACACCCATGAAGAAATGCGCAATGGTGCCAAAGCGGCGTCATCAGTAACCCCTACTTTGCGCCACCTGAGAACAGCCAGACTTTGGTCGTTGAATGGGAATGCCTTCTTTTGGTCCCGCAGTCCAATGACGCCAGAGGTTAAAAACAAGTTTTTGTCAATATTAGGATGCGTCTTGAATTGGAAAGACTTGTCTTTGGCGTCAATATGTGAAGGTAGGCTGATTCTGGCATGAGCCAATTCCTGGTTGTTCACACGCAACTCCAAACTACCCTTGAGCTCAGAACTTTGAACATTGCCCTCGCGTGAAATTTGTGCGCTGATAAGTTCCTTTACGGAGATTAAAATACCGTTGTTGGCCGGCTTCTCGGGTTCCTCAATCTGCAAGGCTGAGACTGTAGATGTGCTCTGTCTAGCAGGCTGTTGTAACTGAGACGCCGCAGCGCTCAGGCCGCTTTTCCTGCCGCCGCCAAGTTTGAGTCCTCTACCACCTCCTACCGGACTGTCCGAAACATTGACCGGAATGTCTGCAGCAGCCGTGCTTTTTTGTTGTGTCTGATAATACGACTGCTGAGCTGCAGCGGAAGCTTGGCTGTAATAACTACTGTACGCGTTGGATAAATTGGGGTCGTTTGACGAGTGAAAACGCATGGCATCTAAACCGTTAGTAGAGGGTATACCCATTTTCCGTTCATGTTCTCTTCTGGAGATTTCCTTGGCTCTCCGCTTCCTCTCTTCTGCTGCCTCGAACTCTTTGTTTCGCTCAATAATCTCTTGAATTTTCTCTTCGTGTGATTCCATAGACAGATATGTGTTGATCTGCGTCAAAGACAGGTTTTCTTTGTAGCCCATGGTTATGACTTCGTCGAACGAACCCAAAATTTCGAACGCGTTCTCGAAGATTTCCTGCTCATCAAAACTGCTTAAATATGAGTTCATACTCTGTGCAAACAGCTTCAATGTATCCAAGTCCTGGATTATGTTCGACTGTCGATTCGTAATCAAAATGATGTAGTAATCGTCAAACGGCTTGTAAACGTAGCGGACATGTTCATCTTCTACAAAGGTGTGTTGCGAGGAAGAACTGCTAACCAGTCCCTGAAAGTTCGAGAGAAGCTCCGTTACACGGTCCTTGCTGATATCCCTAAACTGCCTGGAAAGCAAGGGTTTTCCTTGCCTTGTAATGATGGAAACAGCGATCACTACCATTGTAACTCAGGCTCGAATTGGTGCTCTTTAATGGATCCGATCAAACTTGACAGTACTGGTTTGTTGTCCCTATTTACTTGAAAAACTGGACAGGTAAAATTTAGTTAGTCGTAGATCGTGATATTTGAGTTCAAGCTTCAAAGTGTATTCAAGGTCAATGGCATCAGTTCATCGATTTGAGGTCTGAGTCTTCTGTGTATTGCCGTTCTTTCAGGCCTTGAAGATTCAATGAGCACCAAGGACCTCTTCAAGTGCTTGTAAACTGTAGACTTTGGTTATGTTGAAAGTAGCATCAATATTCGAGAAACAGTGTAAGAGATTCCGGTCTAACTGCAACAGGTTGAGATTTAAGGCTATCTGACATATCAAGGAAGCTTTCTCTTTTGAAGCAGTGCGGAGGCAGTTTTGGATAAATTGTCATGTCAATTATGACTCGGTCTCTTCCGTCACGTCATAGAAATCCATTTGACATACTGTAACATTGAGCAGAATCCTTGACTAATCTAACTCACACCCAACTATGTATAACACTATTACAACGAGATAGGGACATACATCAGTGTCTTTCTTCCACATCTCTTTTCCGTTTGAGAGCACCTGGTGAATCAGCATCGAGAGAGTTCGGACTGAGGTCCTCGACCACAGGTTGCCCCACAGGTGGAGGACCTATCTCGGCAGGTTGCTCTTGGACCCCATTCTCCCCGTCCTTTTCGTCGTCAGAGGACATCACAATCACCTCCGTTTCTTTGCTTTCAGGCTGCTCGCCGTCGTCCAGCAGAACTGGGTGACTTTCATCGTTGCTGAAGACCCGAATGTTGGAAAAAGTAGCTTCACCGGTCAACATTTCCACCAGGGAATTGTAGCGCGACACAAATCGCGACTTTGTGCTCACATTTACGGTGATAATCGTGGGTACATTTGGCTCACACTTTTTGATAGAATTGTCCTTGAGAATCTTAAACATCGACACGATGTCATTGATAGTGATGTCCTTGTTGTACATGTTGTCTTCTTCGAGGGTTAAATCCAAGTCAGGGAACTCCATTTGCAACTCCCGTGACAACAAATCTAGTGGACGATTGGTATTCTGTAAAAATAATCGCAGTCGACCAAATACGATGTGACAGCCACGATGTAAATCAGCTGAATCCTTGCATATTATTTTACTACTGTCCCATTCTCCAGCGTTGTCTCCATCGTACTCCCCTAGCAGTAGGAAATCTCCATCCTTGTAATTGACCCTTATCTGGGGAGCTTTTGCGCTCAACAGTTGTTTCGCAGCTTCATTTACCTCACTTTCAGACACTATATCAATTATTGAGTCGTTATCGCCATCCCCTTCGTTTCTATCATCCGGTTGGCTAACATGATTAGTTTTCTCTTGAAGGCCTTTGTCATCACCGACAGTAACATCCGTCTCTGGAACTCTCACATCTTCCAAGTTGAAGGTGGTTTCGTCCTCTTTTATTGGTTCCTCGACTTCGTTAGAAGCACCATCCTCGGGTTTTTCAGATGCTTCTGGTTCGGCGTTTGTTTCTTCAGAATTGGGTGCTTTGACATCTAAACTGACCTCTTTTGAAAGGCTTTCCACAGTTGGAAGACTGGCAGAAGTACTTTGAGCCTGTACTGGCGCATCAGGAGAAGCTTCATTCATCTTTACCGGCTTTAGTTTTGACAACTGCAGCTTACCTTGAGGCAACTTTCCTGTTCCATATTTAATTAATTAGAGTAAAGTAGTATAATTTAGTTTTGACGCTATCATTGTAGAAAAACCCTAAAGCTGGAGTAAGGAGTGATTTTTACATTACTAGAAGCTTCTCAAAACGTTTATGTACGGCATAAATTGAGCTTAACTCTGAGATTGAGAAATGCAACGCGCTTGTGTGCTAATAGCTTTTGACTGTTTTCAATTAAGGTAGTAACCTTGTAACCAGATCAATGACTTTATGGATGCTACGGAGACCTAAAAATTGTTACGAAAATCACATATAGGGTGCAAATTGACTGCATTCTATTTTTCCATTCGAACAAGTCCACGTCTGTCCTATTCGCCGCTACATACCGCGCATTAATTGCAAGAAAGATATACAACTCAGGAAGAACTCTTGGACGACAAAATGGAGAGGGAAGTTCCCTATTGAAACCACTTAAAACCTTCGCTGCTCAGCACAAACTGCTTCAAGCCTACGTTCAACATCGGGGGTCTACGTCCAGCGCTAAAATTTCCCTTTTTTGGTTTTAGCGTCCGCTTAAAGGGCGGCAGTCAGAATTCGTAATGACTTCTCCTCGAGCCGAATATTGTCTCACTACAAGAATGACGCTCGTATTTACGATCCCTTGAGTTTAGGCAACGAGCTAAAACGCAACTCGCTGGAACGTAAATGTCAAGGTCCTTATCTCAAGAACGTCACATGTAACGCATCGGAGTGAGATTCATCTGTTCCCGAAAACACTTTAAACCCTGAACAAAACTGAAATACAGTAAGGTCTACCTGGCTCTACTTTCAAATCTATCGATCTGTTGGCAAGCCGAGCATTTCCTACTCGTAGGCCTCCCTTGATCAAATGGCACCACAGATCTTAAAACGTGATCACCAAAATTTTTCGAGATTTCAGTCTACTTCAGCTACCTTTAAACATCAGCACCCTACCAGAACAGAACTGAGTATAAGTCATACCTACAGGCAAAGAGCCAGCATCCGATGTCAGCAATTTCAGACAGTGATAGTGAAACCGAGGTTGTATCGCGCAATCTTTGTGGTGTCGTTGATATCGGTTCGAATGGTATCCGTTTCAGCATATCATCAAAGGCCTCTCATCATGCAAGGATTATGCCATGTGTGTTCAAAGACAGAGTCAACATTTCATTGTTTGAGGTGCAGTACGCTGCAAATTCTCTTGAGAAGGCACCAATCCCCGAGGATACAATCAAAGAAGTGAGCGCTGCCATGAAGAGATTTAAATTAATATGTGATGACTTTGGGGTACCCGAAACAGGCGTGCGGGTGGTAGCTACAGAAGCAACGAGAGAAGCCATCAACTCTAGCGATTTCATCAACGCAGTTTTTGAATCAACGGAATGGGACGTGGAATTGCTAAGCAAGGAGGAAGAGGGTAAAATTGGCGCATATGGAGTGATATCTTCATTCAATTTCGTCTCCGGGCTTTACATGGACTTGGGAGGCGGTAGCACTCAGCTCTCATGGATAAGGTGCGTAGATGGGGAAATCAAGATGTCAGCAACACCAGTTTCATTACCTTATGGCGCTGGTGCCCTTTCAAGGAGAATGAAGCAAGAGGATAAGCGAGATTTGTTTCTGGAGATCAGAAAGGCTTACGAAGATGCCGTATCCAAGATAGACATACCACAGGAAATGCTGCGGGAGGCTGAAGAAAACGGAGGGTTTGACCTTTTCACATGTGGTGGTGGCCTTAGAGGCATGGGTCATTTGTTGCTCTCAAAAATCAAAGAATATCCCATTCAAACCATCATTAACGGCTTCTCCTGTTCTTTTGAGGAATTCTCAAGCATGGCAGACTATCTGTTCTTGAAAGGCAGCGTGCCCAAATCCAAGAAAATCTTCAAGGTGTCTGAGAGGAGAGCATTGCAATTACCAGCAGTAGGTTTGCTAATGAGCGCAGCATTTGAGTCTCTACCGTCTGTGAAAACAGTTCATTTCAGCGAAGGGGGTGTAAGAGAAGGTACGTTGTATTCTATCTTGCCGCGGGAGGTCAGAGCACAGGATCCGTTGCTGGTTGCCACGAGACCTTACGCTCCTCTACTGGCCCCCAAGTATCTCGAACTTCTTAGAGCAGCTATTCCAGAAAATGAAGTGCCCCGGATCGTGTACTCAAGAATAGCGCCTGCATTGTGCAACCTGGCCTTCGTTCATGCTTCCTATCCCAAGGAACTGCAGCCCACGGCGGCGCTGCATGTCGCAACCACCGGTATAATTGCAGGGTGCCACGGTCTCTCGCATCGGGCCAGAGCATTGATTGGAATCGCCCTCTGCAACCGATGGGGAGGTGATATTCCGGAACAAGAAACCGAGCATAAACTGCTGTTGCAAGATGTCGTTCTTCGAGACGGCAACAAAGTTGAAGAAGAACGAGTTGTTTGGTGGACGCAATACATAGGCACGATTATGTTTGTCATATGCGGTGTTCATCCGGGTGGGAACATTCGGGACGGATTGTTCAACTTTAATATTGAACAGAAGGTTAACGTGGAGAAAGACTTGCAAAATGTGGTTATTGACGAGAAAACCAACGCGGCGCCCCCCAGGCGCAGAGAATTCGAGGTCATTGTTCGCATCAGCAAAGATGATCTCAAGACAAGTGCTTCTGTAAGGGCCAGAATCATTACGCTACAGAAGAAAATTCGTAAACTTTCGCGCGGAAGCTCCGAAAAGGTCAAAATTGGAGTCCAGTTCTACGAAGATAATTGATCGATATTTGATAAAACTCAGCATACAATCTATACTGACCATACCCTTCGCCTACATCCTATGCAACTTATCGTTCACGGGTGGACCGAGCATATGTACGTACGAAACGATCTTTAATCCCAGTAGTGGCATTTGCCACTTAGAGACGACCGCCTTTACTCTACAACTATAACTTCTGTGAAGCTAGCTTGGAAGAAGTCTACAGACCAACCATTTCGTTACCTGAGAACTAAGGCCAGTCAATGAGTTCGCTTGTGGATCTTGTAAAGGGCTTGAATGCCGCGTTTGTTAGTGGCGACAACAGGAGTTGCCAAAAGCTTCTAACGCCCATAAAGATCGAGTTGATCAAGACGAATCTACTGGTACCAGATTTGGGCAAGGCACGGAGCAATGATGGCTATTTGAATGATTTAGAAAGTGCACGGAGAATACTAGAGATCGGGGCACTTTGTAGTTTGAGAAACAGAGACTTTGAGTCATTCCAGAACTTTTTTTCACAGCTAAGGGTATATTATTTCAGCAACATTCCAAAACTGGAAGATTCAGAAAACAAGTCGAAGCTGATCAGTCTTTACTTGCTGATTTTACTGTCGCAAGGCGATGTGACCAAGTTCCACTCGGAGCTAGAGTTCTTGGGCAAAAGACTGGAAAATGTTGAAGAAGATGCATTTTTGTCATATCCTATAAAAGTGGAAAAATGGTTGATGGAAGGCGCCTATCAGAGGGCTTGGGACCTTTTGAAAGGTGAGTCCAAGATCGATGAGTTCAATATCTTCACACAGACGCTCATGGACGCCATCAGAGAGGAAATTGGACGCAACACAGAACTGGCGTACAAGAGGCTACCTCTTTTTAACATCAAAGCGTTACTGTTTTTCAATAGCGAAAAGGACACAGAACAGTTCGCGCTCAGTAGGGGCTGGAAGGTCGTATCTGGAAATGTTATTTTCGATGAGGAGGAAGCTTTAGAAAAAGAGCAGCATATCACAATCGTTGAGAAGACTCTAGATTACGCCATTAATTTAGAGAGCATTGTATAGGATAAATACAACAAACAAGTCACACACAACTTGGAAATACCAAATCTTTAGTATTTATCAAGTATATAATAAAAATCGACTTTTTCAACGTGGTAAACAACAACTGCTTTTAGCCAGTGGCATCACTTTGTATAGTGGACTGCGCTAAGCAGTAGGGACATGATAGGAGAGTTAGTTCATTATTCGTTAGAGAAGAAAAGAGAAAGGGTCAAAAGCTGTGGAGAGTTACAGCCCTTAGTTGACCACACCAACGGACTTGCCGGCAGCAAGTCTCTTCTGCGTCAACGCGGCAATGATGGCGGCACCAGCACCGGAACCATCCTCGGCTGCAACAATCACGATTGGGTATTCGCTTACGTTCTTCTTTTCCTCCCAGTCGAAAATGTCTCTCAACCCAGCACCGGCTCTTTCGTTGAAGCCTGGGTACATGTTGAAGACGGAGCCGTCGGCAGCGACGTGCGCGGTCTTGTAGCCTCTCTTCTTGCAAACGGCTGCGATACCACACACCGACATTCTGGAGGCTCTAGTACCGATCAATTCACATAGACGTCTGATCAACTTACGCTCGCCAGATGTGGTTTCGATGCCCAATTCGTTTTTGAAAATGTCGAAGGTGTCTTCGAGATTCTCGAAGGGGTCTTCCTCGACTCTGGCTGGGTACGAAGTGTCCATGACGTAAGGCTTTTCGAGCTTGGATAGGTCTTGGCCTTCGAAGATGAGGCCCTGAGAAGCCAAATCGATCAAAGCCAAACGCAATAGCTCACCCAAGTAGTAACCAGAGGTCATTTTCTCGAAACTCTGCTGGCCTGGTCTTGGCGATTGCTTGTCGATCAAGATGTCGTACTTGGTTCTTGGAAGCGTGACAAGTTCGTTGTCGAAGGAGCCGTACTCGCAGTTGATGGCCATGGGCGTTTCTGCGTCGAGGTCTGGGCCCAAACGGCCTTGCAGTTTTTCGATTCCGCCACAAACGTCAAAGTAAGCACCGTTGACACCGGTACCAAAGATACATCCCATACGGGTCTCGGAGTCGGTGTACATGGAGGCCACTAGAGTACCGGTGGTGTCATTGATAAGGGCCACAACGTCGATGGGGATATTACGTTTTTTGAGTTGTTCTTGCAACATGGGCACCACATCTTTGCCCTCGACACCTTCAATGTCGAAACCCTTGGTCCATCTCTGTAGGAACCCTTCGTTGATGCGGTCCTGGGACGCTGGGTATGAAAATGTGAAGCCTAGGGGCAAAGCCTGGGAAACACCGTTGGGGAACTCTTCGACCAAAAACGTCTGTAGACTGTCTGCGATGAAAGAGAAAAGGGCGTCGGAGGATCCGGTACGCATGTGGTCTGGCAATTTGAACTTGGACTGGGTGGTGTCGAAATCGCGGTTTCCGCCCAATTTGACAAGCACCACACGCAGGTTGGTGCCACCGAGATCGATGGCCAAATAGTCACCCTGTTCCTTACCGGTTGGGAAATCCATGACCCAACCTGGGATCATAGGAATGTTTCCTCCCTTTTTGGAGAGACCCTTGTTGAGTTCTCCGACAAAGTGTTCGGTGACTTCCTTCAATTTGTCAGCCTTGACGGTGAAAATCTCTTCGAAACGTTCGATCTGTTCTAGCAGACTGGACGACACGTCGGCCATGGAGCCTTTTCTGGCAGGAGGTTTCTTTGGACCTAGACGAACCATTTTTTAATTATTTCAGAGTAGAGAGTTTGAGTGGGGTGTGTGAGCTATACAACGTTTGACAATGTATTGACAATGTAATGACAACCTTTTGACAATCTATTGACAATCTATTGACAACTTAATGTAAATGAATCTAGCACTGGATCTCAAACGAAAACAAAACCTATACGAAGATCCAAAATTCTAAGGTTCCCCAAAACTTTCCCCGGGCTATCCTTTATATACTTGTATAATGTAGTATATCTGCCACAACGCACTAGCCCATTGCACTAGCCCACTACACCGGCCCACTACACCGGGTCTACTACACCATGCCTAGTATTATGAGGTGATTGAATTTTTGCCCTGGTATGGCTAACCCAAAAAAAAAAAAAAATTGCAGTAGCTAGCTTCCTCTAGTGGATGTAGGGCACCGTAGCGTGCCGTAGTAGGGTGTGCAAAAATCGGTTGATTACGTAGCCGGAAAAACGTGGAACAAAAGGAAAAACCCAGATTTGGTTTTTTTCCGGATTGGAATGGTTTTTCCGGGTTCCGGAAAGAGCAACACGAAAAAAAAAAAAAAAAAAAAAAAATCATCCGAGCGGGGGAGACCGGTGGCGCACGTAAGGGCAAAACGCACCAACCGGAAAAACAAGGGGTGTATGGGCGTGGAAAGCGGGCTTGTCTGTAGGAAGGAAAGTGGTGGATGCTAATAGCGCGGGGAATTAACCCGGGGAAGCCGTGAGGGGAGGGTGTGGAGGGTGGAGGGTGCGGAGGGTGTTGGAGGATGTGGAGTGATGGTACAATTGAGAGCGTCAGCGATCGATTGTACACAAAGCTGGAAATAAATGGAATGATGGGGAAAACAATTGAGAGCGTTAGCGATCAATTGTGATTGAAGATGGCAATAGGCATAAGTGAACACTTGAGAGTGTTAGCAATCAGTTGTGAGGAGTAGACATATATACTAAGATAGTTGAACATTGAGAGCGTCAGCGATCAATTGTGAATTGTAGTAACGACTATTAGCATTGCTGAACAATTGAGAGCGTCAGCGATCGATTGTGAACAAGAATGACAATAAGCACAATGGAACAAGTGACAGCGTTAGCGATCAGTTGTGAGTAGTGGACATATATACCAAGATAATTGAACAATGAGAGCGACAGCGATCAATTGTGAATGACAGTGATGGCTAGAAGTACTTTCGAACATTGAAGGCCCCGGTTATTCATTGCAAATAGTAGAGAATATTGTAAGCACAAATGAACAACTGAGAGCATCTCCAAACGACTATTAGCATTGCGGAACAATTGAGAGCGTCAGAGATCGATTGTAAGGTGCGGGTATACTTTCTAGAAAAATTCAACAATCGAGAGCGTCAGAGAAGAGTACATATAGTGACAAATAGAGTAAAAAATTGGTAGCTGACGTTCTCAATTGTGAAGGGCAGATAGAAGCTCACAAAGTAGAACAATTGAGAGCCAGCAGAGAGAACTAACAAAGTAGAACAACTGGAGCCAGCAGATAGAACTAACAAAGTAGAACAACTGAGAGCCAGCGATCAATTGTGAGAACGACATGTAGCGAAAAACACATTAGAACAATTGAGAGTCAGCGATCACCTGTGAAAATCAGAACTGGCTATTTCCAATGTTAGCCGATTGAGGGCTTATCAGCTCCCTTACAAGAAGCACACATCCACACTATCAAAGTTGACCAACTGAGAGCAGCCGGCTCAATTACAAGAAGCAGATAATCCTACTACCAAAGTTGACCAATTGTCACCCTCAGCGATCAATTTGAACCACCTTCGTATATACTAGCAATGGAGAGCACCTCAGATTAACTCTTAACAAGATGTTGTTGGGATTGGTGAACTATATGGTATAGTGTCAATTGCGTAATCGGAAAGTGACATATTAGTCTAAAATGACATCTTAAGCGCTAAGGTGAATTGAATCAATCGTAAAGATATAAAGCAACAAGACGTCAACGCTATGCAGGATTTGCAAGCAATCCAGAACGTTTATTAAGCATCCTTACTAATGGCTAGGGTCTAGAACATTACCTACTGTTTGCTATTGTTGCTCCAAAAATCGTTTAAATATCCGTGGTTTGGTCAAACCAAATGTACCAAACTCGTAGTCAAAAGAGACACGGAGAGATAAGTAAAATCCATAACCATAACCAATCACTTAGAGCAAATCATGATTGAGCAAACGAAGCAGATTAACAACTCGAACACTGCCGATGTAGTCGAGCCTCAATAGATTTTGTCGTACCTAGTTCTGCCTGGCTTCAAGTCAAAGACATGCACGTGACACGTTGACAGCGGCAGAATTGACAAGATATCCAGAAAATATAAAACTACTACTGATCTAACAGCAACGACATGGATTTCACCGAAAGTTACCACTTGAAATTGATCTCATAGCTCCTACAGCAATCGTTTCACATAAGACGTCCCAGAACGAACGTTTTACCCAGTTTACAAGCTCATCTCATTTATGCTGAAGAAACCACGGGCGGATAATTCTAAACACCTCACAGTAATGGATAGAGTCACCCAAATTTGTGACGTTCATCGTACAGCGACACTCCAGAGACAGAGTCCCTACAGATGGAGTGCCACCCATCAATTTTGATAAGTAGATATAGCTATTTGCAAAGTATCTCGATTGCTAGCGCCAGCGATCAATTGTGAAGAACAGATATAGTGACAACACCGCAGAACGATGAAGTGCGGCAGCGATCGATTGCAATGGTCATATCAAAACACTATGTAGAGCTAAGCAATTAAGAGTACCAGCGATCGATTATGAAGGGCACGGATAGCTACCAGCGAAGCCAAAAAATATAGATCATCTCAAATGTCTTGTGAGAGCAGATGTACATGCTAGCAAATCGAACAATAAACCACGGGCTCTCTCGATTGAGAAGAGCAACTACACATGCTAGCAAAAGCCAAACAATTTCGAGCATCTCTGATCATTTGTAACCAAGGGTGCTATTTATACCCATGTTGAGACTCTGTCTCTGGAGTTTAGTTGCACAATGAACGTCTCGTGGTGATTTCTTCATGCGTTTCAGGCATAAACTACTGGTCTATTGAGTTTAGAGATACCTTTTTCTGGTATGGGCCATGAACCAGGTGAGTCTGTAGCTGAACAAACGTCCCTGAAGGATGTCAAAATTCTCAAGTATTCCGGGCGCAATCACATCAATGGACTGCTATAAAGGTAATACAATCAATAACGAGTGAATCCACTCGCTGTAAAACATCCTTACCGTGAGATTAGCGGCAACTTGTAATGGTGCCAGGCTCTTGACTATTTCGTAACTTCTGTCACTGGAATCGTGTCCCGTGTATGAAATTGTCTTGAAGCTAGGCAGGCAGAGTTTCCAGCATATAGATTCTAGTTAAGTTGAACAGCTATGAGCGCCAGAGATCGATTGCAAAGATCACATATGGCTACTAGGGGCACTGAACAATTGAGAGCATCTCTGATCAATTGTGAAAATCACATGTTGCTATGTCTCAGACCCAGCTATAAGCCATCGAAAAACAAACTGTTTGCCAAGCTCACATAGACGACCACAACACATCGAAATGTTGACGATATTCAAAGCTGCTGGCGTTCTGTTGTCGAACTTAATTGAGAGCACCAAACTTTCTTATAGCCATCTTAAGAGCACTAAACTCAGTAGTTTGAGTACACTAAAAGTGATCACAATTCATCGCTACCGCTTTCAACTTATTTGATTGTGCTATCACCATTTTTTTTAAATTTCAGGGCATAAAACTTCGTTCCTCAAGCATGCCAGTAGTCATCACACCTGATCGCTTCCGCTCTCGATTATTAAACTGTACAAATAGCCGCTTATCGGCACAATTGATCGCTAGCGCTCTTAATTGATAAGAATGTGCTAGTTGCGATTGTTTCGCCTTCTCTGACTCAACCACACCCATCTCAAAATAACGTATGAACACGACTGCTGGGATTTTATTAAGACCTTTCTTGAGAAACACCACTCTTGAAAGGCATCGCAACGATATGCAGAAAAAAGTTTTTGGAATAGTGTACGAAATGTATGTAGAGTTTGCGTCAGAAACCTGTAGCGCTACGTAACGCCCGTGCTCTCCCTCGCTGCTAGTGAGATGATGGATATCCACTTGGTGCTTGCAAAGTCGAAACTACCACGCAGTAAGTCAAAAACCGCCCTACCGCCGCCCTTCTTCAGTATCCAGTAGAAAACCGACCTCTGAGAGATAAATCTTACTATTACCGAGATGGATTTTCGCAGCCCTTAGTTGACGCTTTAACACACACTCTACAACTTTTCTAAGCTTGGTGCTGTGTTTGTTTGGCAGAAATTAGTCCAATCTCTCACCAAAGCGTTGACTACCATAGCATTGAACTTTCCAGTGTCCACTCCGGTGATCATGGTGGCTTTTCCGGTCCGGACACCCTTCTTGGGACGTAGATCAGATGGGAACATTCTCAAACTACCGTAGAATGGAGACGAAAAGGATGTGTCAACGGAGACGTAGGCCTCGTAGGACCCAGTNTGGAGACGAAAAGGATGTGTCAACGGAGACGTAGGCCTCGTAGGACCCAGTAACGATTTCTGGTCTTGCAGCAATGGCCGACGCAACCTCGTCCCAGAAGGGGAGATTGAAACCGGGCAACGTTCCGTTTCCAACAGTCTCCTTTACG